ATGCGCTGGGAGTCACCATCCCAGGCCAAATCATTGATTCGACCATTAACAATGCTGTATTCACCCTTGGTGATTCCCTCGCCGACACAGTCCCATACTCTCACGATTCCAGCAGCGTCACCACTTGCAACGTAGAAACCGGAGGGGGCGAAGCGTGCGACAGTTGTCTGCGCCTTGTGTTCGGTGTACTGCCTAGCGACTGCGGGGTCGTCGATTGAACGTAGGAAGATGGATTTGTTGGACTATAATTGCTTCTGTCAGTACTAGGCAGGGCCATTTTAGAGATTTTTGGAATCACATACTGCATAGGCCAATCGCTCGCCTTTAGCATCAGAAGAAAGCTGAGTGGGCTGGCCGCGGGTGGTGGAGGGGCTAGGAGCCCAAATGGACTCTTTGAATATGTCAGGATAATAAAAGATGATATGAGGCTGTCAGGTTCTCACCATTTGTAAGTGACATTGCTAAGATGTGCACACTCAAGCAGAGGAGTTGGGGGAAAGCAGAGGAAAGTCCCACCATCCACTGTTTATCGACTGACGTACCCGGGCCACAATAGCGGGGAACACAGCCACGCCTTGTCTACATAAAACAAGCATTGAGAATATGCAGGAAAGAGAAAGATCTTTGTCAACACATATAAAATATATCTGGTTGCTTTAAATATTACAGCACAAAGGAAGTTGAAAGTTGTAGCTCTTAATAAAATCAATGCATAGCGCTAAGAGTAATAATACACTAAGTCGTGCCCCTTCCACCAGGCACCGGCCTGTACTTGTACAAGGGAATTTCCCAAAATCTGTTTAGATCCCAAAAACGATGACTCCAAAGTAGTATGTTCGGCTTAGAAACCTCCAGGGCCCTCCATACGTGCCCGCATCTCGGCTGCGAGAATTTCGGGGTGTCGGTGGACGCTAGGCATAAGACCCATGCCGATGGCTCTCCGGAGTGCCTTAGCAATCTTGCGCTGGTTGACAGGTCGAAGGCCGGTTTTGATTCGGGGTTTGATACGGCCCATGCTGGTCATATATTCAGACATGATGGAGAAGTTCTGTAATGGCGAAAAAGCCAACAGTTAGTGGCTGCTCATCACGGTATATACTCCATACAAATAATGGCTTCATTGGCTCAAGAACTCCGTACCTTGTACAAATCCATAGGATTCAGGTTCAATGCATCGAAAGCATCTGTCTTAGGGTTCTGGCGCCTTCCCCATTTCTTCATCTCGGCCGGGCTGAGATCGTGAGGGGCGTAGATGTCTCCAGCCTTGAAATCACGCGCTTGGTATCTCTCAAGGGCTCGACTCTCGCCTTGCGCCTTCTGATCCTCGAGGAACTTGAGGCGACTGGGTAAACGGCGTCGTTGGACCACTTGGGAGGCTATCACAACACGTTAGTCGCTACTCACACTCAAAGTAAATGCGTTCCCATATCATAGAATGGGACAACAAATAAATCAGTTCGGTATATCGGGTCCATCACATACTCTGTGAGCTTGTGCCGCGCTGGGAAGTGAAAGCGCTCATGGCAGCGGTCGAGCTCCAGCGGCAGAACGACAGGCCAACATTGGCTGTGGTCGCAGCATTGCGCAGCAATGACGACGAGGAAAAGAGGTTCAAAGACATCTTGACCTTTCAATCCCTGATTAGTTGTAGATGTTGAAGACGGTGATAGGGAGACCGGGCAACGCGGAGATGAGATCTTTTTTTGCCAAGACTTCTTCCGCCTCCAGGTCTCTCCGCGTCGCGAACCCCCATTTTTCACGATTCCATGCAGATTGCGAGTCAACTTGGGACTACACCTTTTTATCAATCCCTTTTACTTCATCTTAGCTATAGGCTCAGCTCACATCATCCATAATGCAGTCCCATCTCACCAGACGGGTCTTCCGGGCAATCATTAACAATGAACCACTTCGGTTCCCCCAATGCCATCGAAACCGCCTATTGCACACAATCATTCCTGCCCGAGTACGACCTGCTATGTCCAGCCTTCCTTATACATCGCGACGCAACATCTTTGTCTTCAGCTCAGACCCCGAGCGGTCACAATCTACTTTACCCTCTGAAAAAGGCCTGAAACCAATGGCTGATTTGATGAGGGCACTCAAAGATAGAAGCAGAACCCCTCCGAGTGATATTCTCGCAAAAGCATTCCAAACCTTTTTCACAATGCGGCTTGAAACCCCAATGCTCATCAGTCATTTCCAAGCCCGCGCGCTGATCGTCACCTTCAAACATTTAAGGGCCCAGCAGAGCGAGATGGAAGAAGAAGACTGGCAGAATGTTTTCTCGACTGAGAACCTCGAAAAAGTGTTGGATGTACTCTCCGAGTCTGAGTGTGCCCCACAGGCTCGCGAGGTTGTCATAAACCTTGCCCGATACGCATATCAAGAACTAAATCTCGATCATGGATTTGGTCCGGGGAAGATCAGCCGACCGGCACTTGGTCTCTATATCAATATCTTGGCTATGAATGGCAATCCCGAGGATGCTAGACATACCTTATTGAAGTTTTGGGGTCAGATGAGCAAAGCTGTCCCGTCACCCTGGCTCACAATTATGAAGGGATTTGCCATGAAGGACGATCTGCGACAGGTGCGGAAGATTGTTGAAGAGTGGGGGAACCATGGCAACAAGTTTGACCAAGCCTCACATGGAGAGCTAGTCAGATTTCTCGTCGACCACGGTCAGTGGAAAGCGGCCCAAACTGTCTACGACTCTCCAATTGCCGGTGGCTCAGAACCCTCCATGGCTGCGAGAGAAGCTCTCATTAAATATTATCTCTTGAATTCGCGCGCAGACTCGGCGGAGGAGATCTTCAAGTCTCTCCCCAATGAGCCCAACGAAGACACCGCTAGCATCATTTTGCTCTGGGAAGCAGCAAAGGGGAGCAATGCTTCTGCTCTTGCGCAAAAGGTCCATGCATGGACTGCGAAGAATCCTCAGCTCAAGAGCTCCATCAACATTGACATCGTTAATAACCTTATTCAGTATGCAAACGCGATGCAGAACCCGCAGTTGGCTTCTGATTTCATGGCGCTCGCAGGCCAGTGGAATCTCATCCCAGATAGCCAAACTCATATCTTAGAATTGGAGTCCCGCATCCAGGCCGGCGATGTCGATGAGACTTTGAAGATTATCGAAGAGAAGGTCGACGCGACTTCCCTCACGAGCCACAACCTGCCAATTGCAAACAAGCTCATCGCGATGCTCTGTCGATCTGAGGAAAAGGACTCCTTGTTCGATCAAATCTCATCCCTCCTAGACCCGCTTTTCCAAGAGAACGTGCGCCTGGAATCTGCGACCATTGCCGCATTGACACACATGCTACTTTACCGCAATGACCTCGAGGCTGTTTCAGAGTTGCTACGTCCACGACTAGGCAGCTACAGCGACGAACAGAAGATGCCTGTGCGCGACGCGCTCGCAGAGTATATTACGGACAAAACCCAGTCCGATACAGACGTGTGGAATGCATACGAGCTTCTGAAGATCGCGTTCCCGGAAACGTGGGTCTCAGTCCGCACCAAAATCATGACCTCTTTCTTCAACCGGAAGCGCAGTGATCTTGCCGTCTTGGTATTTGGACACATGCGTCAAGCCGATGAACCTGGTCGACGCCCTAGGCCAGACACTTATGCCCGATGTTTCCAGGGCCTGGCTCGCACGGCGGATGCAACCAACCTGGAGCTTGTGCACAACATGCTGAAGCTGGATCTTGAAGTGGATCTCAACACGAGAATTCTAAATGGTCTGATGATGGCCTATGCTGCGTGCGAGATGCCAGAAAAGAGCATGGAAATTTTCCGACAGATTCTTCAGTCGGAGGAAGGCCCTTGTCACAAGACTATCACGATTTTCTTTAAGGTCTGCGAGAAGCATCACAATGGTGCCCAGGAGGCTATTAAGATGATGAGTAAGGTCAAGAAGTTGGAGATCACTGCGAATCGCCCGCTCTATTCGGCGTATATGGAGGCGTTGGCAGCGCAATGCGAGTTTGATCTGGCCGTTGAAGCTATCGACAACATGGAAGCTGAGATTGGGATCCCCCCTACAAGCAATACGTGAGTACATTCCTTCGCTCTTTGTGTTATAGTCGCTAACATAGATCATAGTATCGGGCTGTTCTACAACGCTATCCCGTACCAATACTGGAAAGATGAGGTGGAGAAATGGGCAAGTCAGAAGTATCCCGAGCATTGGGAGCATCTGATGACGATAAAACGCACTGATCAAGAGGACGGTCTAGAGTTTGACGGCATCTCAAACGAAGTGTCGGTGTAATGATTTTTGTATCTAAGTAGCCAGCCAATGTATGATAGTTCCCATAAAGGGGGCACCGATAAATACCTCCTGTTTGAAAGTCCCCTTTCCCTATCGGTAGTGTCTGCTGGCCAAGGGGGATGCTCGCCGCGGATATAGGGGACCTTTGGGGATATAGCGGCATGCTGGACAGCGAGAGAAAGTAAGCAAAAGTGAGAGACAAATGAGCTAAGAGTAATAAAGTCTCGCCTAAAATCGATGTCAAGATGTGACCTTGATTTCCTCCTAAATAAATACAAGAATAGTCGTCCGCTCATGCGGCCTCTGTCCTTGACAACCTAAGACTTTAATAGTCTGATCTATTAGGACCAAGATGGTATTAAGGATGTTATATGTAAGAACCCTCCGAATTGCTTTTTGGATGTTCTTTTTCGAAGTCTTTTTCGATGTCTTCTTAAACATGGCTATATAAAAATCGCCCAGTTGGATCGAATATAAATGGATCAACGTTGCTATAAACCCAGAGAACACTACGTTATTGATGCTGAAAGACGAAACCAGACTAGAATTTAACCCGGAAGCTATACTAAGACCAGATCGAGTATGTATAGAGAACACTTGAAAAGAAAAAGGAAAAAGAACACCAGAAAACCAGAAAAAACCAAAAAGAAACATCCGATCATTCTCTTCCCTCGCCACAGCTCCATCGAGTATTTGAACGCGGCCGTCCTGACCATAACTATCCCTCAGTAAACCGAGAAAACACATCCGCAGTCGCAGTGGCATATTCCCTCTCAATCGTAGCCCGAATGACCTCGTTGCGTACTACAGGTCGACAAGGGTAGTCTTTGGCACAGTAAAGGAAGCCGTTATGGTACCCAGTCACCGGATCACTATCCATCGGGCCCTCTCCCGGTTGGAAATCAAATGCCCACAGCAGTTTAGCAATGGCCAGGAACATGTTGCGCTCAGCCAGATGGATGCCAGGACAGATCCGGCGTCCAACCCCGTAGCCGTAGTGATCGCGACGCTCCCATGTCCCCGGCACATAGTCGGGAGCCAATTGAGGATGTTTGGCAAAGCGCTCGGGAATGAAAGCAGCTGGGTCATCGGGTTGGGATGGATCCATGTGCATCCCCCAGGTGTTGATCACGACTATCGTGCCTTTGGGAAGGAATTTGCCATCGACCCAGTCGTCTGGTACAGAGGTTAGAAGACGATCATAATTTGAAAGAAGAAAGAGCAAAAGAAAGAAAAGAGGAAACAAATAGCCTTACCCTCTCCTAGTGCATGAGGAAAACAGAGTGGAAGTATTGGCCTCCAACGGTGACCTTCCTTAACGATCATGTTGATGTAAGGAAGTTTCTCAAAGTCCTCCCAAACAGGCGACCGGTTGTGGCCGACCACGGCATCAATCTCAGCATGGGCCTTTCGCTGCACATCGGGGTTTTGGATCAACGCTTGCACAATAGCCAGGGTAAGACTGGAGCTAGTGTCCGAGCCCCCTTCCATCAGAACGCCGCCGATGAAGGCCAGCTGGTGCCAGGGGAGATTATGTTTCTCCTGGCTATCCAGGACCTTATCCATAAAGGTACCCTTGTTGTGGCCATCTTCCCGCCGTTGGATCACCTTTTTCAGGATATCGACGTAGAGGGTCTCCATCTGCACGCCGATGGCCTTGGCCCGGTTGATATAGTTGTTGAACAGCCCCTGTGGCAGCAGTTTCAACCAGGGGAACATATCTACTGGTGGTGTTGCGCCTGTTTCCATCACTTCCGACCATTCCTCCATGAGTTTGTAAAGCCGTCGCATGTTGGATCCCTCCCGGTTGGCCGTGCGGATTCCAAATACTGTGATAGGGCTTTTAGGACTTTTCTATCAGTGAATAGTAAATGGAAGACTTACCGATCGAGTTGGTGATACTGTTACTGTACCGCTTGGGATGGGCCATATGGTGTTCCGGGTCGACCATATAGTCTCGAACTAGCTGTATGGCTTCGGCATTGACGATCTCGGTGTGGTGATTTTCCACCATGGTCTCCATGAGGTGTTGGTGAACCAGTCGTCGGAAGGTTCGCCACTGGTCGCCATAATGCATGACCAGTAGGTGATTACCCTTGGTGATGAGATCGTGCGAGACAAAGGAATGGGGCCGGTGGCTGTAGATGCCACTCTTGCGATCGAGGACTTCTTTGACTAGTCGGCGATCGGTAATAACGGCCATATTGCCATTCCCGATCTTGAGCATGAACAATCCTCCATACTGGGCGGCCCATTCGGTGAACCTGAACTCCGCAAGACATTGGCTGTGAGAATTTCCTGTGTGCTTCAAAGGAAATGGGGGATGGAGGCTATCGAACATACTTGATATGGGTGTACTTCTTGGTGATCTGGTGGATGTTTCCAATGAAAGGTAGGGTAGGTGGACCTACGCCAGATGAGCACTCCAGTCTCAATCAACTTTGAAGACGATAACTCACCGTTGGGCATGGTGCTAAGTCGATGGCCATATGTGAAGGCATATCGTACGAATACGAGTACTGGTAACAAGACCAGGAGTAGCAGCAAGAATGGTTCCATAGCTAATGGGATCTATCGAGGCTGAATCCTTTGGGGCTTGGATTTCTTCAGGATCGAGATGAAGTGGGGTAACTATATGTATGCTGACTTATAGATCGACAACCGAGGGGTTGATGCTCAGGTGCATCATGCATGGGATAAAGAAACTCGGTTACCAAAAGGAGTGTGCCCCGGCTAAGATTCCCCTTAGGGAAATACTCTCCTCTTCCCGTAGAGTTGGCTCGAATATACCATGAGAGTTAGTTTTAGAGCTAGCTGACCATGGAATGGAAAAGATATGAAAAATGGGGCCCCAAATGGGGCTTCTAATCATCCCTAAATAGCTGCATTCTTCGAGGTAATCTGATGGCAAGATTATGTAGACTAGGAGGGTGGATTTTATGGTTATCTGATAGCGAGCACATAACCCAGGAAACAAGACCACATTATCCAGGAGGAAAAACGACGAGTTGGATGATCTGGATGCTAGGTGGAACATGAGGTTGTTGGGAGAGAGTAGCTATGCTTGCCCTAAGTGAGGCCAACAAAGCCCCAATTCAACATTCAGAGACAATACACCAGACACAGATAGGTTACTCGACGGGATGATGCGTTGCAAGTCAATCAATTTGCTATTATATCCATATTGTGCTATATAAACAATCATTAGATCATCGGCAAAATTGTCTCGTCAGCCTTAGCTCCAACCCTCTTTGCCTAGCTTATTGTGTACAGCTAACATGGATCCTACTGCATTTCAAAGCCTCGCTTTCTCCGGGATCCCCTTCAGTCGCGGAAACAACTCCAATGCCGCCCCGCTATCCACCTGTCGCCTAGTCTCCTCCGGCAGCTCATACGCTTCCAGAAAGTTCGTGAAGCGTTGGATCGCGCCATGCGGGGCATTGGGGAAGTCACTGCCGAAGAGCACATGGCCGGGCGCAGCGAACTCGAACAGCGCCTTCAACGTGACCGGGTTTGATGAGATGGCCGTGTCGAAGTAGAAGGTCCGAGCAGCCTCCACCAGCTCTTCAGTCGAGAGACCGAGCGTGCGTGGCATCAAGGGCAGCATGGTAGCCGCCCGATGGATGAGATAAGGCAACGTCCCGCCGGCGTGGGAGAGGATGATCTTGCACCCCGGATAGTCTTTTAGAATGCCACTGGTCAGCAGATCCATGGCGGCCCGGCCAGTCTCATGCGGATAATCAAACATGGGCTGCGGTAGCCATGTGTTGACGAGCTGCGTATCGACCGGATGGGTTGGGTGAATGAAGACCACGGCACCGCGACGGCTGAGATCGGCCCAAATGGGTCGAAAGTCTGGATGGCCCAGGTAATGGGGACCCTTGCCGTAGCGGGTGAACAGCGTGACTCCGTCGGCACGGAGAGTGGTGCAGGCGTAGTCGATTTCCTTTAGTACGGCCTCCGTGTCGAACAGGGAGGGGACCGAGGCGAAGAAGCCATACTGGTATGGCTGAGCATCCCGAATGGCAGCAGCTGATTCATTGCAGCTCCGCGCTAGGGCGGCGGCTTTAGAAACATCAGGCTCAATGGCTGGCCCAGGTGCAGTGACAGAGAGAATGGTGGTGGTCACCTTCAATCGTCGTGCCATGTCCTGATCTAGCTCCAGCGTCCAGGGGGAATGTACCAGCCCGAAGGATCACCACCTGCGCGATCTAGGGCTATTTAAGGTTAACCAATGGGGCTCCCATTCCAACACGAACACGCGTAAGACTAACCTAGACGCATGGCCGGAGGGTAGAAATGGTGGTGCACATCGATTTTCGTCATCATGTTCATTGGGGTAGCATTTGCAGTACTGACCCTTTCGAAAAGCAGCACTTAGTGATGGGCTTTTCCTGCTCAAATACAACATACAGATCTCTAGCAGCCATACCCATGTCCGACTAACTGCTGCAGTCTTCCCCTCTCTTTGCATGCAGCAATCATACCACCCTGATCAGAGACATCTTGGCCAGATGGCAGTGCAGGACATCTGAACGCGAATCACCGGTGCCGGGTGAGCGTGAGGCTTGCAGGGGTTGCGGAACACTCCGAACAAACAGCGAGAGAGAGAGGAGGACCACGGTTCTACACTTTGCAGGATGTCTACGGAGTATGCTTACGAAATCTGGACGCATATGCACGCATATGTGCGCTTGACAAAGATGGAATTCATTTATAGGCGCTTATGCTTCTCATCACATCAAACCCTGTCTGGGTCCTTCCGAAAAAGGAAATATCACTCCGAAACTCCTTCGGGTGACCACCTTCCCTGCAGCAACACTAGTTGTGCTGTGTCCTTCCGCTATAGTGCTGGATCTCGATTAGGCACTGGTGGTGCCGCCCTGCGGATTGGAAACAAACACTTTCGTACTATTTTCCGACCCAAAGGATGAAGCTGTGGTGAAGGTATCCTCCATCCACTGAAATTCAAAGATCTTGTTGGCCGAATTCACCTGCGCCCGAGCGGCCCAGGGCGAAATAACCGTCTTCCCCAGAGTGCGCGACGTGGCCGTGAATGAACCCCAGGCGGTCACATTGCCACCATCGCCAAAAATATGGTCGATGGTGAATGGGCCCCGGTCCCAATACAGGCCTACTCGGGTGAAGATGTCGATGAAGGCCTGCGGACCCACATGGGAGTGGGTGCCCGCCCAGGGCATGATCCCATGCAGAGTGGGATTATCGAAAGTGAGCGAGATGTAGGTACAGTCATAGGTGACAAGCTCCTTCAGGAGAATATAGTCGGGATCCGGCTGAGTGTTGAGCACCTTGGCGAACACCGAGACAGGCGTGCGTTCCCAGTCCGAAGGGCCAAGTGGCGGGGGGCTCGAGGGATAATTTCCGGGGAAGTCATCCCGAGCGGCAGCTGGGTGGAGGCCGATCAGGGACACAGCGAGGCTGGTCCACATAGATGGTTTCATTTTGGAGAGATGTGAAACTTGAGCAAGGCTGATTGGAATTGGAACTGCAAATTCTGGCAAACCGGTGCCAGATTCAATATATTTATGGGCTTCCTTTCAACACAAGCAGCACATATCCTCGGATATGATCATCACTCGGGTGGAGGTGGGCTGTCAGGTTCATACTTCCCAATTGTCATCCAGTATGACTCCGAAACTCCCACTGTCTCCTTTAGGCAACTTGTCGGCTATGAAGGCAAAATACGGTCACTTCCAACAATTTCTCACCACGACCATCGCCCTCGGCCGAAGGAGAAGCTAATGGATGAACTACGCGGAGCATGGCAGCCGCGCTGATAAGCCGTGGGTTTGGCTGTTCAAAAGCCAGACGCTTTCTGACTCCGTTCCGCTGGAATTTTCTTTCCGTGACGGCACCCGACGATGAGATTGATATCACAGATTTTCCATGCGACCATCGCAGTTGCTGTGGTCGGCGCTGTGGTCCCCGAGGGGCCATCGAGCTCACAAACCCATCACAATGAGCACGCGCGGCGCATGCTGGGGTCCTCCTTTGGCATCCCCAAGAATCAAACGTTTGATTACATCGTTATTGGCGGGGGCACGGCCGGTTTGACAATCGCAACGCGAATGGCCGAACAGGGTGTCGGCTCAGTCGCCGTTATTGAAGCGGGAGGCTTCTATGAGCTGAACAATGGCAATCTTAGCCAGATCCCCGCCCAAGATGCCTTCTACGTGGGCACCGATCTCGACGATTGGCAGCCCGGCATCGATTGGGGCTTTCACACCACCCCTCAAGCGGTAAGCCGCCTCCCCCGAACAATAGATATCAAAGGCTGATGCATCTGATCTAGGGCGCCTACAACCGGGTGAGCCACTACGCGCGGGGCAAGTGCTTGGGGGCAGCTCGGCGCGCAATTACATGGCGTATCAACGGGGCACCAAGGCGGCGCACCAGCAGTGGGCAGACACCGTGGGGGATCCCAGCTATGCCTGGGACAAGTTCCTGCCATTTTTCGAGAAGAGCCTTAATTACACCCCTGCAGACGACGCGCTGCGCGGGGCCAATGCCAGTGTCGTGAACGATCCAACCGTGTTGGGCACCGGGGACGGCCCCTTATCCGTCACCTATCCTCACTACGCCCAGGCTTTCGCAACATGGGCGAAACATGCCTTCGTGGAGATCGGTCTCCAGATACGCAGCGGGTTCCAGAGTGGAGCACTTTTAGGCCAGTCCTATGGTCTCTATACTATCAATGCTACGACCATGCATCGCGAGTCGTCCGAGACCTCTTTCCTGCGCCAGGGCCTCGCCGATCCAAACCTCACGGTCTTCCAATCCGCCCTGGCGAAACGCATCCGTTTCCACGGTAAGCGAGCTGTTGGAGTCGACGTGGAGACAATGGGATATCCGTACACGCTCTCCGCACGCAAGGAGATTGTACTCTCGGCAGGGGCCTTGCAATCCCCCCAGTTGCTCATGGTTTCCGGTGTGGGCCCCGCGGCCACACTGAAGGCGCATGGTATTCCCCTCGTGGCGGACCGGCCTGGCGTGGGCCAGAACATGCAGGATCATATCATCTACGCTCCTTCCTACCGGGTGAATGTCATCACGCAGTCGGCCCTGTTAAATGAGGCGTTCGAGGCCCAGGCCAACCGCGACTACAACGAACGAGCGGCGGGCATCTACGCCAATCCCACATCGGACATCCTGGCGTGGGAAAAGATCCCTGAACCCAAGCGGTCGGCCTGGCTCTCGAATCACACCCTTCAGGTGCTCGCTGAATATCCGGATGACTGGCCAGAGGTGGAGTTCCTGACGATGGGGGGATATTTCGGCTACCAGAGAAACTATATCCGAGACAACCCCAGTGACGGCTATAATTACGCCTCGCTTGCGGTCTCGCTCTGTACGCCACGCTCGCGGGGAAATATCACGATCACGTCGCCCGATGCGGCGGTGCCACCGTTGATCAATCCCAACTGGCTCACCGATCCGGTGGATGTTGAACTCGCGGTGGCAGCATTCAAGCGGACCCGTGACTTCTTTAATACCACTGCCATCAAGCCCATTCTTATCGGGCCTGAATACTTCCCGGGCTCTCAGGTCGCCACGGATGCGGAAATTCTGGATCATGTCCGGAAGAGCTTCGATACCATTTTCCACGCCTCCTGTACATGTGCAATGGGCCGGGTAAATGACCCCCAGGCAGTGGTGGACTCTAAAGCCCGAGTCATTGGCATTGACGCCCTGCGCGTGGTGGATGCCTCGGCCTTGCCGTTCCTACCACCAGGCCACCCCCAGTCCACAATTTGTAAGTCTTTGCCCTTCCTTATATACACATTTCTTCAAACAGAATGGCTAACTCAATGTAGATGCACTGGCAGAGAAGATCGCGTGCGATATTTCGGGCAATTGTTAAGGGCCGGGTAATACACAGTCCGACTACAAGGGAAGATGAAAAGTATTACATGAGATATATCATCAAGTAGAAGTAAATAGTTACTCAATCTATCACACCTATAAACCTTTGACACCTTTCACACTCCCCCTTACGCAGGTACTACCAACATGACAAGTATATTGTAAATCATCCCTAATATGTCCTGCAACTCCTTACTGCATGGTGATGACGGCACGGAACCGCACACTTCCTTCCATCATAGCCGCTGTAGAAAGTAGGACGTCAGAGAGAATAAACCCACCAAAGGAAAGAGATTTAATACCGAATGCTTCGTTGCACTGTTCCAAAGGGAACTCCTCTATCAGGCAATTGATGCCATGCAGGTCCGCAAACGCGATGGCGTCCTCGGAATCGGTGGCATGGCCACTGGGCCAGCTCCAGATGGATTTACCCTTTCCAACCTAAACTGGCATTAGTATCTTGATCTTTCAAGTCCTCTTATCATCTCTTTTGCTTTCGCTTCTCTCTGATTTTTAGAGAGGGAAACCACACTCACCAACAGGCCAGTATGCACCTCGATACCACCAACAACTATCCTTGTCAGCATCCAACCAAAAGCCAAGGGAGCAAAATGTCTCAAAACCACCCCAAGAAAGCTTACTGGACAAAATTAACAACTTCCCCATCACACCGAGTCCCTGAATCAGCGGGTTAATGATCTCCGGCACAGGCGCCGTAGACACGATCAGGGAAGCGCCGCCCAGCTTCTGCAATGCAGCGACAGGATCCTCCCGACTCGTGTCAATATACTCATGCGCCCCCAACTTCCGTGCCCACTCCTCCTTTTTGGAGTCCCGCGAGAGCGCCACAACGCGGTAGCCAAACTTGTTCGCATACTGGAGCGCCAGATGGCCGAGTCCGCCCAGACCCTGGATGGCGACCAATTCACCCGGAGGGATATTCATATGGCGCATTGAATTAAAGACGCTGACGCCGGCACAGAGTAGGGGCGCATATTGGGCAGCGTTCACATGATCGGGAATGTGCACTGCGGCTTCGCGGCGGATGATGCAATATTCGGCATCTACCGGAGTGGGAGAGGGGAGGTTAGCATTTAGATATTATTCCGTTAGAGAGAATGATAGGAGAATAGTGGTGAGAGAAGAGAGAGAGAAGTAAAGAAAAGGGAAAGACATACACCCGCCATTTCGGGAAATGCCGTTGACTTCCTCGTTATCGCACATCTGGAAGAAGCCCTTTTTGCATGCCGCGCAGGTACCTGTTTAGTGCATCAGTCAGTATATAGTCTCGTCAAGGGCCCAGACCCTTTTGAAGTTGTGGAAAGAATAGTATACATACCATCGTGCCCGCCATGCCATGCACCTCCAATACGATCTCCTTCCTTCCAAACGGTCTCGCCCTCCCCAACGGCAGCCACACGTCCAATGACCTCATGGCCGGGAACTAGGGGACTATAGAAACACCAAAAATTAGACAAAACTTTGTATATTCTAGGAGGGGATGGCTCACAATCCTCCTCCCATGAGATTGGTCTGCGCAAAGTGGTCCGAATGACACACGCCACAGGCTTCGACTTTGATCAGAATCTCATCACGCTTGGGTAGAACCAGGTCAACCTCTTCTAGGGTCAGGCTGGCGCCTTGTTCCTTGAAGACTGCCTGCTTGTAGGTGCTGGGAATAGAGGAGCCCATCGTGCGTGCTTTGCTGGATAATAGATAACTGTGCGAAGGAAGACTTTGTTTCTACAACGTCAGAGGGGAGGAGTGGGGAGTCTAGGACTATATATATATATACTTTTCTCTTATCCCTCTGTCTACTAATACCAGGTGGGGATGCGGAGTCGGAGTTACGGAGCGCTATATTCGTAAATACGGTTGATTATATCCATGGATATCCCCGGGCCCAATGTCTAAATCACAAATCTACTTAGATAACTTGGAACACTCGGCTGGAGAGGGCTTTGTCTGCCGTATCGGAAACGTGGAAACTTCTCAGCAGTTGTATTCTAATCTATCTCCTGAAGATATTTTGATTTTCACTGGCTGGGTAAATTACGATTTATAAACAAAAAGAGCGAAGAACACACCTATGGGCTGACCTCGCGCTCAAAACGGACAGGAAGAAAAGAAAACCCCATTACCAAAGACACCCCAGTCACGGATCTAAAGCCAGTATTCCGTCTGCCATCGCTGGTCCCCCTCCTTGCGGAATGATTCTAGAACCGACGGCGAGGCAGCAGGCAGGATGCAACCACGTACAGAGCACCCGCCGAAATCGCCATCACGTAGACATCACTAATCGAACTGACAATCACCTCCAGAGCTTCATTCTTCAAGGCCAGGGGCAGCCGTTCCATCAGAGTACTCCGGGCGCCGGCAACGGCACCTTGGATGTCCGCATGTGAGTATCCCTTATTCCCCAGCAGAGCAGTGAGCCCGTTGAGGGTCTTGGTTTGGAAAATGGCACTTGCGATAGCCAATCCCAGCAGCTGACTCTGGCCCTGGCCGATGTTCATGAACTGGAGGCACTCCGCAACGCGGTCGGGGGTCACAATAGCCGGTCCCACCGCGTAGGCGGCCTGTGTGGTGGTCATACCCAGTCCCATCAGGATGGAGTACCCGTAGACGTTGGAGGCACTGGTATCCAATTTCACCGTGTACATCAACACGGATCCAATGAGCATAAAGATCCCGCTCACCAGGTACCAGAGGATGAAGAAGCCGGTTTTGGGCATGACATAACCACACAGCAGAATGGTAGCCACGTAGAAGCAGACGAACGGCAACAACCGCACGGCTGACATGATGCCGGAGTCGCCGTGGACGAACTGGAAGTAGAGCGGGATGTAATAAACCGCAACGAAGAGGGAGGCACCACCACAGGCCATGATGATGTAGAGGAGGATCATCGTGGGGTCCCGCAAGAACTCGCCGGGGAACAAGCGGTTCTCTTTGTTGGTCCCCACACAAAAGTACTGACTGAGCACGAAGGCAATGGTGCAGACGGCAGCGACCACGTACAGCGCGATGTTCCGTCCATCCGTCCAGGACCATTCGACACCGCCAAATACGATGAACAGGATAATGGAGATATGCATGCCTGCGGACAGGACCGTGCCCACCCAGTCGAGCTCCACGAGCTTCTTGATGAAGCTGCGGCCTTCACCTGCAGGGCGTGGCAAGGAGGGCAGGAGGAATACATAGATGGGTGACATGACTCCAAAGATGACCAGATTGAGATAGAATGACTATACACTGCGGTTAGCACACTCGTCCTGAGAAATGGGAAAGGAATCACACGTACCCATCGCCAGGTGGCCGAGCTGTCGGAGAAGGCACCGCCAATGATGGGACCCAAAATACAGCCGGTGCCGTAAATCAAGCCAACCAAGCCCACATACACGGGCTGCTCCGTGGGGGTGGTCAGGATGGTGATCAGATTCAGATTTCTAGGTCGTCTTAGTTAGTACTCTCTCTCTTTCTGACCTCTGCCTGTCACGATATAACTTACCCAAGATACATGCCCGCTCCTCCGGCACCCGCCCACACGCGCCCGATAATGATGGCATTCATACTGGGGGCAGCGCCGCAGAGCGCACTACCGGCGGCAAACATGGTCAAACAGCCAAGGAAGAGCCATTTCGTATCGAAGATGGCGTAAGCTTTGCCCAGCGGGAGAATAAAAACAACTGATCCCAAGGTAAAGCCCACACCGAGCCAACCCAGCCGAGTGTACTCGTCAAAGTCACCCGCAATGGGACCCTGGATATCTGCCACGATAGTGTTGTCCAAGCCATAGAGCAGGTTGGCAGAGAAGACGGCAATGCAGACGAGCAGCCAGCGGAAGCCTACGATTTCCCGGCGTGGGGCTTCATCCTTCTCGGCATCTCCGGCTTTGATGATTGATTCGTCAACGCGATCTGGCGTTTGACTTTCGAGCACGCTCTCGCTTGGCGTCGAATCGTCTATACTCATGGTGGGAAGCGAACCGAGCGGCACTTAGTCAGCTGGTTGAAGGTTCAGGGATCTGGGATATGGGTACCACTACCCAATGGAGTCGTAATAAAGTGAAAATGGAAGGTAGAAAGAAATATAGTTATCCGCTCGAGGGTTGGCAAAAGTATTGATGTCCATATTGCCCGACCGTGCCTGGTTATTTAAGTGCGAGCAGTGCTGGAAGAGGACATTTTGGTGACAATGCATTACTCCTTTGGGACATTCATCTTTGTCAGTTTGGTATCTGACCAATCGTAGCTTGCCATTTTACTGATCAGCTCCGAATCTCCTTTCGGAATCCGAGTGGGGCAACGGGAATTCCCGAGCTCAGCTAATCAATTTTGGCGGTGGGCGCACCTATAAAATGAAATAAAGTGGGTCTAGCTGGACCTGCATCCATGGATCCGCTCTAGAATTTCTAATCGTTTCCAAGATTGCCCCCAACCTTGGGTAGTGATTAGCTATAATACATTACAACCTTAGAAATCCAGAAGGGCTCTGGAGATTACTTCGTAAACGGAATTTAGAAACGGAATTTATATGGAACCCCTTTTAGCCTTTTCTCACTATTGGTATTTCTTTCTATGTAGAGGTTTTGCTTGCGACATTAACATCCACATAAGCTACATATATATAATCGTACCAGACTAAAAGACAGAGTAAATACTGAAATATAAGAAACTTTGGAGTTCATTGTACTCCGTAATTCATTTCCAATGCAAATTATCGACTGGGCCGGCCTGCTACTGGTCGCATGTGGGACTGCTGTAGCAGCCGAATTGCCGATTGTGGACCTGGGCTATCAGCGGCACCAAGCCATCGGCTTCAACGTGAGTCTCGTGCCCGCGAGAAAAATGAAAGGCTTAGAAATCCTCTGATGATCAATTCAATGATATACCTAGTCAACCGGTCGCTATTACCAATTCTCCAATATCCGCTATGCCGAACCCCCGTTGGGCCCCTTGCGGTTCGCGCTGCCAGTTCCCCCACGCAATCGTACCAACGAGGTTGTCAATGGAAAGGGACTTGGTAATATCTGTCCCCAGTCTCAGGCTTGTTGGTTCAATGTGCAAAGCCAATTTGTCAGTGCCGTGACCGAGAGGTCTACGTTTAATTTCACCGCCGCATATGACCAGGTCTATCAACAGGATGGCTGCACCAAGCCGCGGCCCGTCGCAGACCAGAATCCACTGGAGTCAGAAGATTGCCTGTTTCTTGATGTGTACGTCCCGGAAAAAGTGATATCCAAACAACGAGACCGAAAAGCAAAACCGAATCCTGGTGCGCCCGTGTTGGTCTACTTCCAGGATGGAGCCTATGTTTCCGGGTCAAAGTCAGACCAGAATCCCTCCGGCTTGATCGCAACTAGTAAGGAAGATGGGTCCTCCGGTATAATCTATGTTGGAGTCAATTATCGAGTACGTGGTCTCCCCCTCTTCTCAGTGCACATTCGTCTCCTGCTCTTTCAGCGGCTTATACGGGAATGGTGTCGACCAGCTGGGCGCATTTGGATGGCTGTCAGGTCAGAAGTTTCGGTCGGCAGGGGGAGTACCTAACGCCGGGCTGTATGATGAACGGCTGGCACTGGAATGGGTACAACGGCATATCGCGAAGTTCGGTGGTGATCCCTCGCGCGTCACCGTCATGGGCGTCTCGGCCGGTGGTGGCTCGATCACGATGCAACTGACGGCCTACGGACGCGCCATTCGCCCCCCGTTCGCCCAAATTATTGCGCAGAGCCCGGCCTGGGAACCGGGCACGAAGACACCTGCTATCGAGGATGACCTGTTGGATAGATTCCTGACATTGTTGAACGTCAGCAGCGTGGAAGAGGCCCGGCGTCTGCCGTCCCAGGCCTTGCTAGATGCCAACTATGAGTTGGTGGCATCCCGTCCGTATGGGTCTGGCGTGTTTGGACCAGTGAGTACCATCCGGAGCTATTTGCTTGTATTTTCGTTCTTCATTTATTTGGATACTGACCAGTTGGCGGTCCCTTCAGGCTATTGATGGTGACTTTGTGCCCGATAGTCCTAAGCGACTCCTGCTCGAGCGCAAAGTCGATCCCTCTGTGCGAATCCTCACCTCGTATACCGCTAATGAAGGCTTCATGTTGGCCCCGGCCAATGTAACCAGCGACGCCACCTTCAACAGATATGTGGATGTGCTGGTCCATAGTGCCAATGCCAGCGTACGCGCTCACGTCGCCCAGGTGCTCTACCCACCCATTTTTAATGGCAGCTGGCCCTATCGCAGTCAACACGAACGGGCGAATCTACTCTGGTCCGAGCTCTCCACCACCTGCAACACCCGATATTTACACAGAGCCGTCGCAACGCCAGGGTATGCAATTGAGTACGCTGTGGCGCCCGCGATGCATCTCTCGGACACCTCGTCTGTCTTCTACAATGGACAGGGCTCTGACTCGTCGCTCAATGCCACCATCGCGCAACTCATGCAGCGGCAGATCGTGCAGTTTGTCAAGACGGGGAATCCAAATTCCAAAGGAGATCCCCATGTCCCTCTCTACCACGAAAAAGCCCATGTGCTTTCTCTGGGAGATGATGGGGTTCGCGTAAAACTGGCCTTGACCAATACAGACCGGTGTGCGTACTGGGAACAGGTCGACTTTTGATGAACTAAGTAGGAGAACGGAACCGTTTTCTTGCTACAGTTATGCTGGAGCGCATTTCAGCTCGAATTAATGATGATTTGTATCCCTATCATAAACACATGTCTAGTAGAGACCAATCATCATTCAAATATGCCATTGACAAAACCTGGTTACTTTCGCCAGCGTACATAGTGTTGAGAATTGCAGGTGATCCTCACTAATTACACGGAGTTAAGGGTTGTTTCAACACTATCCCTAATTGGTTCTTCCGTATAGCAGAAGCAGATCTAGACCATCACTGGAATGCAAGCTCAGCGCTCCCGATGCAGTTTGATTTCCCTTATGCGGTTTCTTTTATAAATCGCGCCACATGGAAAGGTTGCATTCCAATCTAGCCTGTATCCAGTCCTTTTCACCGGCGAATCCGTCACTTGTATTACAAATGGGATTAGTTAAGTCATCTGTTTCTACATGTTTCCATAGAGAATAAGGGGTTATGTATAGGGATAGAAGGTAATCCATGAATATAGAATCATTTCCACAACCGAATAGATCAGATGTTTTAAAGCCCCAATTTTATACTACACCTTTGGTATAAACCTTGCAAGATCCCAATTTGAATAGATGGTGCACGGACTTTATATATTTAAACTTCAACATATCATCATCCTAGCAACATATTTCATAACGCGATAGCTTCCAGATCTCACAATCCTCCTCGTATTACACATCAACACTGACACCCTAAAGCTTGCTGATCTTCCCTACACACATCTGGCCTCTCGAGATCACACTACCCCCAAACCCTGATCACTTCCCCATAATGCTTTGATGCTTCAGTGCCTCTTCTGTCGCCGCAGTCGCGCATACAAGGGACTCGTGTCTCCCAGCGGAAACGAGAACAGGAGCGCATCCTGACACATTAGGTGGCCGACCGTGTACCAGGCAAACAAGCCCGAGACGAACCCGAATGCACCTGCGGCCTTCTTCAGGGCGACTCCAGCAGATGCATGATCGTCCGCAAGCGCGAAGTACGAGGCGGCCAACAGGGTGTATGTGATTTGGGAGGTTCCGAGCATGCCCGTGTACACCAGGTTCCTGTCTCTTGGTTAGCTGCGACTACGTTTTCAGACGGGGTATCTGTATAAATGTGTATCAACTGACATGGGCATTGCAGCGACGGTAAAGAATAGAACGAATATACCCCATACTATGTCGTCATATTAGCCGAAATCACAGCCAAACAAGAAGACAAGAAAAAGAAAGACGTTCCGTAGAAAGAACTCACCAAGCATGAAGTATCCAATCGCATTATTAAATGCGGCAGGATCATCTTTGAAGGCATCTGCCACCCCAAAGGCGGGTGCATTGATCGCCCCAAAAGCCAAGTTAAACAGACCTAAATAGGTACCCGATAGGTCAGATCCCGGTCATGATGCACGACAGGTCACAGGATGGAGAAACTGGATGCTTACCAAAGCCCCCAAAGACCGTATGGCCAAATGAATTCCCGCGCACCAGCTCCCACTGGGCCACCAAAACTAAGCCCAAGCCCGCTGTGAAAAAGCAGTTACCAATATAGGCATTGGTAATGGCTGCGCCTCGCCACTCCATAAGACTCATTGATAGAGTTGTGAAAGCAATCGCAAAAGCGCCCATGCCGAGAGCAGTCTGTTAGCAGTCACGGACAGTTAGACGATGTTTCAATCCCGTGTATGAAGACAGGGCACTTTACTGGGCTGCCGATCTGCGGGACGGGCTGGAAGTCTTGCTCTTTGCTGTTTCTAGGAAGAGAGGAAGAGGCATCGTAGCTCAACTGAGCTCCTTCCTCTGAGGAAGTCATAACTGTTCCCTCGGCTGAGAGTTTCATCTGGTGCCGCGTTGGATCGTCAAATAAAGGCAATAATTGAATCAGAAAGAATACCACAAAACGAGGAGACGAGGGCTTACGATCAGTTAAATACAATTCTCGGCACTTCAACTTGCCTGAAGAAACAGTGATCTAAATACGAACAAGTCTGTCCCGCCACCGATCTAGAGCTGCTAAGGTTTTGGCAGCCAAGGCTCCTTAGTATAAGATGCTGTTCTGACTTACTCCATGGAGAAGTCGGGGTTGACATTCCCAAACCAGATTGGCCAAGGAACTTAGCCCGTCACTACTATGATGCCTCACTTCCCCATGCCGTTACAATTCCATTTCCCCATTCAGTTCTGTGCGGAGAAAGGACTGTCTCTAGAAAGATCATTCACATGCCGGATCTGTAGTGGACATCATGTCATGTCCGTTGGCAGGAACTTAGAGTAGAGCTCTACAATCTAGAACACGACAATGTGAATAGAACCATACGCGAAGAATTTGAAGAGAAACAGTTATTCAAATTGGATTTCTGTGGCGATCTATGGTTTTTCTACTTTTTCTACTATCAAACAAGAAAACAACATCCCAAATTAAGTCCCTCCTATAGCCCGGTGCCGCAGCAGACTATAATGCATCCTGTATCATTGACGGCGCGTTTTGGTGAGATATGTCATCACCAGAACCATGGTGAAATTGAACGCGATAAAACAGATGAAAACGCCGATATTGCGATGCCGATGAGCAAAATCATAGCCATATTGTTGATACTATTGAATGATTAGTTTCCAAACTTGATCTGCTGCCTTGACTTCCTCTCTCTGGATTAGAACTACTTACGTATGACTGTCCATCGCGATACCGGCAGTATTGACACTCCGTCGTGCTGGTCGCATCGAGCAGATATCCAGTGGCGGTTTTCAGGAAATCCTGCGCGTACTGGCCACAGCTCGTTCCATTTACCGGGTAAAATATTGAAACCTCCGACTCGTCGCAGTGAATGGGTAAATCGTGCAACACATCCACAGTGACGCCCTCGCCCAGGTAGAAGAGGGGAGAGATATTGTAAAACCAGCGCCAACCCGAAGGTGTCACTGGCTTCGGCGAAAGCGTGCCGGCGAAGGTGTTGCAGAACATGAAGAAGAATCCGTTGGCAGCAAAGGCAGCCTCGATATTGGGCATCAGCGATGCGCACAGCTGAGCCAGACTGGTGGCAAAGACACCGAAGAGCTCGTACATAAGGAAACTGTATCCTGCGCGCGAGGGGGCGTAGAAATAGCCAACAGGGAAGTACCACAGCAGCCAATAGACCAGCGAGCTGAGAAATGTAAAAGGCAGTTCCACGATAAACGCGGATAAGACAAACGCCAGCCAGTGGTAGGTCAAGCTCTCCCGCTCGCGGTGGACGAAAATATCCCGTAGGGTGACGAAGCGCGGTTGCACCTGTAGCCCTAGTGGGGGGCCCACGATGAGTGACATAAATGCAGAGAATACCCTGTTGTACGCCCCTCGCTCCGTGTTGGGAGACTGCAGGTACGTGAGGGAGTTGAGGAGGGAGTTTCCTACACTCATCCAGAGCTTCGAAGTGACATAATCCGGTTCTCTCCAGTAATACAGCCACGTTCGCTGAACCACCACCCACAGCTGCACATGGAACGGTACCGAATACAACGACTGTTGTTCCAGTCGTGGTGCTTGCTCTGCAGCGGGGATCAGGCTTTGTTCGGCCTTCTCTCGCTCCTTGCCTTGCTGGCTCTCATTCCAGAGGCTAGCCCAATCCATATGGGCGTCGTTGCGAGACCCAGCCCCAATCACGTCCAGGAAATATTCTGCCGGGTTCTCCTCTGGGCCGCAGGGACGACTCCGTGGTTGGAAATACTGGATTGCCTCGTGGCAGCGTGTTCCCAGGGGACCGTCATAGACCAAGTTTCCTCCGCGGCTCAGCAGATACAATTTGTCAAACTGGTCGATGAGCTCGGCCGCCGGTTGATGGATCGTGCATAGAATAGCTTGACCCGAGTCCGCCAAACGACGAAGCAAGCGAGCGATCAACATGGCGGATTGGCCATCGAGACCCGAGGTCGGTTCATCCAGGAAGAGGATCTCTGGTTTGGATGCCATCTCCACGCCAATACTGACTTTCTTCCGTTGTTCGAGGTTGAGCCCGGCGCCGGGGACACCGACCAGGGCATCCGCAATATGTTCCATATTTAACCACTTGATCACCTCCTCGACATAGGCATTCTTTTCGGCCAGAGGGATAGACTCTGGGCGTCGAAGTCGCGCCGTCATTTGCAATGCCTCACGCACCGTCTGAGTAGGAAGATGAATGTCCTGCTGTTGCACATAACCCATTCGACTTCGGAAGAACGTGGGCAGCACTTGACTGTTGAGCGCCAGCGTTCCCGTGAGAGTCCCGATGGAACGACCGGCGAGTGCATTCAGCAGGGTTGTCTTCCCGGCACCGGAGACACCCATCAAAGCCTTGAGTTGTCCACTCTTTACCGAGCCACTCAGATTGTTTAGCAGACGTCTATCGCCCTCCTTGGCTTTGATGTCGAGACAAAGATTGGTCCATGCAAGATTGTGGCTTTTGTCGGGGTCCTGATGTTCTTGCGACCGACTTTCGTCATTGCTTTGGCCAAGCGATATCTCCAAACCTTCATTCCCATCGACTGGTCCTGTTTCGTTATCGATTTTATCACGGCGGTGTAGTCCCCGTGGGCTGCTCTTGTAGAAGACGGTGGCCAATTGGCCCGCGGGTGTTTTCAGCATTTCCATCCCGACCCTGTTCAAATTACAGTGTCAGTCTTACAGTCACAGACGTTCATCGTGAGCTGGGCTTGAGTGCTTGGTGACTTACCCAGAGCAAAGGGCGAAAAAGACGAATAGGGCCGCGTTAATTCCTACATTCCGCCAGAGGTGGGATGTTTGGAAACCGTACTGGGCGTGAATGTACGACGCTCCGGACAGGAGACGATCCCCAGGTTGCGACCCCACTACGGTACAGACCTGATGGGCTATGTCGGTATATCCTGGCCCCGATGGGGCGAGATCCGAGGCACTGCACTGGTAGCTCAGGTCTCTGAATTCATTCACCATCACCGACTCAAATGCATAATATAAGGGCTGTCACAAGTTAGCATGATTCGTCCAAGCCCCATGATACGGTTTCCACTAACATTCAGATATCGCAGCCACCCGAGCCATACTTGCATCTGTGGTGCGGGCACGTATAGCCCCGTGTAGAGGACGTACATATTAAAGAAAATACCCACAGGGAGCACGGCCCGATGCATGTTAGGTGAGAAGATAGCCACCGAGCGAAAGAACATCGACAGAGCGAGATGCTCCAGATAGATAATCAGGAACCAGGTGAAGAAATTCCCGGGCGTCCGCTGGAACCCGGTCAGGAAGTATAAGGGGATATTATAGCAGATCGCCGCCACCTTCCACACGACGTCTGTGGTGACCAACCCGAGCGCGTAGGCAATTGGGCGGGATATCTGGTATCGCTTCTGCTTCAGGATGAGCGGTCGCTGAGCGAATCCATTGCCGAATTCAGCCATGGACTGCAGGGCCGGGACCAAAACCGAGTAGAACAAGGCAGACGCGAAAATAAACAGGGAATTGGTCGTTCGTTGTTGGTTTCGGAACAGCGTGCCCAGTACTAGACTTTGGACGACGATGGTGGCAGCCTCCACTGCCCACAAGCTATAATCACTGGTGACGATTCGAAATTGGCGGCCGGCACAGTACCAAATTTGATGCCAGATAGGGAGAGCAAAGGCCGATGCTTTGACGAGGGGAGTGGGGTGGGCTTGTGATCGTTCTTTGGCCACCTGCACCGACAATCGCATTTCTTGGTAGATGGGACTCGCACTAAATGCACTCTCAAACTCCTCCGCCGTTCGTGGAACCTGGCTTTCCCTGTTCTCCTGGGCTCGTCGCACGTCTGGATCAGCGGACATCACATTGAGGAAGTCGGCAACCGTGGTGGTCGGTAAACACTCAAACCCGAGATCCTCGAAATATGCCTTCGCGTCCTGGACACGGCCGTAGAAGATCTGGCGACCGGAATTGATTACCAGTACTTTGTCAAAATAGGAGACAATTGCATCACTGGCTTGATAGACGCTCATTGCGGCCACACATCGACTTTGCGTCGTCCACTCGCGCATCATCTCCATGAATTCGACCGCGGTGGATGAGTCCAATCCGTGCGTTGGATTATCCAAGCAGATAAGGCTGTGAGGAGGTATGAGTCGATGAAATCGCCATTGGTACATAAATGAGCAGATTAGACCACTTACCGGGCACAGGTGGCCAGGGCTTCCGCCAAAGACACCCGCCGTCGCTCTCCGCCACTGACTCCTCGAATCTTCGCATCTCCCACCTTGGTATCCAGGACATTTTCAAGACCAACTAGTTTGGCCAACTGAGCAACCATCGTGTCAATTCTACGGGCCGAGACTTCGGGACCACATCGTGCTCTGGTCGCAAAGCGCAGGGTCTCCGCCACGGTCAACATGGGAAAGTGGTCGTCGGACTCGGCTAAGGGAGAACTTTCTGTCAGAATATCTCCAAAAGAATCAACCAGCAAAACATGAGAACTTACCGCAGAAGAGAATATCCTGGGGCCGCTGTTGCATCACATCTAGCAGTGGATGACCGCCCAAAGTGAGTTCACCCTGGATCTCCTTGTACTCATCCCACAGGCCTGACAGGGTCTTCAAGAAGGTTGTACACCCGCTCCCCGGCTTGCCCAAAACCAACAACATTTCTCCGGGGTCGATCGTGCCCGAGAATCCGCTGAGGATGGGTCGAGAATATTGTTTCCTTTGTCTGTTTTGCAGAGGACTCAACAGCCCAAAGACCGACTGGGCCGCCGAGGTGACGGTGGGTGCATCTTGCGACTACCAACTGTTAACTGAGATGCTTTCAATTGGAATCAGTCGTACTAACCCCGGTTCCGCTTCCCACGGCTGATATCTTGTCAAAGACCACCCCGGTGTCATCGGGAATGGCGCCCTGGCGTATTTCAAGGAAGCTGCGAACACTGTCTGCAATCGATTCCCCCGTTGGTGCAATCTGTGAAGACTTTGACGACGGGCCATCGGTTTCGGCCAACTCAGATTTCGGTGCATCGCCATCGGACTGGATGGGTGTCTTTGCCTCGTCTAATGACGAATGATAATTATCTACCATTATGAAGGTATGAGACGGTGCAAAACTATCACAACCCCTTCAACTATCAGAGAATCACATTGTTTAGAAAAGGTGGAAATGGACGTGTTCAAAAGGAAATCAAAATAATAGCCCATCTCGTCTACCTCCTTTCGTTGTCCAATCTAGATATATGGTGGGTTCCCAAAAGGAGTTTCGGAGTTTCGAGACAGTCCAAATCGGGTAAGTGTTCTGGGCCTACTTTCAACTCGCCTAAGGGAGAATGCTAAGGTGAATGGCCTAGTGTAGCTCTCAAAGGGTCTGAGAGCCAACGGTTATTTCCAACCTATAAAGTAAAAGCTACGAACTCCGAAGGGGGCCGGAACCTATTTCGCTGTTTTAACGTCTCTTTGTTTTATCTATTTTCTCCACGTTCAACATATTCCCATTCCCATTCACATTTCAATTCCAATTCCTAAATTTATTGTCAATCATGGTTCTCACAACTGGTCTCAAAGGCGCTCATGTGCTCATCACAGGTAAGAAAAATATGCAAAATAACAAAAATACATCAAGTTGCGTCCGACTAACACGGTGACTAGGAGGCACGCGGGGTATGGGAGAGGCAATGGTGCATAAATTCCTCCAAGAGGAAGCCAATGTATCCTACTGTGCCCGGACCGTCACCAATACCGAGTACGATGACTTCCATCAGACACTCGATGAGGGAAACACCGCCCGCGCCGTGGGCACGGCGTTCGATGTTGCTAGCAAAGACGCCCTCGTCCAGTGGGTCGAGAGCTCGGCCCAACGACTCGGACGAATTGACGTGATTATCGCCAATGGTGATTAATTTTCCTAGCATCCCCTCGTTCAAATGCATACTGACTGGCCGCAGCATCGCCAATGCATATGGAAGGCGAGACAGAGCACTGGGAGAGCAGTTTTGCGATCGATGTCATGGGATTCGTCGAGCTGGTCAAGGCGGCCACCCCCTACTTGGAAAAGTCTCCCCAGGCATCCATCATTGTGCAGAGCTCCTTCATGGGCCGGGAATTCTACCGGTCCCCTCCGGCGGCCTACGGGCCCTGTAAGGCAGCGCAGCTGCAACATGTCCAGGAATTGTCCCACTTTTTGGGACCGAAGGGAATCCGGGTCAATGCCATCTCCCCAGGACCGATCCTGTGCAAGGGAGGTCCCTGGGAGCTGTATTCAAAGATCAACCCGGAATGGGTGGAGGAACAACGACAGAAAATTCCTCTTAAGCGGCTAGGAGGGCCGACAGAGGTGGCGGCCGTAGCAGTGTTCCTGGCGAGTCCCCTGGCCAGCTTCGTGTCGGGCACGAATATGTTGGTCGATGGCGGAATTCATGTTGGCACCCAGTTTTAGATTCTAGAACCCAGAACTTAGAATGATACCAATGATATCGTTGTTTTGTAACCCCAAGAATCATCCCTTTCTATATGGCTGGTTGATAAAGGCACACTCCGAAAAGCAAAGAGGAACAGGGATCGAGATCTGTTGTTCAACTACCTACTGCCACGAAGCTGTTTATGCTTCATGAAACAAAGGGAGGTCTGAATAATTAAGGAGCAAACAAGCAAAGCCTTGCTACCTTGCTGTCTGGATGCCACTGCATCACATAGCCTCACATATCTAAACTGGTATTGCCCTCCAACGTTAAGCAGCAGAGATACTACATAGAAAGACCCACATAGCAGTTCAAAGAAAGAAATTGAAATTGGTCTAGACAATACTAGCTGTAGAGAACTCTGATCTTACTTCCAGAACTCTTCCAGAAACGTTGTTCCCAATCGCTCCTAGTGTCTGAGAGACGACCAGTAGAATACCATCGGAGTCATCTCGGAGCCTGAAAGGTATCATGCAAAAGCTTATCATGCAGTAAGGTATCATCATATCATGCAGGTAATACTACTGGGCGTTGTGGTCTTGACATTTGGACTTAATAGCCGATCTCACTCTAGTGGAGCCAAAAGAGGTAAGAGACATCATTGGAGACCAAGGAAAACTCTTCGTAAAGGATGACCTGGGGCTACATCGGCTGCTATCGGACACAGAATCCGCTCCCTCCCCATCTGGAACCCACCAGGCCCCCAACAGACATCCCCCTCCGATCTGGTGTCGGGGTAGGGCAACTCAATGCCATTTTCAAGGTTTTGGAGAATCGATGGTCACAAGAAGCTCGTGGTGAAACTATAAGAATATTCCCCTCGACCGGCTCGTAGTATAGCAAGCAATTAGATCAGCTGGATAGCCCGCTTCACAATGCGTCTTCATCAATCCCCATCTCTTATTCTGTTGTGCGTCTTTTCTATTCTCCAAGTGTCCACCAGCTTCTCCTCGAACTGCCGATGCATGCCCGATGATAGTTGTTGGCCTTCCTCAAACGACTGGGCACGCTTCAATACATCAATTGGCGGACGATTAGTGAACACACAACCACTGGGACAGCCCTGTCATGACCCCTTCTATACTGCCAGTGAGTGTAATTCTCTGAGACAGCATTGGACGAAGCCAGAGCTCCAGTAAGTATTACAATCTACACAACGATCCCCGTCGCCGGCTGCTCAATCAACCTCATTCAATAGCGATGCGTCCTCCTCCTCCATCATGGCGGCCCCCGTAGCCAATGAAACCTGCGATGCCTTTACCCCCCGATCAAAGCCCTGCACGCTTGGTGCGATGGTGCGCTATGCGGTCAATGCCAGCTCACCAGATGACTTTATTCAGACCATTCGATTCTCCCAGGAACGAAACATCCGTCTCGTCATTCGCAACACAGGCCATGAGTATGCATCATCCAGTATAGATAACATGTTCCCTCGCTGATACTTCATCCTAGTTATGCAGGGAAATCAACGGGTGCCGGCGCACTATCCATCTGGACCCATTTTATTAAAGACATTGACTTCCTGAACTACACCAGCACGCACTATACCGGGCCCGCCGCGCGGATAACAGCAGGTATTCAAGGCGCGGACATTAACCCGGCTGCCCATAAAAAAGGGCTTGTGGTAGTTGGCGGGGAATGTACCACTGTAGGCCCCGCCGGGGGGTTCACACAAGGAGGGGGTCACTCAGCCCTGAGCTCTCGGTTCGGTCTTGGAGCCGACCAGGTTTTGGAATGGGAGGTTGTGGATGGGATGGGACGGTTGCTTACCGCATCACCCACCCAGAACCCGGATCTGTACTGGGCGCTAAGCGGAGGTGGTGGAGGGACATATGGTGTCGTGTACGCCATGACCGTCAAGGCGTTTCCCGACTTTCCCGTCACTGGTGTCGTTCTCCAATTCAAGAATAAGAACCCTTCGTCGCACCATTTCTTTGAAGCAATAGGGCACTACCATCGTCACCTACCCACATACACCGCGGCTGGTGGAATGGCCATCGCACAGATCACAAACTCGTCGTTCCTGCTCACCCCGCTGACTTTGCCTGCTCATACAGCAGTGGAGGCCAAGAAGCTGCTGGCCCCCTTTCTGCAGGACCTGCACAAACTGGACATCTCCTATACCCTGAACATCACCGAGTCGCCGTCCTATTTCCAGCATTATATGAAACTGATCGAGCCCAACCCGACGCAACTGGTGCAGAACGCGCAGTATGGAGGTCGCCTTCTCCCGCTCGACCTCATCCAACACAACAACTCGCAGCTCACGGATGCGGTCCAGAAAATCACCGCGGATGGAGTTACGTTCGTGGGTATTGGTCTAAATGTCTCATCATCTGTAACCGGCAATATCTGGAACTCCGTTCTTCCTGCGTGGCGTACAGCAGCAATGACTGTCATCTTGACTACGTACGTTTTTCGTTTCCTACATGCTGTGCAAACACTTTGTTTCAATATGCTCGCTGACACACATATACTCCAGGGACTGGCCCAGTGCTGCCAACCTCACCGAGATGAAAGTTCTGGCAGACCGAATGACGACCAAATGGGTGCCAATCCTGACAGCTTTGAGTCCAGATTCGGGGTGTTATATGAATGAGGCAAGGCGAGGGACATTCATGATTCGCAGACTACTGGCTAACTATACAGACAGGCGGATCCCCAACAGCCAGACTGGAAACATACCTTTTACGGTCGCAACTACAATCCGCTGTACGCTATCAAGACGAAATATGATCCGTTCCAGACATTCTACGCCCCGACGGCTGTTGGCAGTGAGGACTGGCAAGTCGAGGCTGGTGGTCGTCTGTGCCAGGCCACCAGGATAAATTGACACGACGAGATGTTCTCCGAGCCCTGTGGGAAGTGGGACTAAAGTTTTGGAATTTCCTATAGGACTTATAGGGCCATGCGACAGGACCAACGGTTTTATAGTCCATGAGGCTTGTCGAGGCCCAGTTGCTAGAAAGGGCCGATTTATGAAAGTACATGATAACAGAAATCTTTACGTCTACCTAAATAGAAGGCCAGTACATATCAATGATATCAATATATAAATGGCCTGTCAAATATATTTCATAGGTAATGAAACGCAAAGGTCTAGAAGTGTAACCGTCCCCAACTTTGTGCCGTGTAAAACTGGTTACTGAATACAGATGACCAACTAACCCCCTGACGAGATTTCATGATACTATGATTAGATGTATTCAAATGCTTCCCCCAGCACACTCTACAATAATATATGAACTCACTACAGATACACCGGGTCATAGGCCATGTGCCTCATTGTAATCACTGGACCCTTAGCTTGGAGAGACCTTGTTATGTCAAAAGAAGATCATCACTCTGCTGACCAACGATATCCTGCCAATCCAGTTGACTGTTTCCCACTCCTCCCTGAGCTCGACGCTTCCATATCCACTCCAGAACCCCCAACGCTCGTTTTATATTCTGGAATTCGTCTCCCGACTGGCAATATCCTCTGAAGTTAAAGCTTTTGCGAGTGCGCGAAGGGAGGCGGCTCGTGCCTCTAGAGCGGTTATATGATAGGCGCTGTCATAGACGGAGAGGTGACCCGATGACCAAGCGACCAAGGCATCTGCTAGGGCGGGGGATTCAACCGCCATTGGGAGGAAGTCTTGATGGACTTTAGCATTGAAATGATTTATTGGTAATATGATATGGAACATACCAGAAAGGAAGGAATTGTACTGTTGGCTAACTGTTAAAAGCTCGGCCAGGACGTCGATGTAAAATTTCATTGCATAGCGTCGTTTGGAGGATTCGGCAAGGTGTTTTCAGCGCGAATGTAAGATAGACATCGACGAGCGGCTTCATTTGTTCTGTAGCCATCAGCCATTCGCTCATGTTGTTTTCGACATGATGGAGCAAGCCCAAGTGCCCGAAAGTGAAAAGCTCGTCTGCTTCGTGGACGTGAGAATCTTTCCTGGTCGGCGAATGCGACTGTCGCAATGTGGTTTCCGCCTGACGCCAGATTAAAGTAGTGAGCTCTTGGTCGTACGATAATTTGCTGGGCTTGTTCTTCACTATAACCAAGTAGTGGCATTCTCTTTTGGAAATCTCGCAGTTTCCACAGGAGGGCTGTTGTTCGTCACACTTGATGTGTCGTTTCTTGCATACGAGGCATCCGTTGCGAGATTTCCGATGGGGTTGACGGGTTTGACGGCGTCCTACTTAGTGCGTCAAGTCCAAATGAACCAGGCGTCACAAATAATGTGAGTCATAGCTTACCATCCGAACAACAGAAATACGAGTAAACGAAATTGAAAGCTGCGCGAGGGACCATCTATTTCTAGATTGGGTACTATACGCGGCAATTCTTGTCGGCCAATCGATTCCTCTTTTGGTCAATTACGCGGGAACTTTGTATGACCTCCGGAAGTGTCAATAATAACGACTGATCAAATCTCCACGGGCTCCATATATACGGATACGACCGCGCTATGATTGGCTAGAAATCGCGCATGTTTCTTTTCACCTTTAGCAACATCGAAGTATAATCCAATTTGAGCCGCTGTTCCCAATTCCTCGGGGGAATTGCCCAGGTTTTGTATCCACTGAAAAACTCGAGGTGACTGTTGTTTTGCAACCTTGGTAGATCATCGAAGTCCATTCGCACGTGTTGGGAGGATAATATATGGAGAAAAGAGGTAGGGGGGAAGAAACACATCTTTGGGAGGTAGACTGCCACAATCTTCACTGCTAGCCAAAGTCTATGGCCGTGGGATGTTGAGGCTAGAATGCATAATCTAGATGAGGAGCGAGAAGTGCGAAGACCACGAGAATTATCAGAGTACTTGTAGTTTAATCTTGTTCAATATAGATTTGATCCCGACATTTAAAACTCCAAAATCCGGTACATACACGTCCATATGTGCTATAAATCAGTTATCATCCAGTTTGTATATCTTCTATTTCTCTCCACCTAGCAGAACCCGCTGCCTGGTTAAGGACCGTGGATTAGGGTTAGAGATGGCGGTACTCTAAGTCGGACTAAATATAAAAATCGCCAAGACAAAACAATAAATAACAGTGAAAGAGAACACGGCGAATCACGAGTTCGTCGTCCAAGAATCCAGGATCATCGAACTCGCATGCAACCACTGGGCTTCAGTGCCTATGACCATGTCGGCAGACGTGGCCGAGGGCATCGACATAGACTCCGTCGTCCCCAAAGAAGGGGATAGTTCGGCTAATGACCCAATGGGCATCATGTCCATTAACTGCATACGCGCTTCAAAGTTAGGCATTGGCTGATGTTGTGATACCTCCAGGGTAGTAGGTGGCAGCGCCCGCTTGAGTGAGTTGGGCCGGACTTCGGGTTGCCCGGGCGAGACGAACGAGATCTGGTTCGACTGCGGCCTGGGATTCTGCGCCCTGGTGGACAAGGACTGGTTGGCACGCGGCGTTTGTCGCCGTGTCAGACCTTGTTGGACGTTGTTGATGAGTCGATCGGCCTGGCAACTCACTTCGCGGACGACCTGCGCCGCATTTTTGGCTGCCAAAAAGTGATCACTGACTAGGTCCAGCGTGCGAATCGCCGTCTGCAGTGACTTGCGGGCAGACGGTGTCGGGGGACAGACGGAATTGGCGAGCACGAATCCCAGGGTACACAGAATGGCATCCCACTGGTACTGGAAGATGGGCGACCAGCCGCGCAGGAGATCCGTCTCAGACAGCACTTGGTTTAGAATACTGGTGATCGCCATGGCGTGATTCAGACAGGAGATGTTGTAACCGTCGGTCCGCGGGGTCATGGAGGAGCTGACGGGAGGGAATCGGATAAAGGGACGCAGTGTCGAGATCACAAGATGGTGATAGTGGAGCTCCAGCAGGAGGCGTTGGCGCTGCAACCAGAGCGGGCTATACGGGCACAGATTCAGCATGTCCCGGTTGGTGGAGAAGGGCTCACCCGCCCCCTTGCGAGCATTACATAAGGACTGCGGCACATTTTGAACCCAGTTATGAATGGCTGTCATCTCCTGTCCGAGAAACTCGGCCAAGGTCTCGAGGAGGCGCGGGTCCTCATATAGATCCTTGACCTTATCCCCGTTCAGCAATTGGGAACATTTCCGATGTAATGCTGTTTGCACGCCCTGGACGAGATATATGAGCTTCGTGCACTGGACATGGAAGCTGAGCCAACTAATATCCTCATGATTCGTGAGGAGGACTGTGCCAGATAACCGGGCGTGCTCGCGACCATCTCCCGGTAGCCCGCAGCTGACATGGGACAGCTGAATGAGTGGCGGCCGACCCAGGGTCATTGAAAGCTGGATGTCGATCCGATAAAGCGTCCACCAAATCCGGCGCTGTAGCTCCTGCTGCTCCGAGGATGTCCCGTCCAGTGGGCGGATATGCAGCCGCAGAGCATGGGCGATTCGCAGCGTAGCCCCCAGGTTAATATGCGCCGTATTCAGCAGGGAGGTGTTGTACAAGTAGACAATCGAATAGATATGACTCTGCACGACCATGATAGTTGGATTTTCGAGCTCACTCTGCAAAAGCCTCTGGGCCCTCTGGTAGTAAGTTCGACTGGCTAGATTCGCGTTTTTGGCTTGCCATCCAGACTCCGGATCTCCCTGCTGGTTGTCTTCGCTGACGAAGAACGTGCTGCTGTACTGCATACAGACTGCCAACAGCACATCGACCAAGGCGGACGGCTTCCGGGTAGACATTCCATCTGTGGAATTGGACCATAATGAGTCATAATATTGCTGAAAATCGCGTTCGTCGAGGATAGGATAGACACAATGAAAAGACTGCCAGAGCAGATTGAGAAAGTGTTCCTCTTGTGACCGGGTCAGATCCTCGGCCTCCTCATTTTCGTCCGTAGACTGATCCGCCTGGCTGGCCGGGCTTGCATCATATCGAGACGGTTGATGGGAGGGGGCAATATAATGAAAGCGTGCCATGCATGCCTCCAACTTCGCATCTTCTATTGGCTGGTTGAGTGCTTGGGAGAGATAGCGACTGATTCGAGAGACAAAATATGAAGATGACAAGGGCCCGTAGTGAATCTGCCCCGTCTGCTGGAGGCCTTGCCATCCTTCCGTAGTATTGGTGAGGTCCGCAAAGTCGAACGAGGTGTGGGCAGCATCCGACAGTGGTGGCGTCGCGAAACCCGTCTGTGCTTGGATTTCCGCTCCATCTTTGAGTTTCGCGATCTGATCCTGAAGGTCCTTGACTTTATTTCGTAACCTTTGCATCTCTCTGTCGATATAGATCAGCAGGCCATTCACGCTCATCCCGATGTGATTCTGAGGGGGCTGGATATTGGTTTCCTACCGGTTTGCAGCCGGGAGCGAGGTGGCCTCCTGTGGCTTTGTGTTGCTGCAAGAACCTCCGCGATTCAAGCAGTTCTGACATGGCTGCTTGTCATCACATCGTACACGATTTAGCCGACACCAGTCACAGGCCCGGGCGACCTGGTTGCGCTTGGGTCGTGGAGCTGTGATAGGAGTGGCTGATCTCTCACGGGAGGCGTCGATTGTGGTATCGAAGTTGGCGGAGAAAGTGGAGTACATGACGGAGCGGTGAAGAGAACAAGACAATTCAGATATTCATTCAGACCAGTTTCAGTCGACTCCAAATGGCGGTCGGAACCTTAAAAGGAATTTCCCTCTGGACTACTCGAGACTAGATGGGAGGGGCGGAGGTGGGGGGGGGGGGGTAGGAGGCAGATCGCGCAAAGGGAAAATCAGATGCGCGGTGTTGGGGTTGGATGCCTGAGGTTGCGGATCTTGGCCGAGGACAAAAGTACATGCAAAAGCAGGGATCACCGGGCATCCCTGCACGGCATGAGACTTGCATGAAAAAAACGAACAAGAAGGGAAAAACAAACGAGAAAAAAAGCCGAATGCTACCTAGGAACACACCCAAAATCCCACTAGTGTGTCATCTCGTCAGCTATTCTCAGATATTATCGTGGACATTACCAAAATTGGCCTAATTCGCCACTTCTCTTTGTTGGAGTCATAAGCGATGATCGTCCACGCGGGATTGTGCTATTGGTCCAAGTCAGACAGATAAGATAATAAACCTTAGACCTTATACCTACTTCGTGCATGTATTCGTAGATAACTTGGCGTGAACAGGGGGTCCCATCTTGCTATAGATCAGTGACCTTACAGATATATAGTTTTGCCCAGATTGCCCAAGTATTACTGCAAAAGCTTAGCCCTAGATTGGCAATGTATCTATGTGTGATCGACATTTATATGGTAGGAAATACAATAGTAATATAGACGATATATAATCCTAGGCAGTATAGATCAAGGGAGATAAAATCAGGACTATTAATGCATACTCCATGGGTGATGCTGAAGAAATATACTAACTAAGCGGAATAGGCACATGCGATGCCGAATAAAAATAATAATTAAATATCAAATTAAATCAAATTAAATCCTAGCGTGAGTTCTATAATCCTACCATCCAGCGCTAAAGAGATTCTTCACGATAATTCACCCCCACGTCCTATCCAGAAACTCCGCGAACTCCAGCCAACGCCTCAAAGGCGTGCTATGACGATCACCTTATCTTAAAAGTCAGATCCAATCTGTGAAGAATGGGAGTGAGGTCCGCGGTTCCGCTGCTCCTCTGGGCGACATGCATTGGCTGCGGAAACGGAGTTGGCAATTATGCATTATGCCATTCTCCAATACGACGTGCATATGTGCAGGGATTAAAAACGTATTTTTGGAGAAGGATCCAGATTGCCTATTCCAGGTACGATGTAGTAGCCATGTGGTAATCATAATATGCACAACTAGACCGAGTTGACTGGCCTTGCCGCTTCCGCGGTCTTATCAACGAAAATACTACGCCATTAGAAGCAAAGTAGCCAATTGATTGAAGCACGGGATGGGATGTAAGGTGTTAGGAAAAGGAATGCCACGCCGATCGGGGGTTTCAATCAATTTGAATGTATCCACACGGAAGGGTTTTGCGTTGATTACATGGATGATCTACATAAGAATAGGGTTTGATGCCGAGATGACAGACATAGTAGCGTAGATATTTTCGTCGGACACGAGTTCGCATGGAAATACCCAATGGAGAGGGGAGGGTGATAAGAATCACATTCAAGTGCATATCCTCTAATCTAACTAATCAAATCGAGCGAATACCTCTTGCGCCTCGGCAAATTCCCGCATAATCGTCGCCCTCTTCTCGGGGGAACGCAGACGGATGGCACATCCATAGTCCTTGGGGCAATGAAGAAATCCTTTACTAGCGCCAGAGTGAGCTGAAATGTCACTGTCGCTTCCGGGTGGCTCGAGGAACTCGAAGGCCCAGAGCAGCTTGGCAACACCAATGATCAAGTTACGCTCCGCCAAGTGAATGCCCGGGCAGATGCGCCGGCCCGCCCCGTAACCAAGGTGATCACGCCGTTCGGACGCTGCGTAGGTTGAGGCCAAGGCTGGGAACTCTGCGAAGCGTTCAGGCTGGAAATGTTCTGGTTCCTGCCATCGGTCACTGTCATGATGCATGCCCCAGACATTGAGAACGATGCTCGATCCTTGCGGAATGAGTTTCCCATTGATGTGGTCATCTGCGAAGGCTTGTTAGCCAATTTCTTCGGGGTTTGATTTTTTTTTCTTTCTCGGTTATTTTCTTGGCGGGAGGGAAAAGATCGGATTCAACTGACCTTCAGCGACGGCGTGGGGAACGCCCAAGGGGCTGACCGGACGCCACCGGTGGGACTCTTTAATGATCATGTTGATATAGGGCAGCTTGGACCAGTCAGCCCAAGCCGGGGAGCGGTCATATCCGATAATGGAGTCGATTTCTGCATGAGCCCTGCAATACCACCTTGTCAGCTTTCTTACTTGAGAAGATGAGGATGAAAGACCAGGCCCGGTCGGCATACTTTGCCTGCACTTCTGGATATTTCGTCATGGCCTGGATAATGGTCAATATAAGCGAGGACGAAGTGTCAGACCCTCCTTCCATCAGAACTCCTCCTAGGAACCGTAGCTCATTATCGGAGAGCGGAGTCTGTTTCAGTGTATCTAGAACCCGATCCATGAAGGAGTCGCGCTGAATACCCCGTTGGCGGCGCTCCTTAACTTGGTCTAGCACAGTTTGGTACAGGTCCTGCATTAGATCACCCACTTCGACCGCCCTATTTCGCCAGTTGCCCAACAGCCACTGGGGCACATAGCGCAGCAGAGCGAACGAGTCAACAGGCGGGGTAGCGCCAAGCTCCTGCACCAAGGACCATTTTTCCATCAGGTAGAAAAGCTTCTTCATGTAGTCATCGTGGATGGTTTTGGTGCGAATACCAAACACAAGCGAATTGGTGATACTGTTACTGTACCGCTTGGGATGCAGCATGTGATCCTCTGGCATGGTCAGAAAGTCATGTAGCATCTGCTTGGCCTCCGCCTCTTGGACTTTCCAGTGGTCGCGCTCGCAGCGGGGTTCCATGAAGTATTGATGGATGGTTTTACGTAGCATGCGCCATCGCTCCCCATACTGCATGACCAGGAGATGGTCACTCTGTGTGATCAGGTGAGATACCAAGGATGCCGGTCGGTGGGAATATATGTTGCTCTTTTTGTCCAGAAGCGTCTTGATCAGTTTCTGGTCGCTGATGACGATGGTGGTGTTGTTATATCGCTTCAGCGTGAAAAAGCCACCATATTCCTTCGCCCACCGGGAAAACCTACAGAAATCACTTAGCATGTTACCCGGTTACATCACAGGGGAGTTGGCCTTCACTGGAAATGTGCATCTGATTTTGGCACCTGCAGTTCATTTCCAAAAAGTGGAACGGTTGGAGGACCTGTGCACACGTTAGATGTGAAGTTCCGCCACTTCATTGCAACCACATACCGTCTGGGAGCTCTGCAGGTCGATGTCCTGAACGGAGGAGATACGTGATAACAAATAATGCGCTGGTACTGCTGAGTAGTATCGCCAGAAGATGCGTTGGTGCGAGCTGTAGGAAATCCATAGTGTTGACAGGGTGGCCGGAAAGTTCTCCCTAGGAAAGACTTATTGTCTACATATACTTATGTTCCTCATCGCCGCGGGGAAAAGGGATAATACCTATTTTGAGATTGGCACTCAACTAGGCGGGCGATGGTTTCATGTTCCTAAAGGAGAATCGGAGTCCGCTCGTATAGAGCTCTCATAGCTAGACATATTGTCTACGGGTGCATCCCATCCTATCTACTTGGGTATTATATCAACTAAGCTTTCGTAATGCTCCCAAAAATAAGATCGGAGCCTTGCCTGAATAAACAGTTGGGGGTCAAGCGTATGCTACAGGCTTGGAGGATACTAAGAGGGGTTAGACGTCCTATTAGCTCCTGGTGCACGAGGGACAATCCCTCTATGTTTGACAGTCTATGTAGAAAGAAGAATCCATGGGAAACGGCAGTTATTTTGTATAGGGTATATAAGAAATGTAGCTCTGGAGTGTTCTATGGATGACAAGTGACACACCACGTCAAGTCATGTGTTATCTTGAGATCATCATAGTCTTGCTCTTTCTACTCTCCACGGTTTCTTCCTGAACATATCTCAGTCTAGGCAATAATCAAAAGCCCATCTCGTACTCGCCCTACGCAGGAAGCAAGGAGTGGAAATAACGATTGAATTCAGCACAAACTGCGATTCATCCATGTATGAACTAACAAGTGTTGGGTAATACGTCTCTATTTGCCCGAATCATCGGCCACTGTCCGTCGCTGTGTCCAAGAACCTAGATGCTCCAACTTGCTCTCAACCCCCGTAGAGTGACCATTGGACCCATTCACCGACGCGGGCTGTACGCCGTTGAACAGCCCCTGTTCATACGCAACTGCGCCCAGGGCCAATGGGGCGGGAGACATATCCTCCACCCACGGCTCAAACTCAGCATTTTCAGGCTTAGCCTTTGGTTCCAGCGCTGCCTGTTTGGCCCAGGATTTCTCCTCTTCGAATGCAGCATGCACCAGATGCCGCTGGAAGAATGAACCCTTCATCTTGGCGACGGCAAAGTCCCAATCCGTAGTGTATTCCCGGAAGAAGGGCTTGTACCCTAGGAGTCCCCCAATCCACCGGCCCACAATCACACATGTCCAGTATCCAACCTGTCGGCGGAAGGGGACCCATGCAGGAGCGGGTGTATAGGCATCCCCGCCGTCTTGAATCTACTATGATGTCAGCCCCGATGGCAAGGGGAATTGCGCGCTGAGAATAGATTCATACCGCAAGGAACTGGATCCAATCGATCCCTCCATCATGCAACAACGCATCATGCCAATAGCCATACCAGTTTTCGAAGAAGACCCGATCGAGCTGGTAGTCGTTCCCCGAGTCCGACGCACTCAGGTAGACAGTCATGCTCTCGGGAGAATCTGGATGAATGAAGAAGTTATGCACACTGCCTGCTTTGACCGAGATCTCGCCGTCTTCTGGGGTGATGCGGCGGACGACCCCGTCCACTGAAATACCGAGCACTCCATTCTCGACGCGGAAGTACTCGGTTTGAAATTGGTGGAAATGCGGCGGCGGACCCTTTGGTCGATCGGGACTATTGATGATCTTGCGCAGGTTTTCCGGGATTGCGCCTTCAATGTTGTGGCGGTATGTCTGACGGAAGAGAAAACAACGGCCCGGTGGAGGTTCAAGGAATTCGGTGGTGAGAAGACCGCCAAATCTGGATTACGGTCAGCGATCCCAAAACCTTTTGCCCCATAATCAGCAGTGAAAAGGGAGCCAATTACATACTTAACAATAGTCGACTGGCCCGCCGAGTAGTGGTAGGGGACAAACGGGGCCATCGTGGTTGATATGCTTCCGATAGTTGGTCAACTGGTAAATGCCGGATTTTACAATAGAACCATGAATATTCGAGATCGTCTCCTAAGAATTACCGAGAAAGAACCCTGTGCCTCTACCAGCACCTATATACTTGCTATGACATTCAATTACCACTATCGCATGCAGAGTTTCCCATGGGCTGCCGGTTGAAGCATGCTGAAATGGCCTGATCAAAACATGGGAGTATATTTAGCGATGCACATTCTCATCCGGAGTGTCTGCACGGAGTTCTCATGAGGTTCCTAAAGGGTGAAATATCTCATCTAGCAGCTTGTGAAGAGATCATCCCCGGCACTCCTTTGGGCTAATCAGCATGCATCCCGTTCAGGCTTAGGGCTTACGGAGGCTTTGCACAAATCTGTGACAATACACTCGAGATCGCCATCGCCACCGCTTACGGACGGGATCCTAATTCTTGGCTCGTATCCGTAGATCTCCGTTATCCGTCAGTAAGACATGTTCAGTAAAACACGTTCTTGCGAAGCTTGGCTGCATTATGACGGAAGCCTGGACAATATCCCCGAATGGACGAATGGATGTAGATAAAGATGTCCAAATGCGGAAAATGGACCCCAGCCCACTATCTCTTATTGCAATTGTTGATCTTCCTTGTGAATGTTCTGGGTGTCGGCCTCTCCGGGACGATAGGAAACCGCCGTGGAGGGTGGTAGGGGGAGGATGTCCAGACGTTGTACTTGTGAACGAGAGCTATAAAGGAACATCAATAACCAACAGCTGTATACATTTTAATGAATAAGCTTGACTTTGCTAAGGAGACTGAGTCTCCGAACTGCTACTGATAGACATGCATTCTACTTCACCTTCTACATACCCCTCTGGGGGAACTTCCCCAGCACCAGCTGACACCCCTGGGACTGCGTATAGTGAATATGTTTGTGGTCCCAATTCCCGATGTTTTGCATCGTCTTCTGCCACAAGCGCTCCTCAGACTGACAGTGAATAGGAATTCTCTAACGACGTGGCCGTCGTGGGAATGGCCTGCCGCGTAGCGGGAGGCAACCACAACCCGGAGCTTCTCTGGCAATCGCTCCTCAGTCAGAAAAGTGCAGTGAGCGAGATTCCAGAGATGCGCTGGGAGCCTTACTATCGTCGAGACCCACGAAACGCAAAAGAGCTCAAGAAGACAACCTCACGTGGTTATTTCCTAGATCGCCTGGAGGACTTTGACTGTCAGTTCTTTGGCATCTCTCCTAAGGAGGCCGAACAGATGGATCCCCAACAGCGAGTCTCGCTGGAGGTGGCCTCAGAAGCACTGGAGGATGCCGGTATTCCTGCCAAGAGCCTGTCTGGGAGCGACACAGCGGTCTTCTGGGGTGTAAACTCAGACGACTACTCCAAGCTAGTGCTTGAGGATCTGCCGAATGTCGAGGCCTGGATGGGCATCGGCACCGCGTATTGTGGCGTGCCCAATCGCATTTCCTATCACCTCAACCTGATGGGACCCAGCACCGCCGTGGATGCGGCTTGTGCCTCGTCTCTCGTCGCCGTCCATCATGGAGTTCAAGCCATCCGGTTGGGAGAATCACAGGTAGCTATTGTTGGAGGCGTCAATGCCCTTTGTGGACCAGGCTTGACTCGCGTCCTCGACAAAGCCGGAGCCATCTCCTCTGATGGATCTTGCAAGTCTTTCGATGATGACGCCCATGGGTACGCTAGAGGTGAAGGCGCCGGCGCCCTCGTCCTCAAAAGTTTGCACCGTGCATTGCTCGACCATGATAACGTCTTGGCCGTCATCAAGGGCAGTGCAGTGGCTCAGGACGGAAAGACGAACGGTATCATGGCTCCCAATGCCAAAGCACAACAGCTAGCCGCGCGAACTGCCCTTAAGGTTGCGGGCGTCGACCCGAGCACCGTGCGCTATGTGGAAGCCCATGCCACGTCTACGCCCCTGGGCGACCCAACTGAGATATCCGCCATCGCAGGCGTCTATGGCACAGGCCGCCCCGCCGACGACCCGTGCTACATCGGGTCCATCAAGCCCAATATCGGTCACTTGGAAGCTGGTGCAGGTGTCATGGGCTTCATAAAAGCAATCCTGACCATCCAAAAGGGCGTCCTGCCGCCCCAGGCTAACTTGACAAATGTCAATAGCCGGATCGACTGGAAGACGGCCGGCGTGAAGGTGGTCCAGGAGGCCACCCCGTGGCCCTCCTCAGACCCCATCCGTCGAGCAGGTGTTTGTTCATATGGGTACGGAGGTACCGTTTCTCACGCAGTCATTGAGGAGTTCAATCCTATCCTACAGCCAGACCCCCTTGATGATGGGGCAGCCACCGGACCAGCCCTTTTGTTATTGTCAGGCCCCCAGGAAAAACGGTTGGCACTACAGGCCAAAACGTTGCGGGAATGGATGACTGCCGAGGGAAAAGATCACAATCTGAGTGACATTCTCACAACTTTGGCTACGCGACGAGATCATCATGACTACCGAGCAGCGCTTGTGGTTGACGACCATCTTGATGCTGCCCAGGTCCTGCAATCACTGGCCAATGGAGTCGACTATCCATTCACGACCCAGAGCCGTGTATTGGGCGCAGACATCAGCAAGGACGTTGTCTGGGTGTTTTCCGGGCACGGTGCGCAGTGGCCGGATATGGGCAAGCAACTGATTCACAATCCTGTATTCTTCGGAGCCATCCAGCCACTTGATGAGCTGATCCAAGCTGAGATTGGCCTGTCACCCTTCGAGCTACTCCGGACGGGCGATTTTGAGTCGTCTGATCGGGTGCAGATCCTGACTTATCTCATGCAAATCGGACTCAGTGCCGTTCTTCAGAGTAAAGGAATCACTCCACAGGCCGTTATTGGCCACTCAGTCGGCGAAATCGCGGCTAGTGTTGTGGCTGGGGCTTTATCCCCAGAAGAGGGCGCGCTCATCGTGACCCGCAGAGCGTTGTTATACCGACAGGTCATGGGCAAGGGCGGTATGATTCTCGTCAACCTTCCTAGTAGCGAGACCGAAGAGATCTTGGGTTCCCGAAAGGATCTGGTTGTGGCCATCGATTCATCGCCTTCTTCCTGTGTGGTGGCTGGAGACAAGGAGATAGTGGCCGAGACTGCAGAAGCCTTCAAAGCACGGGGTGTGAAAACATTCACCGTTAAGAGCGACATTGCCTTCCACAGTCCAACCCTGAATGGCCTCGTGGATCCTCTGCGAGACGCGCTCGGACAGGCGCTGGCCCCCACGAGTCCCACAATCAAGCTGTATTCCACCGCACTGGTAGACCCTCGTGGCCAGGACCTGCGCGACGTGGAATACTGGGCCGGCAACATGGTCAACCGCGTGCGTCTCACCTCGGCCGTCAAGGCGGCCGTTGAAGATGGACATCGCCTTTTCCTTGAAGTCTCAACCCATCCAGTGGTGTCTCACTCTATTAACGAGACGCTAATGGACGCAGGCATGGAGGACTTTGCGGTCATCCCGACTCTCCTTCGCAAAAAGCCGACTGAGAAACACATCTTGCACAGCATTGCACAGCTTCATTGCCGTGGCGCTGAAGTGAACTGGGCGGCGCAGATGCCTGGACGCTGGGCGACCGGACTGCCCACAACGACCTGGATGCATAAGCCCATCTGGCGCAAGATAGAGACGGCGCCCCTCCACACTGGCCTCACTCATGATGTCGAGAAGCACACGCTTCTGGGACAGCGCATCGCAGTGCCCGGCACCGACACCTTCGTCTACACTAGCCGGCTGGACAATGAATCGAAGCCCTTCCCCGGCAGCCATCCCCTGCATGGCACCGAGATCGTTCCAGCAGCAGGTCTGATTAATACTTTCTTGAAGGGCACCGGCGGCCAGATGCTCCAGAACGTGGTGCTTCGCGTTCCCGTTGCTATCAACGCGCCACGGTCGGTCCAGGTCGTGGTGCAGCAAGATCAGGTCAAGGTCGTTTCCCAGCTGATTTCAAGTGACCCCTCGCTGTCGGATGACGATGCCTCCTGGGTCACTCACACCACTGCATACTGGGACCGGAAGGTTCTGGGTTCCGTAGATCGCATCGACCTCGCCGCCGTCAAAGCGCGACTGGTCACCAAACTAGCAGACAACTTTTCGATTGACTACTTGGACAAGGTGGGCGTCTCAGCCATGGGATTCCCCTGGGCGGTAACAGAGCACATCCGCAATACCAAGGAGATGCTGGCGCGCGTTGATGTCAATCCGGCCGTCCTGGGGGATGACCCCCTGCCCTGGGATTCTTCCTCCTGGGCCCCGATTCTCGATGCAGCCACCTCCGTCGGCTCTACCGTCTTCCAAACAGCTGCGCTGCGGATGCCGGCCCAGATCGAGCGCGTGGAGATCTTCACCAAGGAGGATCCGCCTAAGATCAGCTGGCTCTACGTCGAGGAGGCCTCCGATGCAGTGCCCACCTCTCACGTTAGCGTGCTGAGTGAGACGGGAGAGGTCCTCGCTAAGTTTACAGCCATGCGCTTCTCCGAGATTGAAGGCACCCCCGGTGTCAGTGGCAGTATGGAGAGTCTCGTTCATCAAATCGCCTGGCCACCGGCCACCCCGGCTGAAGAGCCCGTGTCCATCACGACGGTGATTCTGGTCTCGCCGGATTCTAACGCCTTGGCCCAGTATGCCGCGACTTTGCCGTCCAATATTCAATCCTTCCAGTTCTCCAGCACAGAGGAATTGTTCAGCAACGCTTCATCCCTCCCCCTCGAGAAGGGAACCGTTGTGGCCTACATCCCAGGTGAGGTCGCCTCGTTGGCAGATGTTCCTGCTGCATCCGAGTCGTTCACTTGGAACCTGCTCGAACTGATCAAATTCATCGTCAATGGCTCACTGCCCATCAAAGTCTTCACTCTCACTGCGAACGTGGGCGACGGTCAAACAGCCACCGCCCTGGCCCAATCCCCATTGTTCGGCCTGGCGCGAATCATCGCCAGTGAGCATCCCGACCTGGGATCCCTCATCGACGTTGAAGAGCCCATCGTGCCCCTGTCGACGATGCGATACATCCAAGGGGCCGACATCATCCGAATCAACGACGGAATCGCCCGCACCTCCCGGTTCCGCAGCCTACCGCGCACCAAGCTGCGCCCTGCCAGCGACGGTCCTCGCCTGCTTCCCCGCCCCGAGGGCACGTATCTGATCACCGGCGGTCTCGGCATCCTCGGACTTGAGGTCGCTGACTTCCTAGTCGAGAAGGGTGCCAGGCGTCTGCTGCTCATCTCGCGGCGCGCCCTTCCCCCTCGCCGAACCTGGGACCAGGTCAGCACGGATCTCCAGCCGACCATCGCCAAGATCCGCCTCCTGGAGAGTCGCGGCGCCTCGGTCCATGTCCTCCCGCTAGACATCACCAAGCCGGATGCGGTGGAGCAGCTGTCGACGGCACTGGACCGCCTCTCCCTCCCTGCAGTCCAGGGTGTCGTCCATGCTGCCGGTGTCCTAGATAACGAACTGGTGCTGCAAACCACACGCGATGCCTTCAGCCGGGTTCTCGCGCCTAAAATTGCGGGTGCGCTAGCCCTGCATGAAGTCTTCCCCCCGAAGAGCGTTGATTTCTTCGTCATGTTTTCCTCTTGCGGAAACCTGGTCGGATTTACTGGCCAAGCCTCTTACGGCAGCGGCAACGCCTTCTTGGATACACTGGCCACGCACCGGGCACGCCTAGGCGACGCGGCCGTGTCCTTCCAGTGGACTTCGTGGCGGGGGCTTGGTATGGGTGCCAGCACGGACTTCATCAACGCAGAGTTGGAATCCAAGGGAATCACGGACGTGACACGCGATGAGGCATTCGCTGCCTGGCAGCATCTCGCCAAATATGATATAGACCACGGAGTTGTGTTGCGAAGTCGCGCCTTTGAGGACGGGGAGCCGGTGCCGGTGTCCATCCTCAATGATATTGCGGTGCGGCGCGTGGGCACGCTCTCTGGCACCGAGCAGGCGGCTGCAGGTTCCAGTGGCAGTGATGCGGTGCCTTCGTCAGGACCGGAGCTCAAGACGTATCTGGATGAGAAGATCCGGGGCTGTGTCGCCAAGGTGTTGCAGATGACAGCTGAGGATGTGGATTCGAAGGCAGCCCTGGCTGATCTGGGTGTGGACTCTGTCATGACGGTCACTTTGCGTCGCCAGCTACAGCAGACGCTGAAGGTTGCGGTGCCCCCGACGTTGACGTGGAGTCACCCGACTGTCAGTCATTTGGTGGTGTGGTTTGCTGAGAAGATTGGCAATTGATTGACCTCCAATTCAACGAGACCAGCTGGTCGAGATAAACGAGATTACTCGATGGTCGTCCTCGGTCTTCATTTTGGATGCTGGATGTTGTTTTGATTTCTGAGAGTTTGTAATTGTCTTCTCCATGTCGCTTGATTTACGTTTGCATCATTTTATATTCGTTTTTCATTATGTCGAGAGCCATAGTTATTAGATCGCATGAATTATACCTTCTATTTCTCCTTGATCTGCGATCCGTAGCAGGAAAAGCTGGAAGGAGAAGAATGACGCTTCATTCTGCTAAGCTAAGGCTAGAAAAGACTCCTTGGCAGAACCTAGCACGTGACAGCCAACGTACTGGTCACGTGTCAGAGTAGATCCTATGTTCCACCATCAAAAGCTACATGTATGTATGAAACTGGTGGCGCGCGCTTCGCGCGCTAATGCCCTGAAATGATGAAAAAGAAAAGGCAGGTACAAGAAGTCAAAAGTCATAAATTGGGTCGTCGAACGCGGCCAAATTTATCTCACCGTTAGTTTGATAAAGGAAAGTTAGTGGAAGATTTAAGGGTTTTGGTGTGCCATCCTTTATGTACCTAGGTAAGACATGGAGATGAATAATTCGATATATACAGTAATGTCCGGAATCAACTTTACCTCCACACTCTCTTGCACTGGTCCATATTAGGACAGATCTGCCTACATCGCATCTACAAACCTTGGAATATATCTTTACGAGGCGTAGTAAATTACGTTGATTACAGCAACATAGAAACTATTACACACACGCTGATGATCTGGATAAGGTCCATCTCTCGCCCCTACATATAATGACATGCTTAGAGACCGGTGACACCCACCTTGAGATAGTTGACATCCCCATCAATACGCTCTCTAATCTTGCCCGAAGATATCTCATCAACATCCCATGCTGCCCAAGTGAAGCGTCCATGCAGAAATTGCGCCTCGTCCGATGCGGCCCAGACGGCATAGTGACCAGGAAGGTCCTCTGCAATAGAATATCATTAGCAAAGTGACCTTCAATCTTATGATAACTTTCACCGGCATAGGTTTAATATTCCATGTGAAAGTTTCATGCGATGCCCTTACCGTTATCCCAGTTGAGTGTGGTGCGCGTGTACCCGGCCTTCTGCGCCGCCGCTGTAAAGATCGATCCTGGGTGGAAACTTATGATTTGTAGGTCTTCTGGCGATACAGATTGGGCGATCTGCTGGACCAAGATTGTTCCTGCGCTCTTGGATGCAGAGTAATTTGGGAGTGAAGCTGCAGCCTCGAAATCGTGAATGGCTTTAGTCGATATGTTCACCAAAGACTTGATCGAAGAGAAGTCGATTAGTCATTGTTACTTTTCATACTATACGGAAGATAGCGCCGTCTTGGTGAAATACATACCAGCTTCTTGCTTGTATCTCTCTTGCTCTGGTGATAGAAAAGATGGACAAACGCTGCGATTGAATTGGCGTTTGTAGCAAGGTCGGCTACTACCTCCTTGTACCCTATCTCGAGGATGGTGCCGATGGGCTGCACGCGAGCCACATTTAGGACGAGGACGTCAACGACTAATCCCTCGGTATCAAACTGCTCCCAGAGGTCCTCGACGCTGGTAGTATTTGAGGCGTCGTTCAGACGGGCGATGAAGGTAGTCTGGGGTGACTCTTTGCTTAGGGTGGCGACGGCAGCATCAAGGGGACCCTGGTGACGACCGGTTAGGATGACCTTTGCGGCACTTGCTTTGCCAAAGGCTCGTGCAATAGCGAGACCAATACCACCAGAGCTTCCAGTTACGAGAACGACCTTGCCTTTCTGTGAGAGCTGCGGGCGGGTAGGGGAGATGGCCGCGTAGGGCTCACGGTGGACGACCGTAGTGAAGTTGTCGGCGATAGAGGGCATTATAGCGGTAGCAGATTCAATATCGAAAGGTTTGATAGTCAAGAAAGTGAATAGGGGGACAATAGGACTTTCTGCTTCCCGAGATCAAAGACTTTTATATCTATTACTTTCGAGACTGTACAACAGTAGTACTATTTCTAAGGCTTACAAACCCCTATAACGTGATCCTAAACGTCATACTTTGTGTGGGTCTGCGGATGATTAACACCTCTATCCCGCAAATTGCGTGTACTTTGTCGAATAATTCATCCAGCCTACCGTGGTTGACATGTCTGGTAGGGGGAGTACTAGCGGCGTGGCGAGGCTTCCCCCCTTCATCGGCCCCATAAAGTTCCGTCGTCGGGCCCACAAAGTTCCGCCAGTTTTCCGCCAGCCCAAATCTGGCTCAACTTACATGATTTGTCATTTATTGTGATTGTATTTCTTCACTTCAGCTATACGCATCAAGTGCCAAGCATATCGACAAAGAGCCGCCAGAGTTCCACCTTGCTACACGATCCGCAGAATTCAACCCACATGGATCTCCAAGAATCTACCACGTGGAGCCCGCCATGGCGGAAAGCATGCGTGCCATGTACTCGCGCAAAGCGCCGATGTGACAAACATCTTCCAACTTGCCAACGATGCGTGAAAAAGGAAGTGCCTTGCCAGTACCCCTTGGGTCGCCCGTATGCCCGCCGAGCCGTTCAATCGCTAAGAACAGCCGAGAGCTCCGAGTCAAGCCCGCTAAACTCGTTGCACCACCTAAGTGCGGAAAAAACAGTATCTCCAGGAGATTTTGAAGTTTTCAACAATTTATGGGAATATGGTACTCATGAGGAGCTCCCTGTACCGGACTTTGGCAGTCCCGTGAACAATGAAACCCAAGTCGCAAGCAGCTCTTGGTTCCTTCAAACAAACACGTGGACTATTCACTATATTGACTCGGTCCGCCATAACGAGAATTCTAACGTCCATGTGTCCGACTTCAAACAATTTATTCAGACCGTCAAGAAATGGCTCTTCCAGTGGGCCCGAGATACTCACTGTCCGTTCATACACAGGCAGTTATATTCCGAATCTGGCCTGCCACCATGTTTGCAGGATGCTTTCGCAGCCGTGGCCTTATACCAGTCAAAGAACGACAAGAATGAAGAGGCCGTTATGAGAATTATCGAAGAAAAAGCCAACAACCTAATAAATAAACCATCATTTGTCACAGATTCCGGAGAAGGAGCCCCGTCCTCTCTCCGGACGGTTGAGCAGCTCGGGCGGGTACAAGCGCTCTTCATATACCAGTTAATTCGCTTATTCGATGGAGATATTCGACAGCGAGCGCAAGCTGAAGCCCTTATTCCAACTCTACAGGATTGGAACAAGAACCTATGGGAATCAGCCAACTTGGACGCCTGCCTCGAGACCTCGTTTGGTGTCGCCGGCTTATTCTCTCAAGGCTTAGGGGTGAAGAGCTTGGATGACCCTTCAGGCCAACAGTGGCGCGACTGGTTACTCGCGGAGAGCGTGCGCAGAATCTGGCTCATTGGCAACTATGCGCAGGGCGTGTACCTGATGATGCGAGACCGTCAAACCGGCTGCTCGGGAGCTGTGTTTTTCACGGCGCGTCAAGGCCTCTGGGACGCACAATCTGCAGCGACTTGGATGCGGCTTGTCCGAAGTAAAGATCCGTTGTTTGTGCCCTGCCACGAGACAGATCTGATAATTCCGTTTGTTGAGGCAACAGAGGTCGACGTGCTTTGCTTATCCATCATGTGCATCATGTGGGGTGCACCCAGGTTGGACTTTTGGGTGTCTAAGTCAGATACGCAACTGGAGCTGCTGCTGGGAAAGTGACAAGGAGACGCAAGTTTATGTGATTATTATTATTGTTATTTCTATTATTATTAATCAATACGCCCGGTGGAGATCTTCACAATGTGTCCCAGAGCAGTAAGTAATGAGGTATTTCGATGCTCAAGCTACCTACTAAAACAATGAAGACCGTAGATTTCCCGGCCTTTCCAACTTCCGATCGCTTCTCGAAGATATCCACAAAGAAACGTAGTGTAAGTGGCCCCGATCTACTTACTACCTCAAACGAGTACTAATATTATTATATAGTCAAAGCCAATTACCAATTGTGACTAGACATATAGGGTTGCTTATACAAAAGTTACCAAAGAAAATAATATTCATAGACCGCCTAGAAAATGTCAAGGATTCAATATGTGTAGCAAGTCCAAATAGTTATACGAGGGTGGCGTATTTGGCCAATCAGGTATTTTTCTCTATAACAACGTGGGTTTATTCATAAAAAAAGGTATCCTCGTGAGGCTTTCGTACTTAAAACAGCATCCTGACCATATCGTCACCAAATCCGAGAATCTCATCAACCCCGCGAAGAATCTCTCAGCGGCTTGCAACTATGGAAATTATTACACATTTGGGGTCTTGGATGGAAATATCAAAAATGGGACAGAGCACCCCGAGGCAACCTGCAGGAAGCCAAATTGGTCACTGTTTATTCTGCGAGGTTTGGGTCTGACTCCCAACGCCGGCGCATCAATTACCACCATCGCGTCTCTACGGAGAGACACACAATCCGGAGTGGTGGAGTACTCTGCGGATTGGCACAGCTTACCTTCTATTTTACCTCTAGCATCTCCAATGCTCAATGTATCATGTGTAGTATTGCCGTCTGGCGTAGAGTTTGTGGTTTATTGTGAGATCTGCCATCGCAGACACCCAGCCTTTTATAAGTACCTGGATACAGCAATTCAAGCCTAGTCTCCTGCCAGAAACCCCTATTGTTTCAAAATAATATAGTAGGCTAGTGGCACAGGTAGGGGCAGGGCTCCCAGAACAGAATACAGAGCTTGGATGGAAGTTACATGGGCCGAGAATGTCATGACATGCAGCAAGTCCTCATTGCCTAAGCTGATAATCCAAGTCCCAGATGTTCGCGACAGAACCTCCTACTCTCCTCACTCACATCATACCCATTGACCCACATCCTACCACCAGGCTCAAACGTGCTTTTACAAGCTGAATCAGGCGCCGGTCTCTCCCTGATTACCTTCTTTCTAACCTTCTCAAGTCCAAGCTCAGCCGACTGCGCCCGCTGCGTATCGCGAATAGCAGTCCATTTCATATCTCGCGCAATTTGATGTTCGCCATCCGGAAGAGTCATATCACCGGCATTACCACGGCTGATGCTGCGCAAATGCTCCACGCGAGCCTGTCTAAACCGACTCCACGCACTCATCACCTCCGGCAGATTCTCCGTCGACCTCAAATAACCTACAAACTCCCCCAGACTCGCTGCATCCTCAATCGCCATTCCCGCCCCCTGTGCAGCATGAGGAAGAAGAGCATGCGCCGCGTCCCCAACCAGCGCTACTCTTCCAGATGTACTAACATAGCTGGAAATAGGACCGACCTCACCCAAGGTCCAGGAAACGCACTCCCCCTGTTGAACCAGAGAAGCCAACACTCGCACTTCCTCACACCACTCCGATACAAGCTCGCGCATCGTCTCAACATCGGCAGGGTGATTCCACGACCCGACGGGCATCCCTTCGCTCGGTCGCGGGACACCGATAACAAGATTATACAACTCGTTCGAGGCAACCCTATAACCCAACACAAACACGCCGGGCCCCACCCACAATTTTGCCTCCGTGGAAGACATGAACGGTGCAGTAATGGGGTTTGAGAGCATCCGCGACCGCGGAATCACAGCGCGGTAGTTATGTTCCCGATACGGGGTGGGGGCCACATCTTTCGACGCCGGCAAGGATCGCCTGGCCCGGGACCAGATCCCATCTGCTGCGACCGTGAGATCCGCCTCGAAGTGCTCACCGTCTGCCGTACAGACCGTGCCGGTCCCTTGGTCCACGGATACAACGGACTTGCCAAATAAAACTGACACGTTGTGCAGCTGTTTTACGCGCTCGAAGAGCGCTTGCTGCAGGTCTGGTCGGTACATCTGCCATTGGGGCCAGCCGTAGAGCCATGTGCTGATAGGGTTGTTCATGTTGAAGGTCAGTTCGTTGTTATCTTCCCAGCGGCGGATGGAAATATGTGAGGATTGGACGCCGACTTTTTCCAGAGATGGTGTGAGGCCCCATTTGTGTAGGATGCGAGTGCTGTTTGGGAAGAGTTGCAGTCCGGCGCCGAGCTCGCTGAGGGAGGCGTTGGATTCTAGGACTGTAATCTGGTGGTGGGGATTTATGTCTGAGAGTGCTATTGCTGATGAGAGACCGGCCATGCCAGCACCGATGACGGTTATTTTCAATGGGATGCCTGGTTGATTGGAAGACATCTTGATCTGCAAAAGCCCAGTAAAATGATTTTAGATCCAGGTGCTGCTGCTTTGCGCGGTTGTTGGGGGAGGGGGATGTTATAAACATTCCATGGCTGCTGATGCCTAAGGTCTCCCCCACGAGCACCAGCTATCGGCACCAAGAAAATAGAGTGGATGGCTTTCAAGATCTCTGCAGGCTTTCTGACCTGTGTAACGAACTGCAAGCGGCGGGTAGCGGGTATCAGCACACCGACATTCTACCCGGGATCGGGACAAAGTGGATCGCCCCAAGATACTACTCCACAGCTAAGCATCGTGGTTTAACGACGGCCCTTGCTCTTCAGGTGTAGCCTATCTCATAAAAAAGTGGATGGTCGCTCATTCACCTTCAACTACAGCTCGTGGCTTGGAAATGGGGCCAGGTGTATGGTTTCTTTCCCTTACTTGGCTTATCCAGGTTCATAACTTCTAAAGTGCCTGATGCCAAGGCCATGGAGCTAGTTCCTCATATTGCCGGTAGACTTTGCTATTGGCTGTAATATTATAATTCAACGTTACTATTTTTCTTGCGGGTATTCTGGCGGTATGCGGGTCCACGGGTGCTCAGGCGGCTGAATAGGGCCTTCCGGGGCCCCACCCAGTAATGTTCAAGTATCGACTCGCAACCGTAACGTTGCCGTGCTAAGTCTTACTGCGGATTCGGGTCTTTGGAGTAACTCCGAAGGACGTGACAAATAGAGCGCCAAGTAGGTTAGTCCGAAGAGCCCCCAACTCATAGGATGGTTGTCACAAGCGTTGAACAGTGAAGTATAATGAGAAAGGCAGGCCTAAGTAACAGTGTACTATCGATCGCGAAAGAGCTTAAAATGTCTTTGTGAATGGGTGACCTTATTCTTCTAGCCCTTCGTACTCCTTAACCTACTCCTGGCCAGGGGTTAGGTCCGGGAGTAGCCGTCTACTCCCTGTATACCCCTGGGAGTTGCAACGGGATTAGCTATTACACAAGAGGCAGTGATCGATTAAGCTGCGCCACCAACTCATGTGAACCAGCATGCATGTACAGTCGCGGCCTTTATCGCTTTCCATGTTCGAAAAACACGGTTGCGATCTTCTGACGGATCTTAGTCACGCCATTTTACTTTCTGTACAATGTCGGGGAACGGTGTGGGTAGCGTCGAAGGTAGATTAAAGAGCACGGATACTAAGCCGCGAACAATCTATTTTGCATTTACAGCCAGTAGCACCAAGCTCCACGGTAGTACTCCGTCCTTGCGTCGGGTGTCATTACTATGAGCACATCCGCAAGGAGATCGGCATGGCGGGCTCAGCAGAATGTTGCTTCCACATTAGTCCATATCCGGTCTAGATGGGCTACCTCCACAATCTGCATGGAGTCACGTCGTTCTTAGTTGGATACCGTACTATGAGAATCTTCCTTTCTCTAATTTACCGCCTACTATCTATCACTGTTTGTACTGAGATATGCTAACTAATACAGTGCTAACTGTTGAAGGATCGTCAATTCGACATCCTTTTGCACCATCCGCCAATTACGTTCATTGAGGTTGGAAATACCTTGCCAAACGAAAAATCTCTCGTACTGATAAAAAATAATGTAAATACAGCTAAGTTTCCCGATTACCGCAAACGTTCATGTTAGAGTGGTGCTCAAAATATTTAACAAATGAAATAAATGGATCACAAAGCATGGTGATCCAAGTCCGTTGGACTAAAATTCGGAACTATAAATGGAGTGAAGTCTATGGCGCGGAGAAAATCAGATGTCCCCTCTTCTCGACGTGGTTTGAATACTAGTGGGCTTACTACCCCTCATCATGTTCTATAGTGGTAGGCAGGCCCCTTCAGCCTTGCTATGTTCGATTATGCTTACAACATTAAGCTCTTCTAGTGCAGCGATCTGCGACCGAGCATGGTGCCTACAAGATAGGCCAGGTTGATAACTCAACGTTATGTGGTTACAAGAGCAAAGATCGAATGCCTTTCAGTTCGGCTGTGGGTATATTTGCCGTAAGCAAGAGAGTTGACATGGCCTTCCAATGCGTTTGCTGACTTGGTGGTTCCGGAACAGGTGTCGGGGTCTATACACTTGGAAACTCTGGAGATGGAGGTCGCTCTGGAAGTGTATAAAATGAACCTGGGTGTATTGCACGGATACCCCCACCAGGGTTTCAAAATCGATTTGAATCTAAATATGGTGAAGGGTAGCATTGAGCTACGATTGACTGGCTTTGATGAATTATGGCTTGATATCGATGCAAAAGTCTTTCAGGTGGCCGAGGATGGCTCTGGGCAGTTCATAGAATACAGGAAGGCACATTTTATCCAAAAAATGCCGGGTGTTACGTGCGCACCTTGGGTTGCCCCTATTTAGCAGCAGCTGGGGACGAAACAAGACACAGTGAGTCTTCGCAGGTTCCTCATCAATCAAATTACGATCAGTTATGTAATGGGAAGCTACTTGTCGGTCGTAAGCGATGTCATGAATAATATACATAAATACAGTCGAATTCTAGATTTGTGTTGATTGGTCTCGTCATTCCAATAGAAGATGCATCGAACAGTATCGGAATTGCAGACCTAACTAGTTATACTCGTAACTTGAAACTTAGGGTGCGGTAGGGTATATATAGATACCCCTTCTTTTATTCCAATAAATCATATTTGACCATTGCATACCTACAGCAAATCGCGACCCACTAGTAGAGCTTCTCCTAGGAAATCTCTGGTCTTACAATATCGAACAGTAGGTATCTTAGTTAGATCATAGTAAAAGGTCGACAAAAAATTTAAATTAAAAAAGTTCAAAAAGTTAACAAAGGAAGTAAGGGGTTCCATTGCGCCTTGCTTCTCAACTTGTAGTCTCGAATCACAAAGAGATCTGTTCAGGTGGCATTGCTACTCTGCAGGGTGGTTACACAAACCGGTCATTTCTGCAGGTTCACAGAACAAATTTCTGTGTGTCCTGTGTGGCTGGCTGAGATATGGCAAACCCATGTCCTATGAGAATGAGTGCTCTGTTATGGAATGAAACCTTGACTCGGGATGAAAGCTGACGTGGATGCATACGGCTGGAAGCTTACTTCACCGCTTCTGAAAGCAGAATGCAAAGGATGTTAAGTCATTTACTTATACAACGAACGTCAATGTTGCATTCAGTAATAGTATCCTAAGCCACAACGATCAAGGAACCCATGGGTCTATCAGGCTACTTTTAAAAATTGACAATTTTGTAGGAGATGCTGACAGTAATAAGCACTTTTATGCGAGGCGTCTGATATTGATGCCATAAGATATTCCGGATAAATATCCAGAAACCCACATGCACATCGACCATATTTTTGACACAATTCACAGCATGTCACCCTTGTAGCCCGGACTTTGAATTTGATAAGCATTCAAGTTTGGAGTTGAAAGGTCATTGATATCGCAAACTCTTGATTCTTGTCAGTATCCACTTCCTTCTATGAGAGGAAAATGAGGATCCCGCAGATAATCGTCAGGGTCGTCGCAAATACTACAACAGTCAATTTTTGGTTTGAGATCTTGGAAACTCAGTAAGGTCTTACGTACCTGGAATAAAACGAAAGGCCTCAATGTAGCTAGATTGAACAGATCTCTGCAGGACCTCAGCAGAAAGATTCGCCTCTGAAGGCTGGGAAGATGAATATCAAGTAATTTTATTTTCTATCTGGTATCCCAAAATAAGGTAGTCAGTACTACTGAATTGTGAGTACAGTGTTTGTCTCTCCCCGAAGATATCAGGACCTGCCTGGCCTCCTTACTTGCGGTTTATTTTGAACCGTTTCCTGACACGCCTCCACGGCATCAGTGCCTCAACGTGAACCGTTGGGCCTAAGTTCCGCTTCTCGCACCCATTTATCCATTGTCTCTTCCATCAAGGCCCCGGTCAATTTCACCTATCAATGCTTAGCAAGTAGATCAAGCTGGCGAGTACAGGGGCTGAAGGGGTAAGTGACACGAGACTTACCAAATCTGATTCTATAAGCGAGTCATGATCTGCGTCTTCTACAACGCTCCACTCGACATGATCTGATCCAACCATTTCGTCCCAGCCACCAGCATCAAAAGATTCACGTGGGACGTGAAGCCAGTCAAGGTTAATTTTCATCTCTGTCCCCGGTCCTTCTTTCTTCAAAAGATCCTTTGCTTCGAGAACCATGTCTATCATCCTGTCATGATCACCGTGCCCAGCCCAGATGACAAATATCCGCGGTCGGCTTGCATTGCCTGAGGTGTTGAAGGGACGAGGCACATACTTCATTTTCGCGTAATAAGCCGCGACACGATGCTTCTTCCGAAAAGCGGGAATCTCCACATCGGGCTTGCCTTCACGACGAATAGGGGGGAATACGCCCATCATTTCAAACAGCTCGACGGTTGCCTCCGGGATCTTGGGGGGTGGCCGAGGCAATGCCAAGTCTAGCATGATTATCCCCAGAACTTGCTTTCCCTGTTCGTGGAGCAGGTATGCGGTTTCATATGCAGTGGCCGTTCCCATTGACCAGCCGCATAGCATATATGGCCCTTGAGGATCAATGCTGCGAATGGTGTTTGCATAGATGGTGGCAGTTTCTTCTATCGTCCAAGAGGATTCTGATTTGGTCATGAGAAATGGAGAGCCAAAGCTGTAGACTGCACAGTCGTTGGCAAATTTAGGCAGCGTTTTGTATACGAAGGCATTTCCAGAGCCTGGAGGGGCGAGGAAGAGGGAAGGAACGCCTCTTCTAGGGGTCCCCTGAAGCAGAACTGAAAAGCATATGTTGCTAGGTGCATCTTCCATGAGGGGTGTGAAATTAAGGAAGTCTGCCATGTTTGAAATCGAACTGATCTGTTGGCAGATTGCACCGACTGTTGCCTGGGTGAAGAACAGAGATGACGGAAGTGAAACCCCTGTTGCTATCTGGACGCGCTTGAGGATTGCAATAGACAAGATTGAATCGACTCCTAGCTCAATCATTCGAATAGAAAGGTCAATCGGATGTCCCTTCTGTTTTTCGATGGCCATGCACAATGATTCCATCACTTCAGGGCCTGAAATGGGCCCATCAAAACTGTGATCGTCCTGCGTATGCTGGCGCTCCCAGTATGTCCTGACCAGTTCTTCTAGTTTGGCCTTCTGGACCTTTCCTGCCATGGTCCTCGGGTATACTTCATGTCCTAATGCCTGTACCGGTATCACATCTGCCGGAACATAAAGATCTCCCATTCGCGCCAAGACAGTGTCTTTCAGTCTATTCACTGTGATGGTATCGATTTCCTTGTTCACAACGATAATAGGAACTTCGCCGGCAACATTGTCCGGTGCGCGTACAACCTGAGGTTGAAGAACGTTGATTTCGGGGATTTGACCCAGAACCGCTTCGATCGCTGATGGTTCAATGTTCTCGCCTCCCCTAATGATGGTATCTTTGTATCTACCAATCAGGTAGAGACGATTATCGCTACCAATGAAGGCTTTGTCACCAGTGCGAAACCACGAACGGCGATCCTTTTCGTTGTAGAAGTTTTCATCTGCTCCTCCAATGTATCCCTTGATCAGACTTGGGCCTGAGAAATGCATCTCGCCAGCATCTCCAGCCTTAGGTGCCACTTTGCTGTCCTTGGCGTATATACGGACAGACATGCCAGGGAGTGGCGTGCCGATAGAAACATCTCTGCCTTTGATCATATCGCTGGCTTGGCTCACCACATCAGAAGAGATAAGGATGCCCTCCGTCATACCGTAGAGATTCTCCACCCCCGACGAACCTAGATAGTCAAGGCAGATCCTGATGACTTCTTCGGTTGGGGGAGAGCCTCCAAGTACAATACGCCGAAGAGAAGTCAGCTTCCCAGATGGAAGTGGTATACTGCTCAGAGCATGCACCATAGTTGGCACAAATCCAGTGTGGCTCACTCGCTCCTCCTGGATGGCCTTGATCACAGCCTCTGGGATGAACCTTGGGCCCGGGATCACAACGGTGCCTGCGTTGAGGAAGGCAGATATGATACAAAGCCAGCCAAACCCGTGGTTATTTGGCAATGTAAATAACACCCGATCCCCAGGTAGCATAGGAACACTGCTTTGGCGCCAGGACAATGCGGCCGCAAAACCATACGCAGATGGCATGATACAACCTTTCGGGAGAGATGTCGTTCCACTGGTGAAGAAAATTGATCGATCGAAAACTTCTGAGTGATGACCCTTGCTTAGGCTTTGCAGGAAATCTGGAGCTGAATTCTGCATCAGCTCCTCAAATGGTGTCCATCCGTCCAACCCTCCTTCGAGCAATATTTTCACGCAGCTCAGCCCGGACGTCAACTCTTCAATGGGCGCACACATATCGGATTTTCCGGCAATGATGCCAATAAGATCAGACTGACATCCTTTGATTGCTGTCTGTAACATATGCCCCATCTCTCTGGCATTGGATAGGCCCTTGGGATTGATTGGAACGTAGGCGCAGCCGATCTGGTACGCAGCCCAGGTGGCAATAACATATTCAGCGGTATTTGCCATAAATATCACCAATGGGTCACCCCTCTTCAGCCCTCGACTTCGCAAACCAGTGACAAGTCGCTGTATAGCGTGATCGAGGTCCCGGTAGGTCCATCGTAGATAGTCAGCTTCACGCTTGTCGCTGTCGATGGGCAGGCTCGGGATTCCGTAGAGAGTAGAGGGTTGCTGGGTACAGACAAGAGCCACAGTATCGGGGTACTTCACGACGTTCTGATAAAACACCTCGTGGAGGGGCGTATCGGAATCTGGAAGGGGAGGTCCTTGTAGTTCGCTGAGCGCCACCATAGTGGATGCTTTCTCACAATCAGTTACTGAAAATCTTTTGGAAATGCGAAGGAAATATTGGTCAATTACGGCCTCAAGGGCAGCAGAAATCGTAAGTAATTGAGGAGGGAAAGCGGTACAACGCAAGCGACATACCTAGGTAGATCGCTCGGGCCGACTCGCCCAGTCTGTGAAGTCCAGTCGGTGAAGTCCAGTCGGTGAAGTCTAGTCGGTGAAGTCCAGTCTGTGAAGCCCAGTCTGTGAAGCCCAGTCGGTGAAGCCCAGTCGGTGAATCCCAGTGGACACACTGGTCTCCTTGCATTTGTAGGCCCTTGCGGAGGTCTTCAAGGTTATTGCTCCACTTGCCCTCTGTTGTGTGCAATCAAAATCGATCAAATCATGGACCCGAGTGCTGAGAAGGGTCCTCGATGGCGTGCATAGCCATTTGGAGGCGTTAATATTCCTCTCTGATTACGAATATCGTCAAAACAGGACAGAGTTGGCTCACGAAGTTAAAGAACCCTAAAGAGGGACCTATATTATTCCATGTGACAGATCGAAAAACGCCACCTGCACACTTAGGCCGCTCCCATCCTGAGCGGAACTGTGGGGTATGCCTACGTGCAGAACTGTGAAACACCAAACGCACTATGTTTATAAATGAAAAGTAATGAACTGACATGCATTTATATATCATGCTGCGCGTCAATCGTGAAAAAGTATCGTGCATAATTGTTTTCTAAATGAGGCAAGTCTAGATCTACATAAATACAGATGGCCAAAGCACAGGACATGCATTTCCGAGGACGAGAGCTCTATGTCGAGATTTTATTACGTGTCATCTAGTAGGCTCGTTACTTATTTTCTCTTATACAGTGGCTATCACTGAGTTGGGAACAAACACCTTGGTTGACTTTGCCCCAAAATTCCAGCATACCATGTCCCAAGCTATGACTTTCTCTCTCTCGAAGACTACCAGGGTTGTGGGAGGTCAATCTTTGGATGTCGCTGATCTCAAGGAAATCAAATTTGAAAGTCTCGTTGCAAAAGACCCAGTCGAGATGGCGAAACTTTTGAAGGCCGCCCAGTCTCCGGGATTTTTCTTTGTCACTTTCAACGACGACCTCTCGGGGAAAATATCAGGCTATATCCGGACTTCTTACCTGAACTGCCATGAGTACTTCGCCAAGCCTTTTGACGAGAAGATGAAGTCGTTAAGGGAGGGTGTGGATCGCGGGTATGTTGACCTCTACTAGTGGTGCCAGCCATGCTTGCAGACGTTCACACATCAATAGCTACAAACACAGACCAGGCGTTGAATCATTCGAAGTAGGTAAGCCCATGTTACTGCGATACATGGTCGCTAATTACTGCCAGATCGCTCGAGACGAAAGGGACAGCATCACTTTACCCATTCCCTTCGCAGAGCACGCTAGCGCGACGCACGATCTTGCCAATATTTGCGACACCATAGTCCGCACCTGTCTCCGCAGCCTTTCTGATAGCCTTGGCCTTGATGAATCCTCGCACCTGGAAAATGCTCATCGTGGACCGAGCGACTCAGGACTAAAGTTCGTCTCTAGTCCAACCCATGCATACATAGCTGATGTACCCGACACTACGCACACCGACAGCGGTTCGGTTACCTTGCTATGGTGTGAGAAATGGGCCAGTCAGTTGCAGACCCAGGATACGAAAGAGTGGTTATGGATCGAGCCCAAACGGGATTGTGTCGTGGTCAATGTCGCAAACTATCTACAAAGTCAGACCGGCGGTCGCCTGCACTCCCCAGTCCATCGGCTGACGCAGCCGACTGATGGTATAGAGGACCGATACTTTGTGTCCTATTTCTTGAGACCGACGCACTAGTTCTAGGAAATAATATCGGTACCCATAATCTAATGAACAGATGGGTGTTTTTAGTGACAAAAGCTGTTGATGCGGAACATCATTATCGTATTCTATATTAGATCAAAAGCGGGCGATAATTTCGATACATACCAGCCTAGAATATTTTCTTTGGCGTTTCCGGTGCATCCAAAGACTTCATTCTAGACAAAGCAGCTTTGGGGGAGGACATCCTACCCCCATTCGATGCGGGTAACAGTAGATTCATCAAATGCACTTGCCGGCTGTACTCAAGCTGTGGTAGAAACTGATTTGGGAAGTTGAAACTGCGACGTTGGACGAGAACTTCGGTTTGTTTCCCAATAGTTTGTTGTGTATCAATCCAATCAAGGGCCACATACTTCCACATACTTGATACTCAACACCAAGCTGAGAGTCGACATCTAAAAATGTCTCCTCAAGTGCTTGTCGGCCAGAGCATATACAGATGTCTTGGCAATGGCCAGGCTCGTTTTTAGATGTGAGAATCCAAAGGGACATACATACCTCCCCACCGGCGATGGCTAAATTAAAAAGCTCAATGCTCGGCAACGAGTATCCAATGTGAGCTAACACTGCTCTTCGGTGATATAGTCTTTGTAATTGCAAGTGGATCAAACCCACGCTTTCCAGTCGGTGTGTCTTCTTGGCATCTGTCGGTTTTCTATCCAACGAGCCCAGTCCATCCACGTCCCGAGTAATCAACTTGTACCTCGTAAAGATAGCCAGCCATTTTATCAAAGACTGGAGGGACCCCACCTTCAAGGTCAGTGACTGGGCACCTAAGCGCTTATTGATTCTCAATCGCCGAGTACTTCACCATTATTTTCTCGATACATCATGCGATATATGCATACATGAGCTGTACCACGGTAAAACCATAGTAACAGCCTAGTTGGTATTTAGCGCTAATAGTGTTGTAGTTCAGATAAATGATTTATCATTCTATTCCCGAGACTCCGTGTGACCCGCCCACTCAAAATATGTGTATACAACCTATACATTTAAAATAAATAACTACTACCAATGTAATTAACTACTACGAAAATGAGTTTTTTGCATTCAGCATTTCTTAGGGAATTCAAATATTATTTACAGATTTTTAGTGCTTTGCATACCACCCCTTCTGAGTAATTACTACCTCAATCCTATGATCCATAGTAGAAACCAACAGATCAAAGTAATCATGGCCTAGCTCTACCCACGCTTGCTCAATTAATCCCGAAAAATATCCAAAACGTTCAGCAGCGGCGCAACCAAGTTTATCAAGGTTCGGATCAATCCGATCAATCATCCCTTTCAGTTTGGCCCATGCTGTTCGACCGGGTTCAAATCCGGCGAATACGGCGGCCACTCCGTACAAATCCTATTCTCAGCCAACCACTTTTCAATAATTTTGGCTGAGTGGATCGCAGCATTGTCCGGATTTTGATAATACAAGGTAATTCGGCCTCCACCACGTCGAGATACGACGGTGCAGTGTAGCCGTATTCCGCGCGGCAAGTTCATCGCGAACAATTCGGGATGTTCCACCACTAAAGATTGCCCCCTAGATCATGATTGACATTCCCTTACCAATTTTATATGTGGTAACGTGGTCTTTATCGAATTTTTCGTTATGGTGGTCAATGACACCAACGAATGCGGATGTTTGACCTAAACATGGCTACCATCTGCTTTAAGGGTGATTTATTTAGGGGATTGATACAACCACACCCCCCTGCCTGATGTCTAATACAGTATCTAACCGGTCAATAGAAATGTATGATAACTCTGTCTTTTATTACCTCTATTTCCTACCAATTTGTATGGGGTTTACTACCTGACTAAGGACAACAAACATGATACAAACATAGTAGAGAATTCTCAGGAATTATCACGATACCCCAATGGTTCCTAAGGCACTCACGAACAAAAAGAATAGTTAATGAAGCCGAACGTAGACGAATATTAAAACATTAGCCAAATGATATGCCATTCCATTCCAACCGCGCATTCAAACCGTCTGAGACTTTCCAACAAGTTTTGCATCATCTAGCATTTTTGCTTTAGTCTGCTGCTCAAGCACTTTAGCCAAAAGTTCAGGGTACCATCGCCTCCCAATTTCAGGATAGCTCGTGATGCAATTTGTTAGAAGAGCATCGCCTGCGGAGCCTTTGAAAAGATCAATGAAGAATGTTTCAGCGTCGGACTTCACATCATTTTCACGTAAAGCCAAAATATGAGGGGGTAACTCCACTCTCATATCCTCTTGAGTCACATCGAGAGCCACCTGTTGAAAGAATGCAAAACTCAACCGCTTGCCGAGAGGCATATTATCCGCCCCAAGGTATTGAGCTGGTTTCAAGTTGACCCGGTGAGTAGTGGCAACGCAAACTCCTTGTGTGAGGGCTTCTAGTGACCGGCCGATGTTCACCACAAGTGTGTTCGGGATAGGGGGAGCCGAGATCCACGTTCCCGATTTGTTCTGCACCTCTAGACTTGAATGGCTCGTTCCTTGAAGCAGGTAGGTCAAGAAGCTTCCATCCTTGTGAGGCCCAACGCCCTGGATATCTACCGCAGTAGGCTTTGAAGGATCCATGCTAGGATAGGCACCGATTCTGAGAAGACTGAAGGGGTATTCTCTCTGGAGTACCTTCGTGAAGGCATCAGGGTGTAGTTCCAAGGCTTCAGCAATCAAAATTCTGAACGAGTCTGCTAATTCTTGGGTCTGCTCAATGTATACTTCGACTGCTTTACGGAGGCCTGGGGTGGTTTCTTCAGGAAGCCACTTTGTAGTCATAGTCAGAAATGGACATGTTGGACTGATGTAAGTCTCTTGGCATACCTGATTAGGTCCTTCGAGACCGTAGTAGATGGGCGAGTTTGGACCATGGACAGGTGCATCGATACCAACCTTCAACGATGTTATTATAAAGTCCGTCCAAATGTTTTCAAATTGTGTCATTAAACATACAGTTAAAGTTTCCCGCTGATCGCTTATTGTGGCTGTTTTTTCGGCACCCGCGCAAGCGTATCCTCGGAAGTGTTTAGTCTCGGCCACGTCCAGCTCTAGCTTCTTTTTTGTTGGGAGGTCGAAAAATGCACCCGTTGTCTTCACAAGTGCCTCCCGTACTTCGACCTCAATCGGAGGGTTCTGAAGGTAGAAGAAACCTACATCGACGAGTGCATTCCTAAGCGCGGAGAGGAAGCGTGGCTTTGTGTCAGGGGAAAGTGAGTCGTGGTAGTCGACCAAAGGGATGGAGGTGAAATTGACTGCCATTTCGATTTTTGAAATCTGGAACGGTCAAATTTTGACAAAGAGTTCTCAGCTCACGGTGTTAACTAACCGAAATAGAGACCTGTGAACCCGAAACCTGGGCATGCATGCTATATAATAGGCTTAGTAAACATGCTGCACTAGGTACCGCTACCTAAATGCGGTCAACTCGATTTTTCTTCTTCCAGCTAATTACGCATAGTCCATGAAAATATGCGCTTCATGACTTCATATTACTTACTTGCCATGCATTACACGACTCGCTCTCAGTATTTCAAGTTCAATACACAACTTGAATAGACGATGTTTTCAACGTGATTCTCATACAAATGCTAATCGACAATACCAATAGGGCTACTGTGTTGTGCTGAGATTATTTCCTAACAGTTCTTAATGTAAAAGCAGATTTTTCACATGGAGTATGGGATTCGATTTACACCATGAACGAGTGAGCTATTCGACGTGGAAATTACAGCGGTGATCCGCTCTTACGCATCAATACAACAATACTGGCCCAGGGGCTCGACGGTATGTGCGTGGTTACACTGCAGTACTATTTGTACTACATATACTAGTCTCAAATTTATATCTACTATTAAAATATATCATAAGTACTGCACACCTAGGCATATGCGTCGGACAGTACATTTGCGACCTGCTAAACTGCGAGGTTACAGGTATAGTATCTATATCATGAAACTAAGGCGGTAAAAGAGTAGGGTCCTGGCCGCGCATACAGTGATGCAGCAAATGTTGTCGAATACTTGGTTTTCTGGGTATAATACCCTGTCTCCACCATGTTTAATACAGTTAGTCATCGATGTCCGCACCCGTGGACAGATTGTTGAAAGAGCTGGTTTTGTCATTTTTAGCTAAAAAGAGATTTCAATATATCTGTTTTCGTCCATACATTGTCGTACTGCCAGATTTCTGTCACATAAGTATCTACTCCACTTGCGTTACCTACGTACTCACTTCCCTACATATTTCTAGGTGCATCCAAGTGTTATCTAGCATAGCAAAGGAGCCTGATAGGATAAGTAAATAGCCTTGAATCCGATCCTGATGTGAGAAAGTAAATTGCATACGGTTGTGTTACGATTATGTATTGTATTTATTTTTCTCAAAGAATTATCTTACATTAATTTCAAAATGGACTCACGTGTTTTCATTGACTAGTCAATGGTTAGTATAGGCAATTACATAGGTACCAAGGGGGTGAAAGTGTATCCTCCCTACCCCTTCTCGAACAGTATTGGTTGCCCAGGGCCATTTCCTTCACTCAAGTCTCCCACTTCACCACTAGTTCTCAAGGTAAATATCCAATCAATGCCAGATTGCTAGGGATTGCTTTAAAATGTCTTGCAATCTGGAAGACACAATTTCAAAATATTGGTACCTTGAAACCGGGTCACCCTGTGTCTTTTATGGCCTTGTTATATTTATTCTATGGTACTGGGGAAGATCCACAGAACTGAAGAACCTGTCTGGGCTGCCAGTTATCGGCGGGAGATGGTATGAGCTGGGCAATGGCAAAGCTTGAAAAAGGTCAGTGATATTCCCATTGCGGTCTATTTCCCTTCTTTGATTTTTTGTATACCTTTGAGTAGTTGGGAGATGCTTTCTATACCTAACCCGATGCTAGATATCGCTTAATCCTTTCTCGCAAATATGTCGATATGATCCGCAATGAGAACCGCCTGGATTTCATCACAGCTCTCGCGGATGTGAGGGAAATTCATCCTGGAGAAATTAAAAGCTGACGAAAATAGAAACTTGTCAATAGCGTGCATGGTTTTGAGCCCATGGAATCAATGGTAAGCGATAAAAAGATCTTATACGCCGTTACAAAGCACTCACTTAATTGCCATTTGGGTTAGCCTTTCCCATGTCACTCGCTTTCACTTGTGGTGTCTAGAATTGCTGAGGGTAGCAGAAGGAATCTGACTTTAGGACGCTGCCACTTTGAATCTATACACTCTAGCTGATATTGTTATTAGGATGATGGGAAGCCCTTTGATATATGAGTGGCCCGTCGATATTAACGATTTGCCTGGTCAACTAAGATCGCGTTCCTTAGGAGAGGTTTTGTAGGTAGATTCCCTCCTCTTTCATTAAAATCAAGACTAATTTAGTAGGCAAAACTCTTTCACTAAGTGCCATGCTTAGAAGAGTTAAAACTACTTGTCAGTTTCACTAATAAGATCGCTTTCCACCGAGTCAAGTCTCATTCTCGTCGCATATAAGAAGGTTTTTGGGTTAGGGCTCGGGCCCTCCCGTCGGTGGGTCCGCCATCGCTTTAGGGGATAGTTCCCGCTCGGTATATAACGTTAAAGTTTATTATCGGTGTTAAAGTTTGTTATCGGCGTTAAAGTTTATAACTATCGACGTTAAAGTGTATATAGCCGTATTATCGACACCAACTTTTCCAGAGGGTACAGCCGTCCCTGCCTCCTACTGCCGCACTGATTGCCGGAGAATACAGATCTTGGTCTTCGAATCCGTACCGAACAGGTACCTTCTACGTCTACAGCTATATATATGTGTGTGTGTGTCTCATTTACCCTGACCCCTCGCAAAAGGTTGAATCCTGGATTGAGGTACAAGTATAATGATATTAATCTCTATGAAAGGAACCAGCTATTTGTAGTCTCAGCAGCTCATCTCCCTACTACCTAGCGTAGTTAGTGTCTGTCTAACAGGCAGCCACCCCTACAGTTCGATATACATCACGTGACCTGAGATCCAACTCAAAAAGCGAGATGCAGGATACAACAACTATAGATCCGAGTATGTACATGTTGAGTGATCCACTTTCTGACACTAACTTTGAGCCTCGTCACGGCATATAGTGGCCAACTGCAGCTCCCATTGTTAGGCTGCCCTCTTGGCGCGGCGATGGTAGTTCTTCAGAAACAAAGAAATAAAATAAAAACCAATCAAGGTAGCTCAAGATGCGCAAGAGATTCAGCTCCAAAGCACACCTTAGAGAGTGGACACCTCGGAACTCTGGAGCGGAGCCAGGTTGTGTGTAACCATTGAACGTGCGATTGTGGAAATGAACGTCGACATCGACTGGACCAGACGAGTACTGTAGCGAATGTGACGTTGTATTGTATGGAATTCCTTACCCTCTTTACACCTTATTCAGCTCCCCAGCACAGTATAGAGTAAGAGCATAAAAGCAGCCGTCAATAGCACATAGGAATCGCCACTGCCCAGTAGACCCATTGTCCGTCTTAAATATTGCGAATATAAAAAGTGTTGAAAGTTTGGAGGATTGTAAATTCGGGGAAATATTTGATCTTTTGACGAAATCCTGTAAGGAAACATTGAGGATTTCCAAGGTTGACATGAAAAGTCCATGAGCCTATATGTATCTCTCGTGGGTAAAGTTGCCGAAGTGATGATATCACCTTGCTTGGAGAGTTCGTATCACGCACTGGTCCACATGTGCGCTGAGCTAATCGCGAAAAAGGAAATTCTTTAGTGACATATAGTACATTTTCCACCTATCGAATAACCAAGCTTTAAATGATCTGCCGTGTGAGTTGATTGTTTCGAGTATGAAGGTTTTCAGTACCACCATCTACAAATAGAATCCATGGTCTGTGCAATGACTGCACGCGCCACTTAGTCGAGCGACGGTTACCCTCGAGCAGAACACGAAAGGGCTTTTTTGGCTCGAAAGCAACCGAATATATTCTTTATGAACAATGGAACCAGGACCACAAGGCAAGGACGCTTTCTAATCATTTCTCCTCTATCTCTGCATATTGATCTTGACACAATCTCCAATCTCTGCTTTCGCCATAGTATACCCATGCGAATAATCCATGAGCAACCTCTCATCTGTGGATATGTGTTGCTGGCACTCTTGCAAATAGTGGTATTGTCGACGAAAAAGAACCTGCAAATGGACGCAACTTTCCGGCGAAAGCAGTCCAGCACTAGGGGCTTCTGCGATGACCCCCTGGAGCTCAACCAGCGCCGCGGAGATACCAAGTAGAACACCCAAGTTTTGGAGTGGTTTTGAAGATATCTGAAGCATCTTGTCTGCGAATTTAGAGGGCCAACGAGCGAGGAGCGTCGACAAGTCAGGGGGAACAGGGAGAGAGGCTCGTTTAATCATCTCCAGGCCAATCCCAACAATACCATTGTCTTCTTCGGTGTGTGACTCATCTATCCCTGTGACCATCGTATGCTCCATCTCAAATCCGAGTTGAGCTCGTAACAAGCGAACCACGGCGCACCCCATTGGGTCTGCGGTCCTCCCCGGAGCGTATACAAACGACTCCAGGAGACTGCACTGAGCGAACCAAAGAGGCAGCAACAGTGGTAAATCAAGATCACCTGCACTGAGTTCCCGCTGGGTTGATAGTTGCGGGTGGTGTAGCAAAGGTGCAATGTCATCTGTCAGGTCTGTGGAATTCGATGATCCAGATATTGCCTGAGGCATATTCGAGCTGCAGCAGCCCTCGCAGTGGGCGGCCTCTGAAAGACCAACAAAATCAAAATAAAATGGAATGCGGTGTGGTCCCAGAGAATCGATCCATTGTTGCAGACTAGCAAGCTCTTCCCTTGTAAAGGTGCCGAACATTTTGCCTCCCCAATGGAGTTCTTTCACCAGCCTGCTCTTGTTGCTGTTACCGGGATGAATCCATGGCTTGGAGGTGGTGAGAGCCTGGAGAAAATTCGGTTGCCATTTTTCGTCCAGCAAGCTACTTGGACTCAGCCAGTCTGCTAGAGAGCGACTCCCAATATTTGCCTTGCATCCGGCGTGTATTCCTTGCGCAGCCTGAGCTTTGGCGCGAAATATCTCGCTCACCCTGGATTCAAGCTGGTCACAGGGCATAGAGGCAAGTTTGAGAGGGATGTCTGCCGTATGAATCCCTTCAGAACCCAGCCATTCACTCAAGATGTATCCTGCCTGAATCCGCCGCCACGCAGTATGAGCGGCTTCTTTGCCTTCCATTTCCGAGATTTTTCGTATGTAGTCCACAACGCATTCCATCGACATAGCAGCATGGCCAGAATGGCTGTTGTCAATGGACACATGAAGTATAAAGTAGTATGGATTGAGTCCAACTTCTGGTAGCTCCTTTGCTGCCTGCATTGTATCCAGCTGGAGCATTTCGAAGTGCATGTTGAACCCCAGTATCTCCGGGAAAAAGTCTTCCGAAAACATGGCGATCATCAATTGAGCTACAGCCGCTCTCCAATACTTGATGCTGCTGAAATTCAATCTAGGATGAAGAAATTCCTTTGTCGTTGGGGAGGGTAATTCTGGCTCGAAAGACCTTAAGAGGTCTTCATAAATGTAAACGTGGTGCTGATGAAGATCACCATCTCCCAGCTCCTCACTGAACACCTGCCAAGTTTTCTTCATGATTGGACGCAAGGCAAATGGTAAAGTGATTTTGTTCAAGTGACCCAGCCAAGCCCCGTCAATCATCTTCAACGGTGCAATCTTCCTCAGCCAGAACTCTGCATCCTGTCGGTCGCGAACCAATTGCCGAGGGCCACCCAGGTCTCTCTGCGCAATATATTGTGCGTATCGGTCCGTGACATTCTTCTGATGATCTTGGAGAAACTGGGAAAGCTCTTCTTTGTTGAAAGTCTCCATTGATAGGATACTGGGATGAGACTTCCTTTTTGTATATTCGCTCAATGCTTCGGACATTAGGAACAAGATTGCTTGTCGTGCTAGTGGAGAAACCTCCGGATTATACTCCACATTTTGCAGTCTGAAAAAGAGACTTTTATAAAATTCCAGCTCTTGGAATCCTGATTCTTTGGCAATTGGTTTCACGGCTGAGGGGATAAATGTCAACTTCCTTCGGAAGTGATGGGGGGTTCGCCGACGTGGTTGACTGTCCTGAGATTTCCAAATTCGACGAAAATAAAATGCGGCGGTAAAGAGTAAGAGGATGGCGATTATCTTTGAGATTGATGAAGGTAGGAAAGAAGCCAGTGGTATTTCATAGTTGAAATCCATCGTCAGTTTAAAGTGAATTCGAAGTAAGTGGAGAGCGAGGAGGCATTCACTTATTGAAGACGAAGTCCCTATTCCAGATCCCAAGCTTCTATAGAAAAAGATCGCGGACCTGCGACAAGTCACCTAAGCAAAGTATTGGTTACATGTGCATTCCCATTTTCCCGGTCCTTTGAGGTTACACCAAGTCCCACATGTGCCGCTTCTGGAACCACGCACACGGCCACTTTTCTGTGCCTTGCATATATTCCGTGCTTAACCTGCAGAAATGGATGCATATGTAAAAGAACGGTCTCTTTAGTAGTATTAGTTGAACTGAGTGAAAAATATAGTCCTTGAATGACTAAGGAATTTCAATATTACATAGCCCTTAGATGACGCCCGGGCGGAAGAAAGTTGGTCTGTATTGAATGGAATGCTAAGGCCGTAACGGAAGGGCCCGTAGTATGTGTACTAGTGGCGAATTTTGCTTTTGAGTGCTTTGGTAATCTGTTTTTTTTTACAAACTGCTGCGATTCAATTCCTGCCTCTTTGACTCTACATATCTCCTTCGTTCATTCACATCTTTCTACTATCGATCCTCCACCACGACATCGTGAAATGATCGATGAAAATACGCCACTGGCTGAGCGTCAGTTATTCTTGGAATATGGTGCCACGGCTAAACAGGATGCGGAAGTGGGAGAGGAGGCATCCCCTATCGACCGCGCGTTTATTTCGGTTGCTTTGCTAGGTACTCGGGTCCAGCCATCCTTTGACAGGCTCTCTAGAGTACTCCCGCTAACTAGAAATCACCGATAGGAATATTTCTCGCGGCAGCAGATGATTCCTTTGTCTTTGCTACACACGGCGAAATTGCGACCGACTTCAAACGACTTTCATTGGGGCCCTGGCTTATTTCAGCCTATAACCTTGGGTTCATTACTACCCTTCCGTTGGTGTGTAAGCCCCGTGCGAAGTTCATACCCGGTTACATATCTGACGGTAGCAGTACGGAAAGCTCAGTGATGCATATGGGTACAAGTTGGTACTACTAATAGCCTATCTGATGTTCTCGTTCGGTTGTGCCATCACGTACGTTCCAAACAAACCGTTTCATTTGTACGACGTGGCTAATCCTCCCCAAGAGGCGTTGCACCCACAATTTGGCTTGTCATTGGAGGTAGATTCATCGCTGGCGTTGGGGCTTCGGGCATGACAGATCTCGTGAGCTTGATCATCAACGGTAAATCTTTATACTCTTTGGTTTGTTTTCTTGCCTCGAAGACACTGTTGATCAAATGAATACAGATTTGGCCTCGCCGAGACAAGTTGTAATGTTGCGAAGTTATTTTGGAATGGCATTCCCTTTAGGGCTCAGCTGTGGAACCTCTCTTGGTGGAATTCTTGTGGACTTCGTTGGCTGGAGATGGTACGTTGATGTTCCTGCTTATTATAACTTGACATTTTTTGATATGCATTATCCAGGTCCTTCCTCGTACAAGTCCCATTCGGCCTACTCTGCTTTTTTATTGCCACATGGAGACTACCAGCACCAAATGATAGCTCAAACGAAGCGCAAGATGGACTCAACGATACTGTCAACCGTGAACTTAATCTGTTCGGTATATTCTCATTGGGAATATCTGTCGCCGCATTCACGGTACTGTGCCATTCCCTCGAAGGAGGAGAGGGTACTGCAATGGCTGTTGCTTCCGTGACAGTTATCTTATCTGCCGTTGCGTATGGATTGAATGAAAGATTCTGGACCAAATCTCCGTTGGTGTCTTTGGATGTTATCAAGCATAACCGGATTTGGGCAATCTATATGATACAGTTTCTTGCTTCCTTTGCTGCCTTTGGTGTAAGTCAACCCCAACATCTTCAAACCTCCCAGCTAATTATCAAAAAGATTCTTTCCAATACCAGCGAGTTTTTTACGCGAACCAGAAATGCTACGGCTTCTTTTAGTGGAGCCACCTTCATTATTATAGCGCTTGGCTGTGTTGTTGGATCTCCTATTTTCGGATTTCTTATACGACGGTAAGTCGAGCCCGAGGGTGCTACGGATTAATACTACACATGAAGTCCTCACACTCGACTAACACCTCAACAGCACCGGGAAATACAAGGCATTGGCATTTACGTCTTGCTTTATTAATCTTACGGGTTTTGGTCTGCTTATGCTTCGATGGTCGCAGGGACCCAAGCTCTGGGAACTGGCATACCTCGCAATTCATGCTATCGGTCATACGGGGCTCATTACCACCCTATTTGTTGCCATATCAGTGGCAGTTCCCAAAAATGCCGGAGCCGGGGCAATTACCACCTACTACTTGGCTCAGCAAATAGGAATGGTAGTGGGCGTAACCACCACATCAGTATTTACACGAAATGTGTTCAGGAATGATCTCCTCAGGAAACTCGCCCTGGAGCCGAATGCAAATGAGGTAGGCGTCTCTGGTTTGGAAAGGATATTGTTGCCTCAGAAAACTGATGATGCACAGATTATTGGAAATGTGTTACGGGACAGTCGGTTTGCATTCACCCACCTGTCTGATAGACTTCAAGTGGTCGTCGCCAATAGTTACAGCCAAGCATTTGTTACTACACCGGGTAGGTAAGCCCCGTCTCCACGTCCTGTTATCTGCTTCTGACTGATCAGTAGGGCTCTGCGCCGCATGTATGTTACTTGTTATCCCCGCTCTTTGGTGCATGCCTCAGCTCTCTCTAGACTGATTGGACCACTGTTAGAATCGTCAAATGAAGTTGGATGAAAACCTGGTAGTACGACAACGTATGGACAAAATCAGATATATTAAAATCTCCAACTAAAAATGACAAAACCCGCGTTTTCAACAATCAATGCGGACATAGATGACTAACTGTAATATGCACTTTTATATGGTATGGTTGGTACCAGTTGTCACATGATTTTCCGGGTAAAATACCCTGTTTCCACCATGTATTCAATATTAGTATTCGACATATTATTTAAATATTTATACCATAATTTATATAAAAACACTAAGTCGAACTAGGCCTAAAATGGGTTTTCTAGGGCCCTAGTCACTAGGTCTAGATTAGGCCTAGGTTATAAGCTTTCGACCTAGACCCAGACTGGGTTGGGTTTTGGGTCGAGACCTTCGACCCAAAATGGGTCGCGCGGAAGACTTGGCAGAACATATCATGCTAGGTATTAGTAAGAGCGCGACGCGTCACTAACTACGCCCCGCCGTTCTAGGTAACGGTCTATGTTTTCCCCCTTCCTTACCGCCGGTAAAGATATTGTAACCCTAGACGGACTAAGCGACCACCTCGCTAGAGTGTGTGTCTATAGCACCTACGACGGGAACGAGGGGAAAGTCGATTATAGGGCCTTGGCTCCTAGAGAAGGGTTAGGGGTAATAAAGTCGGTCTCGAATACCCTACTATCCGCGATGGCAATTCCATTTGGAGTAGAGGCTGTTAGTCGAACGAATTAGGCCTTTTGCGGTTAAAATGCTGAGAGCTTTTGGCTTTGATCCGGCCACCAGGTTCTATATGCAACCAGGTTCTAGGTCTCATTGTCAGCATTAACAAAGATTTGGTGTTGCGCGATGAGTGCGGCCTTCTGATCTTACCTAGGGGCCATAGTCAGGCCACTGACGCTAATATCTTGTGACCCCAAATTGATGGTGATACTTGGGAGGTGGCGGCGCTGAGGCTATGCTAATAGGTTACGTTGTTGCCATCGAAAGCTTGGTTGCAGTTGTTGCCACCCGTGACGGAGGTACATTCGGCGACCCAGTTACCCCGGGGAACCTCACGGCCCTTTGGCAGCGGCTGTGAGAGTGAGGGGCCTTCGGTTCCATCAATATTCCTAGTGTCTGGTGTTGTTCCATCTCTATAAAGCCCCTCAAGCTCTGATATCTCTCGGGCCCTTGCGGTCCCAAGGAAAATATCGCCGCACGCCAATCAAATCTCATCTTGAGATGCAAGTGTGTTGTATGTGGTCATAACAGACAGAGATCAGCCTAGGCGAAAAGTGCTCGAGGAAAGATTAATGTGGTCGTGTTTATGGAGAGGAGTAAGTTGTGCTTTAAACCAACCATTCCAAAGACGTGAAGGTCGACAAGAATGTCAACACACCAAGCATTGTCGGACTACTGCCCGAGCATAACGAATTATGCAAGGGACGTAACTGAAGCGTTTCATCGTTGAACTGGGAATGTCAATATGAGCAATAGATGTTCAGTGCAGATCCAATACCCAGAATGTACCAGGGAACAGCATCTCTATGTTTATCAATACCTGAAGAAGCAGGTAATACAAAGAAGGAATGCTTGCCTCAGGTACCATACGCCCGGAAAGAGCCTGCAGAAATGAATCAGGTGAGGGTGACTGAATAACAATATCCAGTAGTGTATTGGTCAAGGCAATGAATCTGCTCCACCTAATTAGCTAAGGTGCGCGGCCCGGGCTGGTGCAATGTCAATCCGGAAGTAGAAGCTATGGAATGTAGTGGGTCAAAGTCATTAGGTTACGGTTAGGTCTGCTATTAAACTAATTTTAAAAGCTAAAATAGGCTATCGGTCACTCAAATATCACTTGATACGACCTACTATAGTAACGATGGTTATTATACGTCATTAATTAGGTTGTCCCGGAAATAGAAATTCTAAGGTAGAGGTGGATTTAAATGCCATATCCGGATTCTATATTACAATCTAGTCCTTAGGCTAAGCCATCCGAATATAATAAACTGTAAATTATTACAAATAAGCATCCTTAAATTGGTCAAGGCAAGGAATCTGCTCCACCCAATTAGTTAAGGTGCGCGGCCCGGAGCGAAGGGCTGGTGCAATGTCAATCCGGAAGTGGAAGCCATGGAATATAGTGGGTCAAAGCTATTAGGTTACGGTTAGGTCTGCTATAAAACTAATTTTAAATGCTAAAATAGGCTATCGGTCACTCGAATATCACTTAATACAACCTGCTATAGTAACGATAGTTATTATACGTGATTACTTGGGTTATCCTGGAAATAGAAATTCTAAGGCAGAGGTGGACTTGAATAACATATCCGGATTCTATATTACGATCTAGTCCTTGGGCTAAGCCATCCGGATATAATACACAGTGATTTATTATAAATAATCATTCTTAAATTAGTTAAGGCAAAGAATCTGCTCCACCTAATTAGTTAAGGTGCGCGGCCGTGCGCGGCCCGTAGCGGCCCGGAGCGAAGGGCTTATGCAATATTGATCCGGAAGTGGAAGCTATAGAATATAGTGGGTCAAAGTCATTAGGTTGCGGTTAGGTCTGCTATTAAACTAATTTTAAAAGCTAAAATAGGCTATCAGTCACTCGAATATCACTTGATATAACTTACTATAGTAACGTTAATCATTATACGTCATTACTTAGGTTATCCCGGAAATAGAAATTCTAAGGTAGAGGTGGATTGAAATGCCATATCCGGATACTATGTTACGATCTAATCCTTAGGCCAAGCCATTCGGATACAATACACCGTAAATTATTGCAAATAAGCATTCTTCAATTGGTCTTTAGCTCATTTCCCCTTAGGAAACCAGAGATTTGATGGTACTAGTAGCTGTCAAAATCTTCAGTAACCCTGATGGGCTGTCTTCGGCTGGAGAAAATTTTCTCAACACAACTACCTCTTGTTGGGGGGGCATTTCGTCCACACTGTTGATTTTTCTATGATCAAACTGCTTCTCGCAAAAAGGTACGGTGGCTTTATCATGGAATAACTTGCAATATTGGCGACAGATTGGCAATGCGCTAGAGAGGGACTGGGAAACAAACCCTGGATAGCATGAGGTGTAGAATAAATGCCTCACAGTTACATCATTGACTTGCTAATGTAGCAGAGTTCATTAGATGTGACATAGACGCTGGTTGCAGATGTAGCCCCACAGTAAATCAAGCTATAAAAATAGCCTACATGAAGATTCAAATCACCCTCTTTCTTATACCTCAACCTTTTTATACCTCAACCAGGAGTTACATTCAAGAATCATTACCAGCACAAAATGGGTCATTTCCAGCAGCAAATGCCATCCATCTCTAATGAATTTGATCTGAACAACATACAGGGAGATATCTGGTCAGTTTTAGGACCTGGAAACCATGATGAACATTGGTGCTGACCTTGATTTAGGCCTGGTTTGTCCAAAAGATGTGAGAAGTTTATTTTCTTCACCATCAACAATCCTGCTCTTTTCAAACCTGGGCTGCACAAGCTCGCGGATCAAGTCATTACTTCCTCCAACCAAGCCCTGCTAGATCGCGCCAAAATCCAAAAGGTCGTTGCAGCTAGGACGGCGAAAGATGGCAACAAGGAAGAGTCAGGGTCAGGTCTCGGGGGCTTGGCCGGATCTTTGGCCGGAGGTCTTCTAACCCTGGGGCTTGCGCCCCTCACTGTACTACACGATATGCTCCCGGAGCATCAGCATATTCCGAGAGCCAAAGGATCCGACGATGCCGAAATAGTTGGTGTGAACATATCCTTCACCAACAGAGGCATGACCAAGGTAATATCATATCATTTCCCATTGAAGTATCAGACGCCGAACCTAACCATTCTCTTTTCCTTAGTTGAGCAGTGAAAAATTCGAGCATGACCCATTCATCAAGGGCCAGTTCCACGGCATGGTGAATGAAGGGAGAGACGAGGCACACCATTGGCTTCCTGAGTTCGCACAGAACTCCATTGATGGAGTGCTGCTAGTGTGTGGCACAGAAGACGCAGTCCAGGCAAAAAGAGATGACCTAGTCCGCAATTACTTCGGCAGGACCAAAGGCGCTACTGTTGTCTTGGAATTGGAGGGCAAGGAAAGACCCGGAAAGATGGAGGGGCATGAGCAGTAAGTTTCTGAACATTGATATTAGGCAGAGTCTATCTAACCCATTCTAGCTTTGGGTTCTTGGACGGAAAATCGCAGCCAATCGTCAAGGGCCTCGATGAGAAATCTCGCGGGACTCGCACGCACCACACTCGTCCAGGGTAGGTCAAAACAAGGCCTCATAAAACATTTTCTCAGACTGCTTACATATTCCAGAGTCATCCTATTCGGATACGATGGGGAGGATGAAAAGTCAAAGCATCCAGCCTGGGCCAAGGACGGCAGCATCCTGGTCATTCGCAAGCTCCAACAATTCGTGCCTGAGTGGAACCAGTATGTATGCACGTATTTTAATATTCTGAACCATGAACTAACAATGGATATAGGTTCGTAGAATCAGAGGCTAAAAGGCTCAACTTCACCCCAGGGCAGTTTGGCGCTCGACTTGTCGGACGTTGGCAGAGCGGTAAGCTGCAAGCTGTAGGAACACTCATACATACGATAAGTACTAAGAGATATTTTAGGAGCACCTGTTCAGGTGTATCCCGATGAGGACCCTGTTGCGAAGTTTGCCGAGGATGACCCGGAGAAAAAAATCATCGAAACATGGAATGCATTCGACTATCCCGAGGACAACCAGGTCAACTGCCCATTTGCGGCCCATATACGCAAGGCCGCTCCCCGATCTGGGGTCGGAAATTCGGACGTTTTCGACATCCTCCGCCGTGGTATTCCATACGGAGAGGAGCTCCGTGATGATGAGACGACTGAAACCAAATTGGACCGTGGCCTCATGTTCAAGTGCTACCAAACCAATCTTTCCCTTGGGTTCGAGTTTATTAGGAACCGTAAGTCATCACTCATTTCATGAAGATATATGTCTCATGCCACTGACTCTCATTTTGAAGACTGGATCAATCCCGATAACTTCCCCCCCGAAAAGACCGACTTCACTGGTGGCATCGACCCAGGACAGGATGCCGTTGTTGGTCAGTGGGACAAGAAAGCCACTGACAAAAACTTGAAAACGAGTATCTTTGATGGTCATGGAAAGCATAATCAGGTCACCTTCCAATCTTTTATCGAGTCCCACGGAGGTGATTACTTCTTCTCTCCATCGTTGAAGCTTCTCCGCGATCTTTCTAGGCCTCGTGCTTTTTTCTGAACATCCTAGTGGACTTCCTGTGAAATTCATAGATAGGATGTTTCGGTATACCCGATGAAAGCCTTGGAAGAGGAGCCAAACCTGTTTAGGAAAGGCGTTCCAATTCTCGCAAAAGTGGAATTTCTGTTTGACATTTATTTATCGATTAATTATGTTGCTTGTTCTTTTCCTATTTAGTAATTAATTTTTTTTTGTTCTTATTGCGACGATCTCAACGCGTACACGCAGTATTCAACCCTTTTTAAACTATTCACTGCGTCAATTTTAGCCTCTCGCGATATGGGCCGTGGTGGATAGATTGAAGCAGGGTTAAAAACGAAATGACATAGGCCCAACATTTGGATAGTAAATGCACCATTCTGCAGGCCAAATTATTGCGATCACTTTATTTTTCTTGGCGGAATGAAATCAACCTAATTCGTGTTTAGGCAGATGACTGCGGGGTAATTTTGAGGCTTTTACGCTGCTTTGCCATTGATAGATTGCATTGCCCTCATATATGTGCACTTAAAGCAGTCGATACCAAATAATCTGTGTCAGTAGTATATATTGAACATACACTTGAAATGTGAACCCAATACCCAATATCAATAAAGGAATTCCTGGTGAGTAACCAAAAACAACTTCCAAATGAGCAATGAACAATTTCCCTCCAGCCTTCGCCCAATTTCATCCATCAGCTTCGTAACCCGACCACTCATAAACCACTCTGCCTGGAGTGGCTTTAGCAAGATAGCGTAACGAGCCAAGAGTAGTAATGCTCCCGGATGGTTCTGATCTAACAAATCAAAGTACTCGGGCAAAACCTGCATCGGCCACGAGTTCAGAGCATCCCAAACACTCAGAGTTGCGCCAAATCGTCGGGTGAACTCGAATGCTTCGGCCAGCTTAAAAGCTGCGTCCCGGTATATATGTATATCATTATCCGAAAATCTCTGGTCACAAGCGACAACTTCACTTGACTCTGAAATGGCAGACAGCAATGATACAAGTAAGGGCTCACTGGGGTCAGCAGTGACGCCGAGATTATCCCGCCATAGTGCTGCGAAAGGAGCCAATGGCCCATGTGTTAGTTCAGACCAGACATTACACAGCATGGAGCAGCCATTGCGCAAGAGACTAATCCAGTTCGAAGACGGGGAGCTTGCTTCCCAATTGTTACCGAGAAACAATACATCATCTTCACTTCCGGAGCTCAGGCCATAAACGACGAGGAAGAATGCATAGGCTAGTATTGCTTGACAATTATTGGTGACCACATGCATAGTTGCCAAGTGGAATGCTGGAAGTGCTTGGTCTTGGTGTCGGATTGCCTGAAGCATATATGATCTTTGGTTTGGGGGGTCGCTGGAAGCCAGGTGGAGCGCTGAACAAGCTAGCATGCCGTGAAGCAGGAATGGGAATTTGGCGGCTAGTTGGGGGACAATAATCCGGAACACATTGTCTGTATCTGGGCCACATGATATCGTTTTATATGTGGAGTTCAGATAATTATCAAAGAGGGTTGTGTTCTCGACGCTCAGTGATATGTTGGTTTCATAAGCAAATAGACTTGATATTCCTTGTTTCTCATCTGAATCTGGAGTTGTAACAATCTGCAAATAACAGTTAAAGTAATTATCTTCGCATAATTGCTGCTTCCACTTACAGTACTTGGAGATTCCTCGCTTGTGCTCATCGGTTCTTCTGAACTATCCGTCGACAACGCCAAGAGCGCCGGGTTTGTAAAATACCGCAAGGCATTTCCCCGAAAAAAGGTCTGCAGCGGGACTGAGCACCAGCTTTCATCATTTCTAGCAGTAAGATGATGCGCAGATGACCAGTGCGCCTTCATTCGCTGGATTGTGGCACATAAGTGAGCGCACCCCTCAAAGCGACAGGCCAGCCCATTGTGGATCGGTAGCGAGTCCACCGGAAACTGGGTCTCGTCTGGTAAGATTATAGAATCAATATGTGCTAGCTCAAACTGAGAAGCATATTCCACAAATGCCCGACGTTCCAAGCGATTGAAATGGTGGATCTCTTTGAGATGGCGGACGATAGCCCCTGGTTGAATGGCGTAGCGGCAGTGCAAGCAAATCAAAACCTGGTGGGCCGTGAGATAGCGTAACAGCTGAGATGGAAGGACTTCTTCCGGGGTAATCCCCGAGATCATGATAGAATCAATCGAATCAAGTGTGGTGGAAGATGTAAGACGAGAACGGCACCGTCGATTTCTCGGACATCAAGCTTAAGCCCGACCAGCCAATCACAGTCGAGAACGGCACCGTCGGTTTTTCTATATAGCCCTAGAGGTAGATATGCCATTCAACTATTTATACGCCCTCTAGCCCTCTCCAATTACATTTTTGAATTCATCTACTCTCATCTCTCCCAGCCACACCAAAATGTCTTTCTACAATTCTTACCCCGGTTTCCTATACCGCCAATTCCTAGTGTGCCCTCCCAAGGCACCCTCCACCACCTCTCTCCAAGGCAAAGCCGGCATAGTGACAGGCTCAAACACTGGTCTGGGGTACCAAGCCTCAGTCCAGCTACTAAAGCTCGGTCTCACACATCTCATCCTAGCGGTACGCAGCCTCCCCAAAGGCGAAATAGCGCGCAAGTCTCTCCTCGCCTCGCTCCCCAAGTCTACCAAGCCTCCTGTGGTCGAAGTCTGGGAGCTAGACTTGGCGGACTATGGCAGTATTACCGATTTTGTCAACCGTCTTCAGCAATCTGGCATCTTTATCGACTTTGCCCTCCTCAACGCCGGTGTTGCCAACTTCAACTACTCCCAGACTCCATCGACATCCCACGAGTCAAGCATCCAGATAAACTGGCTGGGCACCGCTCTGCTTACTCTGCTTCTCCTCTCCGAGCTCAACAAACAGGCTGCAGCTAATGCTACACGTCCCCGCCCCGTGATCTCAATCGTTGGTAGCGAGACTGCCGCTTGGGCGAAGTTCAAAGAAGCCCAAGTCTCTACTGCGAAGGGTACTCCTCTCATCGAAGTACTGGATGATAAGGCCCACTTCGATATGGGTGATCGATACTACACGTCGAAGCTACTCTACCAGCTCTTTTTTCTGGAGCTTGTCCGCAGCCATAGGTCTGTTTCTCACGGTGCGATTCTCAATATTGTCAACCCTGGTTTATGCTATGGGTCTGAGTTACATCGTACGGCTGAGGGCGCCTTTGGGGGTGTCCTTTCAGGTATGAAGAGGGTTGTGGGTCGTTCTCTCTCTATGGGTGCTCGGACCCTTGTTCATGCGGCAGTGCTGGCTGGCGAGAGCTCGGATGGTAGATACCTGAGTGATTGTAAGCAGGGTCCGTTTGCAGGGTATGGGGAGAGTGATGATGGTCGGAAGACGCAGACTCAGGTGTGGAAGGAGACTGTGGCAGAACTAAGTCGCGTGGTGGATATGGACAAGCTGTTGTTAGATATTTGATGGATCTATGATATTCTATCTTGGCCTTGGTATGGGTTTAGGTTGCAGAATTAGGATCTGATACGTATAGTCTCAATTTAATCCAGATAAACGAAAGAAACGGATATTCCGAAGAAATCTATAACTTTTAGATTCATCGCATCACTCAATTCTATCATTTTTCATATGGTTGTTCAAATCCTTTTCCGGGCTCATGTAGACTAACTATTTGCAAATACACGCAGTCCTTCGGGTCTTCTTCCATGTCTTCTATCACCTTTAACGCCGTCACAAACACGGACCCCCATTACTTCCCTCAGTTCTGTTTCGTCGGTTGGAGTGGCCAGAGTTTCGTGTGTGCTTGATGTGATTCTGGTAAGGCTATCCCAGCGTTCATGGGCCAGTCGAGATGGACTTTTCTTGGGCGTTTGGGTTGTATCCCCGTTGAAGCAAGGCCACAGGACAAAGATTGGCCAGGAAATGACCAGTCGTCGTAGATCCTCAACTTTGCTGAAGCCGAGTGCATAGATTGGTTCTTGGCACTCACAGATATCTCTGTTAAGTATCAACCCAAAGCCATAGGGTATCTATATAGTTGCGATTAGTGACACTTTCTACCCCTTCTTCTGTAGTTTACTCACTCTTTTGCAGCAGCTCAACTCCCTTCTAGGACCTTCAATTCTGTACGCCCTTGGGGTTACCGCCACGAGGGTAACTACCCTTCAATTTGGGGTGAGCACGTAACTATGAATCGGAAAAGCTTCATTATACCAGTTTGCCTTAGGCAAGGAGCAATTAAGAGATTTTGATGTGGCGGCCGTAGGCAAATTACCGTTGACCGCAGCGTCTTCATCGTCTTCAGCCCAATCAAAGTCACACCGGCAAATAAGGTCATCCCAATGCAAATCGGCAGCGGACAGCGTTAAAAGAGGTTCGCCGCACTGAGATTGCGCACGTACGCCGTTAGGTCATGACGCCGAGTGCTCCAATACGTTCTGGTGCCACGGCGGTGGGTGGCGTGACGAGCAGAGTCCTTCAGAAGCTTCTGTGCCTCTGAGGAATTACTGCCGAACGTTGATTACTGCACCAACAGCACTTTAACTCCTTCCCCCTTCTGTCAGGAGGGACTGTGTCGTTTGTTTTCTTTTTTGATGGCTGGAAAAGCCCGGCGGGGGACTCTCTTCGTGGTGTGTTTTTGGACGTCTTCACAGTCATGCACTTCGTCGTAGAGTCTATAGATGACTTAAAGGCAAGTCTATGAAGAATAACACCCTTTTCATCTTCCGAAAACTCATCCGCTTATAACAGATCATTTTCTTCCTCCTCGGAAAGATCTTTTATAGAGTCCGTATATTGCAAGTTCAATTCCACTTGTTTTTGGATGTGCATTTCTCTCATTTCGTTAAGTTGTGACTCGGTAAATTTGTGAGAAAATAGAGAAGGGTTATCCCGCGGAATTACCCTTGGTGCGGGTGTTCGATTGAGTTCCTTAGGGCGCCTAGGGCTAGTGATCATTGCGAGTAAGAGGGTACTGATAGATCCACTGATGGTTTCTAGGCGGGCTAGATCGGACGCTTTAAAGCCTCGCGTATAGAGCCAGGACCAGATACTATCAGTGATCGAGTCAATTGTTATCTCCGACTCCCGCGTTCTTCGCGTAACATTAAACGCACTAACTCGGATAATGCTATCCGCGACCTAAAATAGAACTGCTGAATCCCTTTAGTTTGCGTGAGGCAAGCCGCAACTTTGATTGCAAGGGAAACCATCGTGCCACCCCTCCAGTCACGAAGTTTTTCGACCGAGATATCACGATGTATCTGATAGATGTGATGCAAATATCAACATTGATGGTATCGGCATGTGAGTAATAGCAATTGACATGTGTACGTGAAGCAAAAGTTAGAAGGTAAACAAGGTTGGTAGGTTATCAGGGTTGCGCCGGGCAGTGTCATCCTTTGGGACATGATGGGTCTCTTTCCTTCATACGCGTCGTACCAGGGCTTGATGTCATTCATGCAACCCATGACCCAAGGGGACGTGCGGCTGAAGGTGGGTATCAGGTTCCGGTGGCTTTGACTTGGCCATCCCGACTGGGAGTGTTCCCACCCGCTTTCGTTCCATGCCTGCTCCACCTTGCTCCGTCTCTGGTTCTCTTCCTTTACATATTTCTGCCTCCAGCAGCTTGACTTTCCGATGCCTGCTTCGTGTTTTGCGTTCAGGGGTTCCTGTCTGTTCGACCATGTTGCAGATTGCAACTATGCTTAACAACAGTCTCATTGTCTCTCGGTAACTTCGTCCCGTTCAATGTCTTTATCGTTGCCCGGGGTTGAGAGGCGTTGACACTGTGGTACAGTTATATATTCCGTATTGCTGAAGAAGAGCAATGATATACTTCTGTCTGGGCCAATGGCAAATGTCGCTTCATTTCGAATAACCTGAATTCTGAGATACTGTGTAGCTGTGCTGCACCTTTACCAGCGGGGTCAAGTGTAGTGGTGTCGTCGGTGTTCGGGAGACTTGGTACAACGACCTCAATGTCCAAGTCAGACGCGATTGTGAGGATTGAAACTCGGCTACCGGTTATGTCGGTGAGATCCCTTGTCCCACAACACCTTCTTCGTGCTCTGCAGGTCGAAGTTAAGGCGCGCACGAACCTCTTTGAAGTAGGTATACGCCGCAACAGCGCCCGCCTACCCACGCCAGAGCCGAACGGTGGGCTCCTGGAAAGGCGAATGGTACCATACGCCACTATACTCAGGCACAAAGGTGGGCTTGATTCCGATCGGGGATGCTCAAAAGGGTACTTCTCCTTCTTGTCCCCACCCGCACCCGAACCACCATCGTCTGCCTTCCGCTTCTCCTCAGACAGCTCCCCGCCACCTCCGGCCTGAGCTGCAGCCGCAGGACTGCTAATGGCACCGGCTGTCCCAGAATCCTCGTTCTCATCATCCTCCGGCCCATATCATCATCTTTCGGCTTGTCCTTGCCACCCTTGCCATCTGGCGGAAACTGATATCATGAAGCAAGTATTGAGAGTTGAGAGCAATAGAGAGAAGGACGAAAAGTGGGTGGATCCGATTTCTTCATCATCGAATCGCGCTTTAAATAAAGGGGAACAATAGCGTTAACACCCCTCGGCCAAGGGCAGCTCCCCGCTCTTTTGGCCCAGTATCCAGGTTTTGGTTCGGCCTCGCCGTAAGCACCATATGTTGGATTCGGTGGGGCTTGGGAGGGCTGTTGGCTATTCTGGGGGAGCCCATCTTGTGCCTCACTCCTAAGATCATCGCTGGGCTCTCTCCTAATTGGTAGAGAAGTGCGTCCACTTCTATCCATGACTATCGAAATCTTAGCAATGCACCTTTGGTGTACTGCGTCTTTCACAAAGAACCAGCGAAGATCCATCCAGCGGTTCGAATTCTTCGCTCCACGCTTTGACATTAGGGTCTGGGTATTCATGTTGTCGGTGGATGAAGGTAAGAGTTCGCAGCTTGGACTGTGGCCGATTCGAATTTCTGGGAACTTCTTTCTGTGAAGACTGAGCTTGGACAGCTGCCTAGGTAGTGAGCGTTGGTGTGAGAGTGTCGCTTCTTGTCCAGTCTTTTATTCGCGCCATTCCGGTGCTGCCTATGAGGCTGATTCACTTGTTGTTGTCTTCTGAGTGTCAAGCCATATGAGAACAACACCAGCGCCCGGATATATAATAAAGCGCCTTTATAACACAAATGAGTGCGTTAGATGGTTCATATATTCTCAGAGCCTTTTTTCGTTAGACTTACATTTGACGCGTCCACGGGTGGTTTCCTTCCTACCCAGTTGTCGCCCGCCTTGGTAGCAGGTGATACCAATTATCCTCTTCATGTTAACCCGGAACTCTTGAGAAGCAAACAGACATTCCCATCCTCGGGGGTAACGTCGTGAAACCCTTCTTCCTCGTATCCTTCCAATTGTCGTACCTCTGGTAGTATACACTTATCGACCCTGTGATAGATTTTGAGATCCGAAACATTGAATTTCATCCGGATATGACTTAGACGATGTACCTCGAAATCTGGCTGAGCCAGCTTTTCAATCAGCTCATCTGTCAGGTTTCTGGCTCTGAGGGAAGAGAAGTGGATTTGTGAGGAGGTTCAGGCTGTTTTTGAATTATTAGAGGCTCCTGCTAACGGGCTTTAACTGGACACACTAACATCACTCTCTATCGTTGTCTTCCCTGCACTAAGTTGGATTTCTGGTATCCACTTCCGAGTGGGGAGGAGTTGTATGGTCAATTCCAGCAAATAGACTACCTCTTGAGTGACTAGATCGAGGGAAGTGGGTCTTAGAAGTCCTTGACAGGCATTCTTGTGGAGAAGACCAAGACACTGCTAGAACTTGATGTGATGCAGGCCGATAGGTATAAATGAAGATGGTTGTTGCTTCTTGCCCTTCTTCCTTTCATCGTTGATTGCTTCCAAGCGTGTATATAGTATAACTTCCCCTGCAATATCTCGTTCACGTCACAGTCATCAATGGCTGATGTCAACGGCTTCTGCTTTTGCTAGGTATGTCGCGAGTCAAGGAAGCTGAAGAGAATCCCTGTTGGTTTTCGAGGAGAACTTTTCAAGTGAGACTCAGATCTCTCCGGTAATGCTTTGAGCCTGACACTTCCTTCTTCCTGGAGCGTTTCTGGGCGCAAATCTCTTCGTCGTCAAGGTCTTCCAGATATTCCTCCGGTATATGGCGCTCGCTCTTCGTGCGAGGTCCCAATGACCATTCCCCCTGCTGCTGAAACAGGCAACAGCTTCAAGCGGGAGCTAAAATGGCGGTAGAATTCCCGGTTCAAGGGCCATTTTGTACTTCTTCTAAATGATGTATCAGCAACACTCATCAACAGAGACACATCACGCAAATGGGAAAACAATGAACTCACTCTACTTATTTATATATAAAGCCCATATGTTGCATTGGTCATACTCAAGATGAAGCTCGATCACAGTCCATAAAGGTAGATACACAACGGCACGTATGTTTTTCTGGCAGTGGCAGGGATCTGAGAAGGGTGGCATGATCTGCATCTTTTGGGAATTTCATCTTCGGCCAACGGAAAGAAGGGCAATGGTCTGGTAGTCGAGGGTTGGGATAAAGTGCTTGAGGTAGGGTCTCAAGGAAAGCTTCATTTTCCCCCCACAAACATAAGAGGCATATATCCAAATTCCACAAATTATCCGTAAGAGGTCCGATGGAAACCGCGGAACTCATCGAACAACGCCCGGAGGGCAATCTGGAACACTCCATGTTCACAGTTTGATGAAAATCGTCTGGGCACCATTGCTTCTTGGGTTGAATGGTCCATGTTCTCGACGAAGACTGGTGGTCAGGGGCTCTTGCGTATGGATTCAGTGTCATCGAACTCAAGGCCAAATCCATCACCGATATTCTCTCTCGTGGCATCCCCGATGGATTGATAGTTCAAGCGTAGCTTCTTTAGGTGTTTCTCTATCCGCCTTCTCATTTTGACATTTCATAACGTCTTCACAGAACTGCTCGGATTTCGCAATAATCGCCTTCAAAATTTGTGTTCTTCTTTTTCGCTGTCAGGCGCTTGATCCACTTCTTCCGGTCTTGTCATAAAGTGAAGCTTGAGGCATTACAAGCAGCACTAGAAAGAATACGGTCAGTAAATATGTAAATCTCCAAGGCTGTAGCAGCATCTGAGCGACTCGACGAACCGAAAAGCTCTTGTTTTCCTTATACCCCCGTCCCATTGACCACTGCAAGTTCACAAGCGAGGCCCCATGAACCATCGGAGGCAGGTATATCCCGCAGCTTCCACAATCTGGCGTAGTTGCTGCTTGTTAAGAAGGGAGGACCTCTTGATAAATGCCAGACCGTGTCTTTCTTTCTCCGTGTGTTGTACCGGCCTTGGCGTAGTTCATCCCTGTGATGAAGGCCTCATTTCGACCGGGTAAAAGGTCTGAGGTCAAGGTTTGAATGTAGGTGTCCCTAACGCAAAACGGTTCCCGGACTTCTAACCGAGAAAGATTGACTCCGCCGCCGGTGTTGTCCTCGTTGTCATCATCTCGGCTGTCTTCGTTGCCCTCGTCTTCTTCAAGGTCCGATTCAATACGGGATATTTTTGGAACTATCCAACCAATATCTCCGGCCTGCGCGTTCCCATTCGCTATTTTGGATAGTTAAAAGTGTGACTTGAACTTGTGTTTCTCGCCTCGTATTTGCACCTTACCTTTTGAGGATCAAAGATATATCTCTCACTTATCTTTCACTTCATTTTGCTTCTCCCATCAGATATCTCTCACTTGAGAGATTCCTCTGACGAGACTATATATAGCACACCCTCCTTCCTCACTTCGGTATTTGCGAAGTGAAATTTGTCAACAACGTTGGTGTGAAGAATCGGTTCCACTAGCTTCAATTGCTTGGAGGTATTAGCTATGTCCTTGCCTTTCAAATTTCAAATGGTATGTCCCTGGCTTTGAACTCACCTCATTATACGGAGGATGAAAAACTGGGTTGTAAGGAGTAGGAGATTTAAATATAACTGGGACATCAAGGTCACTCGTGGTCCCAAAATCGACCCTGAAGACCTATGGGACACTCCTGTCCATCGTTTTGCTGAGAGAATGGTGTGAGAGAAAGTAAGAAGATAGTTGAAAGAGCGACAGTGGTAAGTTGAATAGACAGCTTGGTCTTTTTCATGGCTGATTTTGAAGCCAGAATGTTGGAGGAGGTTGACAAGGATGGGAATTTGATCATGATGCTGAGGATATTTATACTGTTGGGAAAGATATTTGACTGTAAAAAGAAGGATTTCTTTGATAAAGTGACAAACAAGCAGAAGCAGACACACTTTAATGCTATGTCTAGAGAAAGAGCGCCAGTGCACTTGCCTCAATAGACTCTAAGACTGTTTTGGTTAAGAACATTGTTGGTAAACCCACCTCCAAGATCCCCTACAAACTAACTCCACCCCCTAATCCCACGGAGATTAGCCAAGCCATTCAGCCCCCCAACCCCCGAGCCGCCGAGCCCCTGGGCTAACTTTATAGTACGATTGATTTTCTAACCCATAACATCTCATATATCCCACATACCAGCCTCTAAATCCTATCTACAAAATGGCCTCCGGCCTAATCCTAAACCCGCACCTCCTCCTCCAAACCCTCCCACTGGCAACCAGCACGGCAACCCTCGCACACGCCCTCCTAGAACTAACAACCAACACCGCCTTCCTCCTCCCCTCTCTCCGCCCAACCTCCGACAAAATCCTGCCAAAATGGTACGCGCATGTCTTCAACCGCGCCGTATGGACAGTCCTCGCCCTGAACCTGGGCACGATAACCTCAGCCGCTGGCACGCTCTTCTTGAATCGCTATTACCCGCAAAAGCCACTGCAGACGACAGCGTGTTACTGGGTCGGGCTGGCTGGCGCGATCGGACATTTGGTTTTCGTGCCGTTTGTCGTTGGCCCGGTGAAGAGGATTGTGGATGATGTTGCTGTTAAGGAGGATTTGGGGGAGAGTGGGGTTGGCGCGTCGGTTGATATGGCGCGTTGGGTGGGGGTTCATCGGGTTCGAATGGTTGCGGACTTTTCGGCTTGGGTTGCTTTTATTGGGGCTGTTTTGACGTTGTAATTTTGGGTATTGGAATGACTGTTAATGGTGTATGTATATATGTAGTGATGTGTTGAGATGGTATGTATCTGTTGGTATGAATGGAAGGCTTTCTCCAGTCTCTAGAAATCAAGACGCCAAGGCAAATGATACAATATAAACAAACGAAATGTATCGCTAGATCAAATATTGAACAAGTACAAGCCCGAATCTACAAACTAAAGATCCCACTCCTCTTCTTCCCATGCGGGTAAACAATTACTGCGGAGATAAACAGCCCAACTGAGATACCAATAGCCGTCTGGATCATACCATATCCCAGCGAGGTAAGCGAGTTATTAGAGGTTGCACTAGTACTCGAGGCATTACCAGAGGCAACAGCCTCAGCATACTCCAGTCCAGAAATAATCGACCCACTAGATGCAAGACCCGACGGAACGAGGGTAAAGATACCCGGAATAATAGCAGCAGCCGCATGACCATGCCATAACCGACTATACAAATTAGCCAGCAGGCCAATCGTGAACGCGCCAACAGTATTAGCGACCTGATTCGAGCCGAGCTTCTTCGTGCTAAAGTAATTCGCGACGTATCCACAAAGTCCCATGAAGATAGTAACCGGCAGCTGTTTTGGCTTGGACTGATTAATCAGTGCAGCGAAGAGACAAAACAGCGCGACGAAGGGGAAGTGTTGGATATATTCGTTCCCCCAGACCTCCGGCAGATTCGAACACGTCGACTCCTTCGTAGCGTTGTGGTCCATCAACCCGTAGATTGTCGTTCCGACGGTAACGCCGTATCCGAGGAAGAGCGAGTAGATAATCGTAAAAACGAGGCGGATCGAGCCCGCGTTCATCTGATGCGACTGCAGCTCGAGACTACTGCTCAGCACGGCGAAGCCCGGTAGGATCATTGCGATGGAGGACTGCGCCATGGCCGAGAAGCAGAAGACGCGCTCGCCGTTGTGCTGGATGCTGCCGAACGCGCGCGCGATGAAAGAGGTGAGTACTGCAGCGGTGACTTCTAGCACATTTGAGTAGGTGGCCGAGTTTGGCGCGACGACGTACTGCATGAAGCCTACTAGACAGCCTAGTATGAAGATTATAGGGAGGTCCACGGGACGGGCGCTGAAGGCGTATGGGCCGACGGCGACGCTGGCGCAGCCGGTTAGGAAGATCAGGAGCCAGCGGTTGTAGCGTGGGTTGCGTTGCATGATCTCGTCTAGGTCGTGGGTTGCTTGTTCGACGCCGATGAGGTCGTGGACGACGTTTTTGTAGATGTTGTGTGTCTCTGCGAGACGGGAGAGATCTAGACCCTGCACTACGCGGATGATCTTTACCTCGGCGGTGCGGGTTAGCGGATCGTCGAAGGACATGAACATGCATCCCGGGATGTACATGAACTGGGCTTTGATGTCCAGTACGTTGGAGGTCATCATCATGTACTCTTCGAGGCGGTGGGTTGGGGCGCCGTATTTCATTAGAGCGCGACACAGCTGCATGATGTACTGTTGGCGGGCGAGAATGGCGGCAATGTGGACGGTGAGCTTGATGTTTTTCTTGCTTTTGCGCTTTTGCTTCTTTCGTTCTTTGGGATTCACGGGTGGGGGACCCGTGGCTCTGGGGACCCCGACCCGACCCAAATCCATAGATGCATTGACGAGGGAGGAAGTATAACTGTGGGTTGGTTTGCTGGGGTGACTGCCATTGTTGTACCATTTCAATTTGTCTTTCTTTCCACCCGGTGTCACTGTGCCGGATGGTGGGATGCTTTCTGTGTCCGGGTCTGTTTCTGACGTCGTGGAGACAACACTCATCCGGCTTGCAGTGTGGAGATTGTTGGCGTATACACGGAGTAGTTGTGACAGGAGTCCTCCGGGTGGACCGCCGGGTGTTGCCGTTCCATCTGGAGTTCCTGGGGTTGTCGAACCAGAACGTGGTTCTTCAATGCGTGGAGGACGTGGCTCGAACTGTGACCCCATTCGTTCCACCAAGAGCCGAGCTTGTGAATCATAGTCTGTTCCTGGGAGCCGAGCTTCTTCGTCGATTGCCCGGCGGGCCTCGAATCCTCGGATATCGTCTGTTGCTCCATAGTACTCTGGTAACATCGGCGAATCCAAGCCATCGGCCTCTCTTTCGTGGGGTCGTCCGAGTTTCTCGGCTATTGTGCCAGCTCGATTCCGAACCCGCCGGCTTGCTGTCCGCCATCTTTGGGAAGTAGAGATACTAGGCTTCGGGCTGGCCTCGTCTGGGTGAGAAGTTTCTGTGTTGGTATCGACATTTTGATCCTTGTCTTCAGCTCGGTCACTCTCGGCTGTCTCCACAGAAGGATGAGGGATTGGCGGAAACTTTTCCTGCGCCTCCGACATGGCGCCGCACGGCAAACTTGAATCCCTCCGGAAGTTGGCGGAAGTGTATTGACTTTTGTTCTTTCTAGATGGGAAATATCAGAGGAATAAGTCCTCTTTCAGCAGGCCCTCACAGCAGAGAGGCTAATGTGGCAACAGTCTGATAACAGAAGGCCCCACAAACAGTCGGTCTTCATATTTTTAAAGAGAAGAAAGAGAGAAAGGAAAATGGGGGAAGTGGGTTCTTTTTGTCTGAAATGAGGAGAACCCGGCTCAAGGCCCCACGTAATGCAATTTATGCATTGAAGTTATGGCCGTACGCGTTGCGTTCCCTATTAGCGCAGATATTAAGATTTTGCTCCTGGCCTGACCCAACTAGGAACAGACCATACCCGAGGGTACCTGAGAGGCCAATTATATTATATCTGACACTTCCACAGTGACAGCTAACATCTCACATCTGACGACATGAAAAAAAAACAAGCTTCTCAGCCACTAGCCCGTAATAACTTTGTTTCTTGCTGATCTTCTAGAGGTTTGCTATTAATCTACACCACATCAGCACAATAGCCGTGCTAAGGTTTTCAAAGGATTTCTTAAAAATTCTCCGAAGTTCCCTTCTGAAAAGCAGAATTAGAATTTTTTTCCTCTGGACCGCGCCTCCAGGGCTATTATTGGCGTGTGGACCATGGTTCCACCTGGTGAAGGAGGGATTCTAATTGGGCCTGCATATGTAGAGATGCTAAGACCAAAGATTCTGACTGAAGATACCATGCTATATAGAATTATTATAGGCATAGATGGTATAATATTCGAAATTCAGCTTTATCTTTATGTTCTCTCTTTATTCCCCAAGGTCCCATGTCGCACTAATCCGTATTAGGAGATATTTCCGCCCCCAATTAATTCCAGTAGACTCTGTCATCATATAAATAACCTCCAAGGTTGTAGGATACCTAGCTTCTCCACACCTGCCATCTTTGTCCCCCGCAGCCTCCACCAATATACAGGCTTCGCTCCAGCACTTTGCAAGAAATGGAGACTACATATCCAGTCTCTTATTTAAGCTGGAACGACAGCGGTCCCGCATCTATCGTTCTAATCCACGGCGCTTTCGTGACTGGCAGTTGGTGGGACCTCGTGGTCCCCCATCTCTCAACCAAATATCACGTTTTGGCCCCCGACCTGCCGGGCCACGGCCAATCGTCCCAACAAGAATTTTCAATTCAGTCTTCTGTGGATTCGGTAGCACAACTTATTCGCGACAAAGCGATTCACTCCCACGCACACGTTATAGGACACAGCCTAGGCGCTCGAGTGGCCATTCAGCTCGCATCTGCCTATCCTGACCTAGTGCAATCGGTATTTGTATCAGGGTTCGGGTCAATTCCTCGCACAGTCTTCACGCCTTATATCCCGCCTGCGATATGGGCAATGCAGCGCGTGGAAAACATGATACCCCGGTCATTAATTCGATGGGCTATGGACGGTACCGACATTCCTCCCACAAGCTTAAGCACGCTCACGCTTTGTCGACAAATCATGACACCTTCGCCTGAATTGCAATGGCCGTCGCCTTGGGCTGCGAGAACCTTGATTGTGGTCGCCGCAAAGGGAGGACTGGTGCCTAGTGCCGATAATAAGGAAATTGCCCTGCGGTTAATGAAGACCGCTCGCGAGAGCAATCCTGAGACGATCGCTTATGTCCATCCGGAAATGCGACATCCGTGGAATCGACAAAAGCCGCAGCTCTTTGCGGATACCGCTATAGCTTGGATTGAAGAGGGGAATATGCCCGATGGTTTTGAAAAGCTGTAGTGCATGAATGACATGGGAGATGAGGTTGTTCGCTAAATGAGTATCATAGATAGCCTGGAGAGGTCCAATAAGCAAGGAGGGGCGAGAGATAACAGTATCAAAGAGCCATGTGGTATACCATACCATACACATGTACATAATGCAGTCCTGCAAATACAAGGGAGTCTATAATAACGTACTTTTAAATATCTAGATCGCCAAGAGATACAGTTACTGTAATTTAAGCCGATCGAAGGTGCCTACATCGACAAGGCGGGCGGAAATATCTCCTATTACAGGTTAGCGTGACTTGGGGCTCTGGGGAGTCAAGAGAGAGTATGTATTCTACGTAGGTCACGTCACCTATGTAGGAATATGAGATTTGAGATTGATGGGAATTTTACAGCCTCATGTTTATTCTACTATTTGTATATATTGAACTCCTAATTAGTGACCTCAGTGCTGCCATCTCTACACTTATCCGGCACTCCCGACCCCACATCAACATACATCATCATCATCATCATCATCATCATCATCAGTCTCTCCAACTCTTCAATTGTTCCTATATCTCTACAATATCCACAACCTACATTATACAACCATTTACCCCAGCTAAAAACTTAACACCAACCACCAACCACCAAGCCATCCATGAAAATCCATGAAAATCCATGAAAATCCAATCCAATGCCCAACCCCAAATCAAAATCAAAATCCAACCCCCTCACAACCCCCGCAACACCAATAGCCCTGCAACCCCACCACCTCCTCTCCCCACCCGCAGACCTCCTAACCAACACCGCAACAACCCTAACAATAACACCCACCCAAGAAACCAAACCCGCCTCCCCGGCCTTCACAGTCCACCACATCCGCGCACACGAAACCCTCAACAGCCCAGACCGCACCGTCCCCCTTTACACCGTGTACGGGAAACCATGGCCGAACACGAGCCGCATAGTCTGCGACAGCGAGGGCGTGCCGCTGCTCGTATTACGACGGGCTTGGTTGTCGATGCGGAAGTGGGCGGTTAGACTCCCTGACCAGCATCAGCGGACTGGGGATTTATTGAATGCTTCGATGCCGTGGGCTGGCGATGGGCCGGGGTCTAGGATTGGGGTTGGGGGTGGGGGGTTTAGGCTTGAGGTGCGGTTTGTGAATGCGCTTGCGGTTAGGGAGGGATCTGGTATTGTTAGAGGGGGAGGGGGAGTGGAGGCTGATGTGTCTGGTTCTGTGCCGGGTGACGAGCCGCCGCCTTATAGTACTGTTTCTGGGATTGGGGTTGGAGACGGGGGTGGGAGTGGTCATGGTGAGGGGAATGCGGATGCAGATGCGGGGGTGGTACATCCACATCCACCACTCCCCAATTCGCATTCTCAGAGTCCAATAGCATCAAGACCAACGCATACACATACACACCATCCCCACTCTCCCTCCATTCTCCCTTCCTACGACTCCGTCCGTCGAGACTCACCTAATTCCCTACGAGATCTACTCGATGCAATTGAGCCGCCGCAAGAGCCGGCGCCGGCTGCACCGTTTCTTTCGTCTGCATATTCATTGCAGAATGCCAATGCCAGTACCAATACCAGTTCCAGTTCCGGTCCTGCTAATGCAGAAGCCGATGCACCCCCGGGCTCAAAAGTTGAGTTGAGAGTGATGCAGCTAGCTGCATCGGGTACGGGTGTGATGATGGGTAATCAGAAGATCATGCATATCACGCGACACAATGTGATGGACTACAGTAAATCCAAAACGAAGTTGAGGCCGAGGTGGGAGGTTGAGGTTGCTGAGGGTGTTGATTTGTTACTGGTGAGTGTTCTTTTCGTTACAATTAGGACGAGCTTGTTGGGTTCCCACGGGTGTTAGTCCTATTGATAGGATGTGTATACTGACATTCCATGTAGGCAGTGAATACCGTGCTGATTATGGCCGAGTCTGTGTCTTCTCGGAATAGATGGAAGTAAATATTGTGAAGGGGAATTGGTTGGTGTAATACAATAGAATTTGCATGATAGAGTGAGTTATGTAGGACTATGACTGTCACTTCCAATGGGTAAGAATTTTTGATTCTAAAGGATCATCTTGCCCCAACGGCCTCTCTCTTCTCTTCGCTCAAACTTTTTTTAACCATACATTCGTCAAGGGAACAGATCTTCTTTTGTTCCGTATTAAGTATTTCGTTGACCCGGGGAAAGTCTTTCTCGTCAAAAAGGAAAAACAAAAAATAATGTCAAAACAGCGTGAAAAACAGCACTTTCGCAATAGGAATTTCTAATTCCAAAAGCTTACGACTGAATCTTAGCCAGGCGCTTGGTCATGAAGTCGAAGAAGGAGAACTGGCTGGGCTGGTTGCCGTACTCGTACACGAAGCGGCTGGCCAGGTGGCTGCCGAAGATGGCACGGAGGTAGTTCTCAGGGACCTGGGATTGATTAGCGGGGATTCATAAACAAGATAGAAAGAGGAGGGGGGGGGGGGGGGGGGAGACATACACGTTCCAAGATGGTTTCCAGACCAATCTTGTCCAACAGACGACGCGGCAGAGCGTCGCTAAGCACAGAGCGACGGAGCGCAACATTGTCCCAAAGCTCGGTCATCTGGAGTTCCTCGTCAAGCTTGGTGATGGCCAAGCTGAGACGGTCACTGAGGACACTGCGCAGTACACCAGTCTGCTCGTGTTCGCGCCAGATGGCCTCGAACTCGAGGGCGGCGTTCGACTGGATGACCTCCTGCACTTCGCGGACGTAGGCCTTGTAGAAGTCGGGGACGGTGCCGTCTTCGCGGATGCACATGTGCTCGACGAACTCCTCGTCGTTGAAAGACAGCGAGGCCAGGACTTCCAGGGAGGAAGAGGTCACACCACCCTTGTTGGCGGAGGCATCCTTGTACAGGATGCAGCCGGCCTTCTCGAGGCGCAGCTTGGCGTCCTGGGTGATGAACAGGTTGGCACCTTCGACGATGAAGGGGATGATGGACTTGTTGTCCCGGATGAGCTTGCCGACAGACGCCAGGTCGATTGACTCGGGGCGGCCACCGCAGGGCACGAACACGTCGAACTTCTCCTGCGAGCGTAGGTGGTAGGTGTTACGGAAGATCATGCCGTTGTGGACAATCTCGCCGTTGGGGAGCTTGACGTTCTTCTCGTCGACCAGGACGCGGTAGCCCTCGGGGGAGAGCTTGGTCATGTCAAACTGTGAGATCATCGCGCGCTTCTTGGCCAGGCGGATGAGCTCTTCGTGGTTCAGACCGTTCGGATCGTAGATCACACCGGCTCCATCAACAATGGCTCCGTACTTCTCGTTGGAGAGAAGAATCTCGTTCGACCCAAGATCGCCGTCTGGACCACCGGTCTGCAGCTTGAGCTGTGTAGCGGGGTCGATGTTCAGCTTGCGCTGAATTCCGAGCACGTACTGGCGGACCGAGAGGGTGGTCATGCCGTAAGCGTCGTGGGGAATACCACCCAGCTTGGGGCTCTTGCCAGTGAAGAACGACTTCCACCAGGGAGCGCCACGGCCGCGAGCGTGCTCAGTGGCCCAGTTGACCAGCTCAGCGGTGTTCTCGTCGGGACCCATGAAGAGAATCTCGTCCTTGCCGTGCAGATCAATGATCGGATCCTTGATACCCGGGCTGACCGGGGGCAGGAGCAGATCGAGAATACTGTCAATGTACTTCTCGAAGGCGACCCGCGCCTTGTCCTGGTGGTCAGCATCCAAGAGAATAACACCCTTGGCACCGCCTTCGGGAATATCCTTGTTCTTGCGCTGTTGGGTATTGGCCAAGTTGTAGTTCTCATCGAACAACGAGCGAGCGTTGATGTTGTATGCTTCGCCGTTTCGACTCTTGACGATACGAATACCGCCACGAGCAATGTCACGGAACCGCAGGTGGAAGCCGCGGAACTCGGAGCTGATAACCAGGAACATGCCGTAGAGGGGCTGGGGGTATTCGTGCTCTGGCAAGAAGTCTGGCTTCAAGCGGAAGCTGAGAGCCACCTTGGTCGGGGTGAAGAAGTTGGTCTTGAGGATGGAGGAGTTGAACACGCGGAAGGAGGTCATAACCATCTCGTCGTGCTCGTTAAGGGCGGTGCCACGGATGAGCTGCTTTAGCTTGGTGCCATCGAGGACCTCATCGACCTGCAGACGCAGGTAACTGAGGGTTGGGAGGAAGTCATCACCAGACTCCTGGGTCTGAACGTAGTGGGTGTTGGCGAAGTCAAGATAGAGCTTGTGGATCAGCTCAGGGTATTTGTTGATAATCTCAAAGATGTAATCAGCAGTGAATGTCTCCGTACGCAGACGCTTCTTGATCTTTGAGAGCAACTCTGCGTGCACACTGTTGTTGCTATCCAAAAGAGCAGCCAACGAAGTGTATTCTGAACCCAGACGGTTAAGGAACTGCTGCACGAACACCCAGGCGCAGTGAGCGTAAATTGTCTCCTGCAAGCTCAGACGACCAGTGGCGAAGTGGCCCTGGAAGCGGTTCCGGGGGATACAGTACAAAAGAGAGATCTCCTTCATGATCTGGTGGATAGCAGCCTCAATCGGAGGGAACTTGGCCGAGATCTCGGAGTTGTCTGAGGGACGCAGGTAGAGCGAAATCACAGTGATTCCGTTGGAGAAATTCTCCAGGTACTTGCGCGAGCTGGTCAAGCGGTAGTAGTGGTACAAATCCGACAGGGCACTGAACAAGCCCATAGCGGATCCCTGGCGGTAAGCAATCACCAGACGCTTTTCCCGGCTTCCCTCGATCTCGAACATCTCAATGACAGGACCGGAGCGACCAACGGCCGTGGCGATGATTTCCTGGTAGATCGCCTTGGTGTTGGGGGTGGCCTTCTGCAAGAAGCGCTTCTCGCCAATGATATCGATGTTGGTCTCGTTCGGTGAGGGGCTGGGGTTGGCGAACTGGCACTTGTACACGAAGTAGCAGCGGAGCTGCTGGCCGCTGTCGCCGGGCAGAGTGCTAGGCGAGCGGAAGGTCTCCACGCGGTAGCTGTTGGCACCCTTGGAGTGGTTGACGTACTTCTCGTCGATGCGCTGCTCGTAGCGTGGACCATCGACAGAAACCGTACCGGGTCTGCTGGTATCGATGTAGACAGCATGGTCCTCGGCCTCTTTGTCCAGACGAATCTCCAGCTGCTTATCATCGCGGGCATAGGCGGCGACTTTGGCGGCGTAGAGGGATAGGATCTGGGTCACGATGGCATCCACCGACTCGGTCTGGAAGTAGGTATCGTCGATGCCAAGCTGGTTATAGAACCAGGTGGTTTCCGAGATGACAAAGTCACTAGGGAAGAAGCCCTTCTCCTCCAATATATCCATAACTGCTGGGAATTAGCTAATTGCATCATCTCAATATCACCACTCAATTTTACTGACCCTGTTCCATCTGCTTCTGCTTGCCCTCAAATTTAGCCGCAATGTAGCCCGGGTCCTCCTCAGAGAGCACACGGTGCGGGGTACCGGGAATTCCCAAGTGAGTGGGCTGCGGGGACGGTTGTCGCATGGCATGTCCAACGGCATGATCTAAGTGCTTGTTGTGGGGGGAAAGCGCTGGAAACCGATGGGGGTGCCGGTGCCAGAGCTTCCATCCTGGCTCGCAAAGAGCTTAGGCTGAGGGCGACTAGGCAAGCTCACGCCATTGCCATTGGGAGTCTCCACCTGTGGGGTAGTTGCGGGAGACGACATGATGTAGTATGTGAGGTAAATCTCTTAACACGTAAGAACGAGAAGATGAAAGAAGCTATATTAAGTCAATGAGCAGCTGAGATGAATCATCGAGTCGGCACGTGGGGAGATGAGATAAGGCGACACAAAGAATGTTCTTATCTCGCCCGGAAGGTTGAGATAACAAGTAAGGAGAGACAAGAAGAAGGAACTTGGGAAAGGACTTACTGGCAAATGCAATGATCACCGATCGTCGCCATGGACTGAAGGTGATAAGAAAAGGGAAATGGTTTTTTGAATAAAGAAGAATCAGAAAATCCGGGGAACCCTAGTCTTTTTATACAAAACTTGGTTCTCAACTTTTAATAGTAATTCTCTCTATTATCTCCATTAATACATGATTTTATTTTTCTATTATTATTACATTATGTCCAACCCCCTTGACCAGTTATAACCGACGGTAGGCGGGAGGTTCAACCGTATAGAGGTCTCGAAGCCCACGAGGTCCGCAGTTCCACCTTGTTCCACCCCAAAACGCTCATTCTCTGTCCACTTTTGACTAAAAGCCGGCGATACATTGTACGCTGATTGGAGCTCATCGCCCCTCCTTCCGACCTCAAGCCGATAGAAAAAATCCCGCTGCGTCATGCGGGCCGAGATGAGGAAAAAATTGCCTCAAAAGTCTGGAACGTGGCTGAGGCGAAACTAGTCTACAGGAACAGGGGCAAAAAAGAAGCGGGTGACCTGAAAGAGACTTGCTTGAAAAAAGAGAATAGTAGAGATCACCTGAGATGTCTTACTATAGTGCATGGACGATGTATGGGAATGATGCGATCTCTATCGAACATCGTGGAATGCAATGTGTCATGGAGAACCCACTTGGGATAAGAGACTTCCGAAATTTTTTAGTTAAGCTAAATGCCTCATTCTCAATGTTCCAGCCCGAATAGCATCCCCCCAGATCCCATCGTGATCGACTGCCCTACTCAATTCAGATCCACTGGTGGCTGTCTCGGTCCGGGGGATTTTCGCCATTTGGGGGTAGTTTGACGAGTTTGACAAGTTTAGCCAGGGCTAATTGCAATTTGCTGCCATCTTTGCGACTGTCGCCGGGCCGGTGACCGGTGACAAACAATAATATCTCTTCTCCAGGGCTCCAAGTGTATGTCATATCTCCAACCGGAGGGGCTCCCCAGGGCTGGTACCTAGATGACTTGCGGGGTAATAGACCATCGCATCTTCCATAGTGCACGCTCTTTAGTTGCACATTGCCATTCGTTAGAAATAGCGCATTAGGACCTCTTTACCCCAACAAACATATCGTATGCATTTTTTTTTACGCATCCCAGGGATTCCATGGCGGGGCCTTTACGTGATTGCGGACTCTCGGCGGGCTTGCGATTGGAAGAGCCCGCCGCCGACCAATTTGCCATCCTCTAGGGGAAATGATATTCCGTTCCCGTGACGTAAAAGTTTAATTAGCCTCAGGCATCAGATTTTTCAAGAGTCTGGGGACACCACCCGTGCACTCCTGTTCGGGTAGCCTTCCGATCCCCCAGGTTTTCTTCAATTCACTTGGTTCACCTGGTTTGTCTGACACATAGAACGGGTTCCCCATGTTTCCCAACGCTTCCGGGTGCCTGATTATGTGTCACCATTTGACACGAGCTCAGCTGCCAAGTTCACAGCTACCTGGATATATTTCACTAATGTTGGGAGTTAGGGAGAACCTCGTGCAGTCAAGTCCCAAGTTTCAAGGCAGGACACGGGCACTAGCAGGTCAGAAGATCATCTAGAAGATAGTCAGGTCGCGTCTTTGAAAGCATATTCTCTGCAAGGTTGGAAGTGGTATAGAGTTCAGGGTTGCACCTACAAATTAGGGCTTTCGTTCCTGAAAGATCTTTGGTACAAATCCAAGGGATGTTATAATTAGATATAGATATTCGAAGACGTGCAAGGGCCAGAACAGAACGCGATTCCAAATCCCGACAATTCATCAGTGCCAATCTGTAGATCGGGCACCTTTCCAAGCAGAGTGAAGAGCCGATTATCTGGTCTCGATCTTTTCCGATCGAAGTACCCCCTGCGTATCGAGTACATCAGCCCTGCGTTCGCCTTATCGCCCTTGGCTGGAGCGGTACGCCAGGGAACTTATTGTAGGCGAGCCCAAGAGTGTCTCATCCTATCCTCCTATCAAGCCTGGCACTACAAGGATATTCCCGTCCGTCGATAAGGCACACGAGTTGAACTTGACATGTTGGGTAGACCAACATTGGTCTTAGGTATGTTCAAGTAGTCCGAATAGCTAGTAACTAGCCCATGATCACGTCAGCTCATAATCATGCATAGGATGTGTTGTACATATTGTACCTGACGAATCCATCCCACAGTTGGCATCACAAATGTCGAAAATGGTGTATCTAACAACACACTGGGCAGCCAACTCATCACTTCCCCTCTTTGACCTATCTCTACAATCTATTATTGAAAGTACATAGCCAAAAGTATCTCTAAACGAGCGGTGAAAAGGACAAGTCACCACGCCGAGAGCTTATCTTACGTGGTCACTGGTCACGAAAAGGGAATGTTATCTACGACGTTTCATGAGGTACATGGTGCACCTCGATATGCAAGTATATTAGACATAGCACAGAAGTTGCCGATACCACAATATGATACTCCGTAGCATATTAGTGTTGCTATTATTACAAGCAGATACCACGGGCAGGTCCATCCGCGATCGAAGGGGGTCCAAAATTCCCGATAAATGCGCCCTGGATCACCGTCGGAGACCCGGTACCCAGGAAATCAGCAAATCCGTGGAATGGACATTCTAGAGATTCTGGAGTAACACTCTTCCCCCCCTTTTCCCCCAGATCACGATACATTGTGAGTACGTATGTGGCAGTGGAGTGGAGTGCATTGCATATTGAAAATAGTCAAATCACTACCGTGGCCCCTTGAATCCGGGGGAGAAGAATTGTGGAGTCCCCTATTCGGACGTCGATCAACGGTTGAACGGTCAAGGGGATTTTGGTACTTTTGTAGCTCAACGTTTGCGCCCCTGAATTTACCAAGGAGGTGAGCTTGGATCGTAGGAATTGGGGGAAAGCTAACCCCGGATCATGGATCGTATCCCTGCGTTGGGCATCGTAGACCCTTTGGCATCTACTTCGGATACGATGTAACACATCTTAAACAAGGATATTTGATATGCGCCCCAGGCTGTTTCGGCCCCTGGCGTGGTCCACTACCCTTGAGATTTACAACTGTTGTAGGTGAAGCGCCAAAACTATTACAAGTTTATTTGTGGCGTTGTGCAATATACTATTTCATACGGAGTACAAGTTTTATCGGTGTGTTGGATTGGTGGAGGTATACTCCGTACTCCGTGCTATAGGTGGGTTTGAGCCGCCCCTTTTATAATATACAACTCAACCCAAGTGCCTTTGGGCAATCTTGTCTCAATTTTTTGGAAGATCGTCCTGATTAGCAATGCACCTCGGGAATCGGTGAGCACGTCAAAAGAAAAAAAGTCCTGATTTGAGTACTTCCAATAGACGGTGAAAATGACTGTTGGACGCCGCCTAATATCGGATGATACCTTACCCCGGAAGAGTACCTAGGTACTCCGTATATTTATTGCAGGCCATATCAAACAATAGTTCCGATTCCTGTCGCCACCCCCAAGCCGATCCCCTACACCGCAACGGAAAATCTCCTTCCATAACCCCGGCAATCTGGTCGCTGGGCCCCAGTTTTCGTTCTCGAAGGGATCGCCGTCTCCGCTCTCGTGCCGAGGTCAACAGCGAGTTTTCTCCGGGAGACGCTAGAAGGCGTAGAATCATAGAAAATAACCCTTAACTAGCACTAATTCTCGTTAGTTCTAAATAGAGCCTTGCCGATTCAACCGGTTTAATCGGCTTTCGCTAGTTGTTCCCGTCTCCAAGCTAGTTGTTTCTATGGCAAATAATGTCAATAACACAATACATATTAATATCGATTGGTTGATTCATCGATTCTCACCCCCTGGTCTTCTCCCCCACACTAACGCGTCAGGCCCCATCTCCTTTGTTTTCTTTTCTCCCCGACAGGCCTTCGGGGTTGGGCTCCCGCTGGTCCGATGGGGAATGTGCCCCATCCCTACCTCGATAGCTGGGTTATTGGGCTGTTTAGAATGAGGCAAGTAGGCTTGGCGGGCAGATCTCTAGGGAGTAAGCATTAGGCCTGGCCCAGGTATGCGTGTACTGAGTACTTTCGTGCTTCCCCAGGGAATGTACTCCTCCACACTTTTACGGGGATGGCTTTTTTTGATTTGATTATCTGTTTTGGGTGTCTCATATCTTTTTTTTATATTATTATTTATTGACAGGAAGAAAAAAAAATATAAACGACCCGATGACCCTAAAATCGTCTCACTCCTTTTTCTAGTTCTGTTCATTCACCTGTGCAATTATTTTCAAATACTACATATCAAGCACTGTCAACAGCTTTGCTATCACCGTTCACTCTGATCGTCTTCGAGTCTTCTACCGGAACAATACTATTACTGCAATAATTAAGTTAATTCAGTCTCTTCACAACCACCGTCACAACTACAGCCTATCATCTCCACAATCACAACTCACTTCTCGCCTCCCATCAACACTTAATACTATTACATCTCGCAAATACCCGATTCCTTTCACCCTTGTAAGTATAACTCCCGTCACTACTTGCCACATCACATCGCACCCTCCGACCCGATCCCCCGAAACCGGGGGCCTCGGGCAACTTCGGAGCCACAAGCTCCATCTATACGGAGCATATGCCAAACCCAAGTACTAAGCACAAGCACTCTGCACAAACAGAAAGCTGACATTCAATCTCGTGAATCCAGCTCAAAAACATCCTAGCCTTATACATTCCTCAGCTCGCTCCCAGCCGAGGTTGCCGATCAATTCCATACTTTCCCCAAGTACAACATATAAAGACCCAAACCAACAACTTCATTCTTCAACCTATTCAAACGCTCAAACCTCAAGATTCCTAATCTACCCTCTCAACCTCTACACCTCCAATCAAGAAATCAAACCCCAAATCCAAACCCAAAACAATGGCCACCGTCGCAACCAAAACCGCAACCCCAGTCATGCCTCCCTCCTACTCAATGTCGCAGGACATCTCCCGCGCCATCATGACAGCCTCAACCCAAAAGGCAGAAAAGACCCGCTCAATCCTCATCGACGGCATGCCTCCCGCGCCGCCACCGTCGCCCGTCGCCTTCTCCAAGGGCAAGGCTTGCTACAATAACATCCCCAGCTTGAGCCTGGAGTGATTCACCTGATTCCAACTCTTTCTTCTTCTTTTCTCGTTTCGGGTTCCGTTCTCTTCTTCTTGGCCCTCAAGAAGAAATTATTGTACCATCATCCAATATTCCCTGATAATGGTCTTGCGCACATGGACATATGGGACACTGTTTGGCGGATTCGCCCCGTCCTGTCCGTTGTTCTCTCACTTTCCTTTTCACTATTCGTCCTTGACTTGATATCCGCGATGCTTGTTAGCCTTACGTCTTTCTCTTTTGGTCTTTGTCTTTGTCTTTCTTTTTGCTTGTCGCCTGTTGGATTTAGCGTGTTGCATGGCGGCGCGGACATTTACTATCTGGTTCTGGTTTTGCCCAATGGGGCGCTTTTAAAAGTCTGGGGAATCAATCGGTGTTCTTAATTTTATTTCCCTGGGCTCTCCAAATCAGAAATGAAAATTGGATACTTTATTATTATATATATTGTGCTTTTGTGTGACCTTGATAGGGATAGTCGACACCTTTTTGCTATGGTTATTGCCCGGTGTATAGTTTAAGCAGTGACTCTCTATTGTACTACCTTCATTAGCTTTACTGCTACGGCTACAATTCCTCGGGAATTGGAAAATAGAACCCCGGTATTTGCACTTACCTCGGGAAGTTGAAGATACCCATGGACGGTGTGACTGTCACTCACATAATGGTTGCTAGAACAGTATTTTCGTGCGTCGGGGATGGGAAGTAGCAACTACATGGTACAAGATGAACAGCCAGGGACCTGTAGTCCAACACAAGCAACGAACAATCAGCTTGCTGCATGTGAAGATCTGCCGATCACGACGTCACTTGTATCGCGTCGTGGAAGTAGATGGGGTCGCACAACCTGCTTTGTACTCTACGCAGACGTTCTAGATGCCAAAAGAGGAACACCAGATGCAGGATACAATTGGTTCAGAGAGCAATCTATATTGTAGGTTGTGGGTTGTACATATTTGTTGGATTGTATCATGGTTTGCGTGATCAGTGATTTTCAAGTGGAACAAGATTTTCATTCCTGCATCGGGTTTGTGGATGACGTTGCCCTCTAGATTCACCTATGCAGTAAACTGGGTTCATTTTAGCGTAGCTAAGATGGCCCCATCGATGAGCTGTTCACTCGGTCAAGTTGGGTGGGGCTTGTCATCTCCAGTGATTGCGCGTTGTCGGGATGATTGTCCCGGGCTGTGATGCCATTCCTTCGATATCATACAAAGAGAAAGTCAGCTTTGTTTTTCCATTACGAGAGTAGCCTTTTTGCTTCCAGCATGAATATCAATATATCTTCGTCGGTGCTGCTCTTCGGTTCCCGGCTCCCGGCACTTTCACGTGACAGCACAAAGTCGGGTATGGACTACAACGTAGATCCAGTAAGATACCGACACCCGATGGCTTGTTTGTTCAGGTTCCGATGATCCACACAAAAGACACAGGGCCTAGACCCGAATTCTGTGCCGATGTCAGCACATTGTTGATCTGCACATTCATGAAGTAAGATCATCGCTGTCAGATGTTAACTCCGAGTCAGATTCAGATTCTGCCTCATCAGGGTTGAGCTCTTGAATCAGCAGCTCAAGAGTCGCTTTAGCCTCCAAGTCCCCTCTCGAAGCACGTTCGTTCAGTCGCTCGATCTCGGCGAGCTGCGCCTCGGTACGGGCCCAGCCTTGTTGCCTGTCCGTCATATTCACATGGCGACGTGTGCTCATGACCGTGCGAACAGTATCGCCCTCTCCCTTGGCATTCTTAATCTGCTGCAACCTGTGGAGGAACTGCGCCTGGTGGGATGGGGCTGCGGGACGACGGGGTACGCCGAGGGGTTCACCGCCCTGAGAAGCTGCGGGCTCATCGCTAGGTCCTGTGTTTGAGGGTCCCTCGGTAAAGCCTTGGGCAGGTCCTGGCCCAGCACTGGGAGCGAGCTGTGCCTTCCGACCGAGGATCTTCACGCTGTTGGCGGCCACAAGCTCGTAGGAGGGTCCACGGTGTAGCGGTTGAGGGAAGTGGTTGTCCGGGTCGGTTTCTGTGCCTGGACTGACGAAAACTAGTTCAGTGCCAATTTGATCAGCCCAGGAGCAACTGAACATTTGGTTGTAGTATGAAATGATCGGGTTGTTCGTGTGGAGGTCGAGAATTTGGATTCGTTCGTTCGGGAGGCTGCCTGTCTCGGCGCTCTCGATCGGAGGATAAGCTTCGCTTGGGAAGCCTTGGCTCATGTCGTCTGCAGGGTTCCGTGTATCCTCCAGGGACCCTGTTTCCTTTGGGCGACGGCGTGGAGGGCGCACAGGGCCATGGTGGGCGGTCAGGTCCAGGTTGAGATAAAAGGTCTATCAATTGATTAGCATCATTGAGAGAAGACAAGGGTAATTATTCTCACCTCGGTCTCTGTACCATATTCATATTCATATTCTCCATCGGGTTCGGAGTCAAGCATTGTATCCATGACGAATTGCAAGGTCTGGACTGGAACAAGCCGTCCACGGGTGGAGATAAGATAAACCTGAGTCAGCTTTCTGCAAGCGGTGAGATCTCCCCCTCTCTTCCCAATTAGGACAAAATCAACAATAATGGGGAGTGGCGAAGATGGCATCCAAACATCTGTCGAATTTTAACGTTTCAGATGGAGGGGGTTTAGCGTAGACAATTGACTTTTTTCCCTCCTCGGACACTGCACACCATTAAATATCATATTGGGGCTGTACATTCGTATATTCCTTGGTTATACTCTCGTAACCAACCTTAGAAGTAGAGTTGTGCCCAGCCTTCCTCAGCCTTATGAAAAGAAAAAAGACCACACCCATCTCTTCACCGCAACAACTTAGACAACTTGGATAACCATGGGATCATCTCTTCGTAAGTTCCCGTCTCTTCCGCTCCGGCCCTGGACGGATAAGCCTACTCCATATGCACTCGGTGTATGGCATCCGGCTTGGCTATGATTTCCACGCATTTCCGCAGGCTCCCGGTCTGACTAGTTCAAGATATTGAACATTCTTGCCCTGTCCCTTTTTCTTTTTCTTTTTTCTTTTTTGTATTCTTCATCGGGAAATTCTAATGCTCGGAAAATCGGGCTCGCTAACAAAAACGACTGTTTGTTTTTATATAGGTAACCCCGCGGTCCTGTTGTGCGCCCTCCTTGTCCCAACTCTCGTTATCTCTCGTCCCACCATAGTTCCTGGGGAATGCCCGACCGCTGCAGCCCTACCACTCGACTCCCACTGCATTGAACCCCTAGCCTCGACTAGAATTCCCGAAATCGCAGTCTATGAACATACCCCACATAGTTCTTCGGCCCTGACAGTCTATGTCGACTCGCTCCAGCAGATGACCCGGAAGGCCAAGACAACCATTGCCGTGCTCTCGACCCTGATCGCTTATGTATCCATCAACAGCATAATCCACCTACTCCGGCCGGCTGCTTTTGTCTGGTCTGCAGAGGACCAGGAGGAGCGGAACTGGATTGCGAGCTCGCGCTCGTGGTTCGACCGCAAATCCTGCCGATGGCTCGGCATCTGTGGTGCAGCCCATTTACAAACCGTACACGGCGAATTCGGAAATCGCGATCCGGCGGAGTGGGTAAATTCGCAAGATGCCGAGCCAGAGGCACCCTGGCGGTCCTTTTGGCTTAGCGGGGCTAGTGAGTCCGAGTGGGATGCCGAAGAGCGGGCTCGGCGGCAGATCCCGGACTATGTTTTCCACCATGCCCCACTCGTTCACCTTTATTCTGGCGAGCAGTTCTGGCCCGGGGATATCGCAGAGCACTTGCATCATACCACTCCGATGCTGAATTACACCCCGATTCAGGCTCAATGGGACCATCCGACGTTGGCCGATCTGGACGAGTTGAACAAGTGGGGGCCCAGGCACCTTTTCCTGACGAGCAATGATGATGTACAGACGCGTCCACCGTGGCTGGAAGGCGATAGGAATATCCCGCAAACAGATGGAAACAAGAAAGAAGAATCCTGGGCTGATTGGGATGGTCGAGTCGATGGTGATATTCCCGGTGACACAGAGGAAGATCGTGCCAAGTGGTATAATTTTCACCAATTGCAAGAAGAGGCGGCCGCTCTACGCGAATCCAACACCGATGAACATTTTCAAGCTCAGCAAATACTCAAAGAGGAGCTTCGCAAACGTTATGGTGGAGAGGAGATCTACGATGGTGCCGGTGGTCGAAGCGATGCCCCTGCAATCCTGGTGGTGATGGACAAAGGCAACGGAATTGTGGATGCGTTCTGGTTCTACTTTTACAGCTTCAACCTCGGTAACACTGTTGTCAACGTGCGGTTCGGCAATCATGTCGGAGACTGGGAGCATTGTCTGGTGCGATTCCACAATGGCAAACCGAAAGCGCTCTTCTTCAGCGCCCACCAGGGCGGAGAGGCCTATAGCTACGAAGCCGTTGAGAAGATCGGACAACGGGTAAGTTCCCATATAACAAAAGCAGCAAGTATAATCTCACTAACTTTACTTTGCCAGCCCGTCATATACTCCGCCGAGGGCAGTCATGCCATGTACGCCACGCCCGGAGTGCACGAGTACCTCCTCCCCTGGGGACTTCTGCACGATGTAACCGACCGCGGTCCACTATGGGATCCCCTCCTCAACTCGCAGGCCTACACTTACGACTTCGACAACGAGCATTTGCGGGCGTCCACCTTCAGCCCCTCTGCCCCAACGGAATGGTTCCATTACAGGGGCCATTGGGGCGACAAGTTCTACTCACTAGGCGATTCTCGTCAGTATCGATTTGCAGGCCAGTACCACTTCGTGAACGGACCCCTTGGTCCAAAGTTCAAGCATCTCAACCGCCACAAGGTGTGTCAGGGCCCCAATCGTGCTCCCTGCGTTATCAAGAACTATGTCGAGCAAGGGAAGCGACCTCAGCGGTGGGGCTCAAGCAGATCGGAAGAGTAGCTTTTCGGGGGATCCATTCAATCTCTCAAGTCTCACCTATCTATCGGTCTGATGAATTATCTGCCCATGCCCTTCCCCTGTCGTCGGAATCTTCTGGAAATCCACCAATTTCCACCAATTTCCACCAATTTATACCCAGCCCAAATTTAGCAATCCACCCCGGAGATGATTCTTGCTATCATGTTTTCTTTTCTTTTTTACCTGCGCTTTTTTCTACGATGTTTGCCTCAGATACCCCCTTTGTTACTGAAAACCCTTGACCAAGGCCAACAGTATAGAACCCTCCCGCGGATGAGACCATGACCCTTCATTTGATTTGACACGACTTGGACGTGCTATGGCGTGTTTGCTGGCTTGATTCCTACTCTACTCTTTTATTCGGGTCCTGGGCGTTTCTGCGTGCTGTTTCTCTTTGCTAGAAAGCTACGAACAATCTCAAAAAAATGATTGACCTACTAAAGTACCATTGCGTATACCTTTGCTTTTTTGTTTTCAATAAACAGGAGTTTGATAGGTCAGTAGATGACTTGGACTTGGATCATGGCTGATATCCGAGAACCCAGCCCTAACTCTATACCCAGAGACCACATTGATTTACCAGCGACTGTACAACAGAATGAAAAGCATGTCCCACTATCAGGGTAGTAAATATATGACAAGAAAACATAAATATTTTATTCAGTATGGGACCTCTATCCCCGAATCTCCCAGAGTCGGATACCACCTTGCTCATTACCAACAGCCAACTGCTCCGAGTTCGGTGAGATAGCCACCGAGGAAATGCGACCCAATGGCGTGTTGGAAGTAGGCCAGTTACGGTATACCGTGCAGGTAGGAAGGTGAACTATAAAAGCAACACAGTTAGCAAAGAACACAAGAAAGACAAAGCACAAGCAGAGCCAGAAAACATACCAAGACGCAAAGCATCACGCTTCCACCGACTCGCCATAACCATCATCTGCCCATCAGGCGCAAAGACCAAATGGCTAATGGGGGTAGTGAGCTGATCAAGCACACGCACCGGGTCAGGGTTACGCGGGATACCAGCCTGAGCTGGGGAATCCTTCTCAGCAGCAGAAGCATTCGCATAGGCAGCCGCCCACGGGCGACGATCATAAACGTTAACAATACCACTGGAAGAACCAATCGCAATCCAACGATCCCCACCAAGCTGAGTCCGGCCCGAGCGACCACCGAGGCTGAGAACCGTCGTGCCGACAGCACCGGCATCGACCCAGCGCGCCACAACACGGCCTACACGTCCATCCCACTCAGAGACCTCACCGTTCTTCGACACGACTGTCATACCCTCGCCGTCAGACCACCAGGCGAAGTCCGCGACACCGCCGCGGCCGTCGACGCGCACCTGCGCGATCCACTGCGCGGTGTTGGCATCCAGGACGTTGATCAGACCGCCGCCCTTACGGGCCGTGCCGACTAGGCCGACGAAGCGGCCGCACGGCGAGAGCTTGAAGCGCTCCATGGACTTTTGCTCTTCCTTTCGGTCGGAGGAGCCGTTGACTTTGTCGACTTTTCCGGTGTCCAGGTCCCAGATGTGGAAGTAGCGCCGACGGCCCGAGGCGAAGATTTTGTTGCCTGAGGGTGCGGCGAAGGCGGACGTGTGGATTGGTGTGCGCTTGATGTGCAGTGAGGTGAGGAGGGGGTTGGGGGCGGGTGCGGAGGGAGAGATGTGGTGCAGGAAGAGGGTGGAGGCTGGTCCGGAGGAGAGCAGGAGCGGGTAGTGCGGGTGGAAGGTCAGGGAGTCGACGGAGGAGGGTTGGGATTTGCCGATGTCCTTCAGTCTCTGGATGTCGATGACTTCCTGGCGCAGCTTGCGCTTTCCGCTGGAGCGCGCGTTGTCTTCTATGCGCGTCAGGTCCGAGGCATTTTGGAGGAGCTTGGCTAGAGGCTGCATGGAGAGGTTCTCGTTCTCGTCGTCCGAGTCGATTTCCTCCTCGCTGCCTGCGTCAGAGTCCGAGTCCGTCTTGCGGCGCTTGAGCTCCGGTGTGGCCCACTCCGGTGTCGGGTGCAGGCGTGTGAACTGTCTGCGCAGTCGTCGGACGTATTCCTTGCCGCTGACTACATCTTCGGCTTCGGTGTTGCGCAGTTTGCGCAGTCTGGCTTGGCTTGCTAGCGACACGGCGAGGCGCTCGTCGTCGCTATCGTACCATACTGCGGGTTCGTCCTCTTCTTCGTCGTCCTCGGCGTCTGACGGAGTTTCCGGCGATGGGAAATCAGTGGTGGGGGGTGCACCGGAGTCAAGGAAGAAAAGCTAGATGAAAGCAGAATTGTTAGATCGAAAGCCTGAGATATGTGAACGCATGGGAGTGGAGTCGCATACGTCTGAATCGGCTAGAGCAGCTAAGTCCTGGCCCTCGCCTTCGGCATCTTCGCTAGCATCGCTCTCGTCATCACTGTGCAGAGTGAGAGCCATACCAGCCTCGCGGTCCTGCTGGTTCTTCAATGCGCCCATGAAGCCCTCATCGTCGCCAAAGAGCATACGTTCTAGCTTCTTCTCCGCCTCATCTTTCTCGGGCACATCTTCCTCATCCGAGCTAGTTTCGTCGTCCATCTCGACATCTGAGTCCTCCGGGCGGATATTGGCCGTAGTGTTCTCGAACGGAGACCGGGTGGTCGTCTGCCTGGACTTTTCTTTTAGCCCTACGTTAGGCATGGTGGGTGGTGTGAGGATATCTGCCAATCAAGCACAACTGCTTGCAGACTCGGTCACCGAATTGAAACTTGAATGCAATAATGCAATTGTATGCTGCAAATGTTCCTCAGGCGGAGCTTGAATATTTTTCTTCTTTGATTTTTCCAGAATGGGCAGATCAGAGCGGTGTGGAAGGCGGCATATATTGTTGCCTTGATTCTAAGGCACCAAATGGGATATCAAAGGCATTCAAATAGGCTTTAATACACTCATTTGACATTCTTTTCACCCTCTAGCTGGAGGAAATTGATGAGAAGAGCCATAACTGAAGCTAAATACACAGAATCCGAAGAGACATTAGTTGGTTCAAGGTTGTAACGGATGATTCGACTACGAGTAATATGACAAACAGTTATCCAAATGCACAACCTACATAGATGCATGCACACTAGATAGCAGGGGAAATGATATACTCAATACTAATATGGAAAAACGACATAATCGTATACTCGTTAAATATCACTATTAACACTAAAACAAAGCAAATATGAAATTTCCAAAGCCAAAACAGAAAGCAATATTCAGTGATGTGTGGAAGTAGCTTTGGGTTCATGTTGGTCACCACTGCTACTCGAGCTCGGAGGTTCATATGGAGGAACAGGATTTTGATCCTCAGGAAGTAAATGCTCAGATTCCTGGAGGGCATCTGCAGTAGCCTTCGGCTGCGAAGTGGTTCTCGGGGATTTCTGTGGTTCTTCATCATCAGAATCAGTTGAATATGACTCGTCCAGGCCAGCAAGAAGAGCCTCCCGGCGGTGAGCATCATCATCTGTGCCAGCATCTCCAATCGTGTCATCCACCGCGTATTGCGAGACTGGTTTCTTGATGAATGTGTCGATGATATAATACTGTATGGCGTTCATTATGACTGGGAAAAGAAGCATGACGAAGAAGATCTGGACAGCAGCGTTGCCTTCTGTCCACCTTAGCGCCCAGTCGCCGACCTTGATGATGAAAGGTAAGAGCTCGATGAGGAAGAACACGCATATCTTCATGCCGAGCAATCCCATGAAATAAACGATGGCCTGTTTGAGCCACCATGTTACGCGTGGGGGCTGGCCATAGTTTCCCGACTCTATCGATTCCGGGGGTTGGCAAGAGGTGTATAGGATACCAAATAGTTGAGAACGCGGAGAAGGAGGATCAGAATGGGGATGCCGAGGGTAGTCTATTCCATCAGTTAGCGAGCAGCTCCTCAAAAGAGATCAAAGCAAGAATAGCAAAAACGCACGTCGATTCCCAGGTTCAGTAAGTAGAACGAGCATGGGTTCGGCTTGTATGAGCTTCGAATCTCCAGTTGGCCCGCAGAAAACATTGACATGACCAGATTCAGCATGTGGAGCATCACAGACCCGAAGACTTGTTTTGAGACGTCAAAGGCCCAGATCTTCACCGGGCGCTGTGGTCGTTCTCTCCATCTCTTATAGACTAGAGATAATAATGCGAGGCCGCCAAGAGCAATCTGAACAAACACAGAGAATGGACCAAGCAGCTTGCATTCTCCTCCTTCGCCGTTTGGATCCTGCCCTGGGCTTGAAGAATTTGTTGCTTGGTAGTGTAGTGTGTGTGCGCCCGAGGGTGTTGGAATGGCTAGGGTGCTGGTAGCAGCGATAAGCGTGGTCGTAGCTATCGAAGCCAACGAGCCGGTCGTGTCATCCATCATTTCTTAGTCTAGTAAAACCAGAAAGACAGTGATAGATCTAAGGTGGAACGCAACATATGCTGGAAACCAGGTTGTAGTAACAGTCAGCACCTAGGTAGTAACCTTGGAAGGTTTATCAAAGGCGGAGACAGCCGAACGTCATACGCGTGACATCGAAATGGGTGGCAATGAACCGGATGAACGGATGAGTAAGAACAAGCCTGAACTTGTAAAAAGCAGTAAAAAGTAGTTCTTTCTGGATGAGGTAGAAAAAAAGGAGTTATGGAAAAAGAATTAAGGGTCAATTGAGTGAGTTTGCACGATGCTGCGCCCTAGGCGGTGTCAGGATCCCCGCAGCGGGATCGACAAGGCCGATAGCATTTCCCTCCAGGGTTTGAACGGCAGTACGGCTATTTTAAGGGTCCTTGGTCTTGGCATGATATTTTTATTTTGTTGGCTGCTTTGATCTTGATCTTGATATGTTTTATATGCATCGTATAAGTGAAAGCCAAGTTTATAATTCCCCTGTATAAGAGTGGGTACTGATCATTGACGCGCCAGCCTTAGGTAGATAGATAGACCCCGGTTGTAGCTTGATATTGGAGATCCAGATGATACGAAGCTCGAAAACAGCTCAAGACTCGACTAGTTTGTCACTTCTAGTAGTGTGGCGCTCAGAGAAACCTTTGCACCTAGCATCTAGCCATAGCACAGAGAATGTTGGAGCAAAGTGGAGGGTCAAATTGACGAAGAGAGTAATAGTAGTAATGGTTAAATAGAATAAACATAAGAAGAAATCAGTCTCGCCGGCGTGTTGTTCGCATCATTTCTGGGTCAATATATGACGACCAGAACCAGCCTCGCCCACCATCAAACCCTCTGAAATAAGAAAAAAAATACCCAGGGAATAAAAACGCCGGAAACCCCTCAACCAAGCCGCGAGTGAATGGTACAGCCATTGCAATACCATGCGCAGCTAAATGCTAGCAGAGGGAAGAGAAAAAGAATTCGTCACATCATTCTATCCCGTGTTGCTGTTTGAGCCTTTCTAAATTCTCCTGCCTTTCCGTAATGTCCTCTTTCGTACGGACCATCTTCTCTGGCTGATGATACAAGACTAAAAGACCCAAAGTTAGTCATCTGCAAATAATCCCCGATGCTCATTTGATCCATGTGCAATACGTACCGACCAAGTATCTGTTCTGGAAGTTGAAACCATTGAGTTTATCGCATGCCTGTTTGGCGTCGTGAACGTCCTCGTAGACAACGAATGCGGTTCCCTTGGAGGTATTGGCGATACCCTGGCGAATTTGGCTACAGATGAAATGGTATTAGATCGGGTTCAGACACACGAGACCATGGGTGACTATTACCGAATGGGGCCAAATTTGCCAAACAGGTCAAACAGTTGCTCTGCTGTTATGTTGTAGCTGTTGAGAAAGATGTCAGCGAGCTGGTCGCGATTGAAAATGGCGATTTGCAGGGCTGATCCGCCGGGGAAGCGAGCCGGAGCAAAGCAGCGAAATGATCAGGTACATACTTAAGGTTCTTGACGAAGAGAATCCTGTAAAATAAGAAAAAAAGAGGTTAGCGCTAGTCACTTCTAAATGTCAGGGATCTGCTAGACCCAACGATCAAGCATTTGATGGCGAAATGGCACTTGTGCTGAGAATCGGGGGAGGGGCACGGAAAAAGTATTCTCACGTACCGATTGGCTTCGGGGGCGAGCTTTCGGCTCATTCTCGTAGGCGAGAGAGTCCTAGAAGATGTTGAATGAAAGTGTTGACAAGAAAGATACGCAAGGTATCAGTTGCAGTGTTGAAATAGCGAAGAGGCAGAAGATCCGAGCAAGGTCGCAAGGACAACCACGAGGTTTGTCTTGGCGGTGCGCTTACTTATCCCGGTTTAGTGGCAGTTGGTTCTTAAACCGTATGTGACCAGGTCATGTGATTTCTTTGAGTGTGGTGATCTACCAAACTTAGCACGTGATGGTATCGTGTTGGTATCATGATGGTATCGGACTGTATCACCAAGACGGACGCTCTCGGCGTCGCCAACTTCCTTTGGACTACAGATAATTGAGCACCGGGGGAAACAACCAAGTAATCACAATCGCATGCTGTAATGAGTGCTTTTTGATCTTCATATTTTATAAATGCGATTCAAATCCTTTCTAGTAAAAGTAATAGCAGGACACAACGTAATGTAGGAGCCCGTAGCTGTACCGTATACATACCTTCAGAGTTGCTACTACTCGACTCCCGCTTCCTCCTTCGCCCCAACACCTCGCGCTCATCCGCTTCTCTCTCGCTTTCGGCGCTTCATCCATTCGCATACTTGTCACTTCTCATCCAGTTGGCAGGAAACGATTCCTGGCTACTGGACCTCATTCGATTCCCTTCCCTACCTGCCCGCAGGTTGCGGCGCGACTCTCGGGCGCCTTTGTCCTCCCGCCGCTCGATTCGAACCCCCTCAACGCTCCGCGACTACCGTCGACCACCTACTTCGCCCTCGATCTTTCATCAAATATCAATCATATATTTGCGGTCCGTCGTGCGCATGCTCTCCTGCCAGGAATGACATTCCCTTCGCCTGCGCCGGCCTCTCGCTAGCCCGTGTGGTCCAGTATCCCCGCTTTGCACCCACCTACCGCAAGCGCATCTTTTCACACCTCCGACCCTCCATCTTCAATTTTCTTTAATCTACACTCTCACCGGGTTGCGAAAATGATGAGCGCGGCATCATTCGCGAATCCCATCGGCGGCCGCCCGCCGCAGTACCGTACTCCGTCCCCTCCTCTACGCGCTGTCGAACCTATCACTCCATCCACAACCACCGATTTTCACTCCTCTTGGGCCAGCCGCAGCCCTCCTCGAGCTGCCAGTCTCGATCGCGACCAGCGTCCTTCAAATCACAATCGACATGTCGCCGCAGAAGGTGGTTCACACCAGCGATCGGGCCATGGCCGCTCAAGCTCGACTATCGACACACTTGCGACGATCGCCCTCGCAACGAGTCCTACCTTCGCATCGCTCCCTCCCAATCCGCCTTCCCCCAACCTTCAGTCGACGATTCCCTTATTTCCACCCGACTCCGCAGAGTCTGAACGACCGGCGAAGCGGGCACGGTCGGGGAGAAATCCGTCGCCCTACCGCCCGCGGCCAGGAATGCTGACAGAAAACCCACCCCCAGCTGGGCTTGAAAGCATGACAACCGATGCAGAGCTTTTACTCAATCTCGCGCGGCCTACGAATTTCCACCCGGGCAACCACAACAAACGAGTCAGCATTGGCGAGACCTACCACCACTACGCAGGCGACGCAATTCGTCAATCTCGTGTTGGGTTTGCTGCCGTTGGACATCCGGAACAGGGCGACGTCAAGATGAATCACAATTCTGAGGATATACCTCATGCCCGCATGCGCTCTCGCTCTGACGGGTCAGCTTTCATATCCCGTCCTGCGATCCGTGGGATCCGCCCAACTACTAGCTCTGGCACTTTCCCGCCAATTGTTTGGGAGGATGAACAAGAAGGCAAAGCCTGGCATCCACCAGCTGATACGCCTCACCATACTGCTTATGGGATCCATCCTCCGGCCAATCCCCAAGAACCTCAATTCCCGCAGAAGTCCCTGCCCATTCCACCAAAATTGGAAGAGGAAGAAAGTGATACCAATCAAGCAAGCTGCGGGGCATGTCATTTAGTACGTATCCCAGTTGAGACCGAGGAACAGGACGAAGACACGTGGATCAGTTGCGATGGATGCAAACGATGGTTCCATATCATTTGCGCCGGCTTCAAGAATGATCGGGAGGTTCGCACAGTCGACAAGTTTATCTGTCGGCATTGTCGAGCAGTTTATGGCCAAACAACTTTTGTACGCAAGTCCTCGCGGGCCCGGACAGCCATTGACTACGCAGGCCTGAACCAAGGCCTCGTCAAAGCTGCCACTGACTCGTTGGAACATCACTATCTCGAGCCCATTCGACAAGGAAAGATTCGGTTCCAACCTGAGAATTTCCCCCGAATGAAACCTGAGCTGGTCACAGCGGAATACTTCGAGCGAGGAAATGGGTGGACGGAGCCTATTGTGATACCTGCCTGCTGGAACTCCTGCGAGCCTGTTTCCTCGGAGAATCCAGAGTTCGAATCTCTAGTACAGGAGGCTTCGTCTCAAGAGATGTTCGATGATCTTCTAGAGAACCACCCGGAACAAGAGACTCATATTGAAGAAACAGTTGATTGTGGTCAAGACCTCTTAGGTATGGTCATTCCGCGGGGTCTCACTGTTCGTGCTGTGGCAGAGCTTTACGGACCCGAAGAAAGGGTTGAAGTGATCGATGTGAAGTCTCAGCAAGGAGAGGATAAGAGGTGGAACATGCAGCAATGGGCTGATTACTACGAAAGCAATGAGCAGGACAAGCCTGTTAGGAATGTCATCAGTTTGGAGGTATCGCAGAGCAAACTTGGCAGACTCATCCGGCGACCGAAGGTTGTGCGTGACTTGGATCTGCAAGATGCTGTGTGGCCGGAGGAACTGAAGGCAATTGGCGAATATCCCAAAGTTCAGTTCTACTGCCTGATGTCTGTTGCTGACTGCTATACCGACTTTCACATCGACTTTGGAGGATCTTCGGTGTACTACCATATCCTGAAGGGCAAGAAGACTTTCTTCTTCATTCCTCCCAAAGACAAACACCTAAAGAAGTACGAGGAGTGGTGCAACTCTCCCGCCCAGGATTCGATTTTCCTTGGAAACCAGACCAAGGAGTGCTACCGTGTGGATCTCTCTGAGGGGGACACCATGCTGATCCCGTCCGGCTGGATTCACGCAGTTTGGACCCCGGAAAACAGTTTGGTTATTGGTGGCAACTTTTTGACCAAACTGAACTACGGGATGCAAATCAAGATACTCAACATCGAAAAGGAGACCAAAGTCCCCAAGAAGTTCCGATACCCTTTCTTCCAAAAGATCCAGTGGTATACGGCTCAAAAGTATCTTGAGGATGACCCGGTCCCGCAAAATGTGATGGAAGCATTCATGCAGGATGAGAACTATCGGTTCCACCGTCAATATCCAATTTATTACGAGTTTGGAGAACGTGCCAACCAAGAACCTCCAGGCTCTCCCCATCACAATGCACGTTTCTATTCACAGGCGGAGTTGGAGGGCCTACTTGAGTTAACCAAGTATTTGCTACGGACTGCACTTATTGCGGGTGGCTATACCGTTGATGGAGTGGTCTCCATGGACATTCGAAACGCGGTCAGGCGCTCCATTCCCAAAGGCACAGGAGATCCCGTGGACATGATCAGAAAATTCGGAATTTGGGTCGCCTGGAAGCGTGGTAACGAAAAGGCACCCCTCTGGACTCGACCTGGCGTCATCGAAAGCAATCCCAAGGTTTCTATCACAGACAAGAAGCCCGCAGGACGACCAAGCCGCCGATCCGAACGCAACGTCGATAATCAACGCACCTATGCCGAAAGACAAGCGGTCCAGTGGCCTTCAGAAGAGGACCCTGCAACGCCGAATCCCCCAGCCAGCAGCCTTGCTTATGCGCAGTCTGATGGAAGTGCAACACCAGCACCGTTATTCAGTATTGCTCCGGAGACTAGCGTCAAGGATATTGCTACACCCAAGCCCCGGGCTGTCCAACGAGCCTCAGGTCTTGGTCCCAAGCGAGTTGCATGTGACGCATGTCGCAAACGACGCATTCGATGCCGACACAAAGATGAACCCTGTGATCTGGTGCTCAACGGGCAGGTCGCAGTCAATGCCTTCACGCCCGGCTCTGGAGTGAGCACGCCGTCCTCCTTGGCCCAGGATGCTGTGTCTGCTTTGAATTCTTTGGCAGCGATTGCATCGCAAACTGGGTTCCAAAACGATGGGCATCTTGTTGACCTAGACCGATTCGAGAGCTCGGCAAGATTCCAATCTGCGGTCATGGGCAACTCCACAATAGCCGCCAATCGTCTTATTGATGTGAGCCCTGACGGAACCAATGGAGGAAAAAAGGGGCGCAGTAAGGCGTGCGATGATTGCCGGAAGAGCAAGGTTTGTGATACCCCAAAGGCTTCTTTTGCTCCTTTTACTGTTACTGACCTGAGACCAGCGCCGTTGCATCCACGATGAGTACGGTCGGATAGACCCGATCAAAGCTCAGGAGCGCTCTAAACCTCGTGCGAATGCTTCCGCCAAGCGAGCACGCCCTGCTGAAGACGATGACATGCCTGGCACAGCCAAAAAAGCGAAGCAGGAGAGCACATCACCCATGACACGGCCTGCAGTATTCTTCGATCATGATGGCGATGAACTGATGGTGCAAGACGACCTAATGGATGCTTATGATCACGAGCCTTTCAGTCAAATTGGCTCAGCTAAGCATATACCTGAAGCAGATCAGGCACCTCAAAATCAAGCTCTATACGCATCACCACCTGCTTTCCAAGCCGAGTCTGTGGATGCAAAGGAATTAAATTCCGTGTCTGTGTCTTCATCCAAGCCAAACACTTCCTTGGTCTCACCGCCCACGTCGCTGGCCGACGAGATGGATGGAGTCCAGGAGGGAGAGGCCGTACAATCTGTGGAAGGGGAAGTGTCAACTGCTCTCCACACACCCAACTCCAGCTCTCGGCATTCGTCTCGCCAACCTCGACATGTCGATAGGTTCGCGCCCGATGCAACTACAGCCCGGGCTCCGAAACAAGCGGCACGAGCCACGTCTTCCACGATCGGGACACGCAAGACAACTCCTGTTCCAGCATCGACAAGAAAGCCTTCATCACGTCCCTCGTCTTCACACGCGAAGAAGAGCTCTCCGATGTATGAAAAGCACTTTCATCGTCACGCCCCTACATCACTATCACCGCGTCAGCACAAGCATACTCAGCACATCACTGGAGATGAGGGTGCAGACGAGGAAAGTCTTCGTTTGATACGAGAGCTCCAGGAACAAGAGTTTGGTCTGCGGAAACGATCGACAAGGGTTTAGTTTCGCAGATGGCTTGAAGGCATGGTCCGGTACAGATGAGAGATGTAGAAGGGCTTCTGCTTAATGTTTTTGTTATTCGGGATATCAATTTACCAAGGGTTCGGGATGGGAGATCCGGTGTTTTTTTTTCTTAAGAATCACGTTTTCATGTTATATCTGGCGTTTCATGGGTCTGGGAGAACTGGGGAGTTTTGTTTTTGGCTTTTGATATCAAATGTCGTTTGCATCAGGTTCTTTTTTTCTCTTTGTCAATCTGCCTTGCCTTGTTTTTCTACTTCTGATTTCACTTTTTTACCTCCTAGTTTTTTCTTTATTCTATTTTATTCCCTGTGGGTTCTTTGTTTCATGCCGGGGCCTCTTCACAACCAACACTTTGCTTGATAATCCTTTGTTGGGCTTTCTCTCCCCCTTCGGCTGCGCACAGCAACAAGACATCTTCCGCAAGTCTCATATATGTACTTCTTTCGTTTGTCTGACACAGTCTGCGCAGTTTACCCTCTTGCGTATATCAGCAATAGGGTTATGTAGCAATTTCTTGAATTTATGTTCTTTGATATGTTTGCTATTGGATTCTCATGCCAGTTACTGCCCGATGATCTAGTGGCTGGTACTTGTCTGAGGAGGTATATGTATCGATTCAGATTTCATTGTTTTCCTGCTTTTGCTTGCCATACCCAGCACTTGATTTCTACTTCGTACAATATTATCCAAGGCCGAAGCGCCACCGATGCTTCGAGGTTGGCGTATTCCAACCACACATCACCGAAGAGTTATACCTTTCCAATTGAACTACATCGGATAATTTAAAAAATACGGGACTCTGATGTTCTGGAACCAGCGAATGCAGCCTATATGCCGTATGTAATGTAGTAAGCGCTGGCTAAACCCCTGTATTCGCCTCCGCCACACTGCAGTCAAGACAACATAAAGAGATGATACCCGATAGCACATTACTAGCTGCATGATATCTTATTCGACAAATCTCCGGGTAGATAGAGCCAAGATCGATTCACCACAACCTCACCCCACACCATACCACTTCCTACTATGTAATGATACCTCCCACTCCACAAAATCCAGGATATCCAACCCCAGCTCGGCTAGGTCAGTACAGATACCGTCGCCGGCTCAGCAGTCCGCAGAACTAGCGGTATAGTATCCGTCATTGCCTCAGCCGAGCTACTCCAAAGCAGAGAGTACAAGCCATCGGTACCAGTTGGTCTCGCGTAAAAGTTGGCCCCGCTCACGGTGACTAGGACGTACCCCCCGTACGTGGACCACACGTTGCTGAGCTTGGTTGTGTTTGACTGCTCCGTCGTGGATGTGCCGGTGAATCCGACTGGATTGGAGTCCGTATTGCCTCGGTCTAGACACAGCTTGTTCGTATTGGTCGAGATGGTGCTGAAGCCCTCGGTGGAACTAGTGCTGGAACTGGGATGTGCAACCCAGGTGTTGTCACTGGAGGCGGTGACTGTTACATGTACATGTTAGATGTAGATCTGTTGATTTTTGTGATTTTCCACACAGCATCAAGTAGAGAAATTGGATTCTTACAGTTGACTGGGGTCATTGCGGCCATTGTGGTTGTGTCTACTTTCGACGCATCTGCAACTTCGGCTGTACCTGTTGTCAAGGTGATATGAATCAGTCAATACTGCTTTTTTGGGGTTTGGGAAGGCTGAGATACCGTTCCTGTAGAAGACGGGCAGTCCGCTAATGCCTGGGCCATAGGCATACAACTTGAAAGAATCGGTTGGCCTTGACTGTCGCTTTTCAAGCGGGTGCGCAGAGCAGACTAGCCCAAAGGCTAGAAGGAGAAGAATAGAAAGAGATAGCATCTTGCAATGAACAAGTCATACAATATGTTGGAAAGGGGTATACAGGGCAGTGTCAGGATTAAGCAAAACTTATAGAACAGAAAGTAGTCACGAGGGCATAGTCGATGAGATAACAATTGATGTAATTAGAAGCAGGCAGCACATTAGGGATTACCCAATGGCATGTGTGGTTTCCATGATCCTTCTCTTTATTTCCCAATATTGTGATCCAAGCCTCCTTTTGTGATTTGGACTGGTACGAGCTGACGATGATACGTAATTTGCAACTCCATTCCCTAGATCCCAGTAAAGGAGAAACACCCCCGTTGTCATCATCTGGCTGTGTTCCATGTCAAAATCCAGATCCCGGCTATTACAACCCCAATGGTCAGATCAACGATCCACTCATCATGCATGCGCTGCGTCAAGACTCTCGCAACAATCGACAATCCTGGACAATCCTGGTCAAACCAGCTGATATCTCAAAAAAAGAAACATCAAAGCATGCAAGATCACAATATTAATTCCCGAGCCACACACGTGGAATGTTTACTCTCGTATAAGCTAACGCTGAAATGCTGAAACGGGTTACACAGAGATAAAACAAGACAGCGTGTCGGGGAGCATAACCCTAATTCAAGACCTGCAAGCCAATCTGACTGCGATCGAACTACAGAATGGTATCCCCGATGGTCAATCTCCGTAATTGGCTCTCTTTTCAAGTTTTCGCTTTGTTAATCTGAGAGACACAGCCCTAGTTGCATGGGATATCCAGGCTCTCTATCGTGTCAATAGTACTATTACGAGAGAACAGGCAGTAACAAACACCTGCGGACTCAAAACGGCCAGTGCGCACGTGGTCTGATAGACAGCGCAACCTCCAGCCGCTAGGAAGGTCCCCGGGCCGACCATCTTCTTACGGTTTGAAAGGTGAAAGCTCCCCGGCGTGAATACGGGGCACCTTGATCTTATGATTCGGGTATCCACTGAGTACATAGCCTCAACACCCGAGCTGGACGATGACGTTGACGCTTCGCCATGGCTATTCGTCTGTCGGTCGTCTTGTGTATCACAAGATCCTGTTTCCCACGACATCACCGGTAGGGCTGCCCGGCATATCCTAGTGAGGAGGTACGAATGCAGGACACCTCGTGAGAAGAGACATGCCAATCTTGGTCCTGGTCAAACCGCCTATCGTGCTATACGATTCTAATATATAAGCTAGTGGCTTAAATAGAGGGCAATTCTCTTGGTTGTGTATCAGCAGCAAATTTCATTTGTTTTCTTATACTTGAAGCTTTTGGTTTTTCTCAATCTTGAAAGCTCTATACAGAGCTATATCTGTGACCCAAAGATAATTGGGCATTATATAAGTGCCCTGCGTGGGTAAAATTGGCAGCTATGAAGCTCGAAGCTCTTCTCCTGCTGGCATTCAGCCTGAGTGCCTCTGTCGCGGCCGTTCCACACGATCCATTCGATTCAGTTGATATCCAGCCGCAACGCCACAGACCCACGACAACCAAGACGAACCACACGACAGTCAGTACCAAAACCAAGACCAAAACCAAAATCCACAAGCCAACAGGAAGACCTTGTGCAGGCAACACGCCCCGAACACGGTCCAAATGGTGCCAATACGACGTCAGCACCGACTACACCCAGACAGTACCCAACACAGGCGTAACACGGGAGTACTGGCTCAACCTCGAAGACGTAGTAGCCGCACCAGATGGGTTCAGCCGGTCAGTAATGGCTGTGAACGGGACAATCCCCGGTCCAACAATCTTCGCAGACTGGGGCGACTGGGTCGTGATCCACGTCACGAACAGCCTCTACACATCCCAGAACGGGACTAGCATCCACTGGCACGGGATCAGACAGAACTACACGAACGGCAACGACGGCGTGGTCTCCATCACGCAATGTCCCACCGCCCCCGGCTCAACCATAACCTACAAATGGCGCGCCGAGCAGTACGGTTCATCGTGGTACCATTCGCACATTGGACTGCAGGCGTGGGAGGGTGTGTTTGGCGGGATTGTGATTAATGGCCCTGCTACGGCGAACTATGAGGTCGATAAGGGCAGTCTGTTCCTGACGGACTGGTCGCACCCCACTGTTGATCAGCTGTACTCGGTGGCTCAGACGGTTGGACCGCCGACTTTGGATTCTGGCTTGATTAACGGGACGAATGTCTTTGGTAATGGGACCAATTCTACGGGCACGCGGTTCCAGATGAAGGTTAATCAGGGATCTTCGTATCGACTGAGGATTGTTAATTCGGCTGTTGATACGCACTGGAAGTTTATGATTGATAATCATACGCTTACTGTTATTGCGGCGGACTTTGTGCCGATCAGGCCGTTTACGGCGGATTATATCAATATCGGAATGGGTATGTGATGTTTTACTTTTGATATCGAAACCCAGCCCTAACTCCAACTCTCCTTCTCCAAACTGGGGGAAAAAAAGAACCAACAACTAACAAAAACACTCACAGGCCAACGCTACGACGTAATTGTAACAGCAAACCAACGCCAAATCTCTGACTCATTCTGGATCCGCGCAATTCCCCAAGAAGCATGCTCCGAAAACGCAAACCCAGACAACATAAGAGGAATCCTCTACTACGGCAACCGTCCACACACACCCACAACAAACCCCTTCACCTTCCCAGACGAATGCGTGGACGAGCCCGCCTCGAGCCTAATCCCCCAAGTTTCGAAGAACGTCTCAGCCGCAGACTGGAACAACCTAACGGACGTGACACTGGGACGCAATAACGCGAACCTCTTCCGCTGGTACCTCAACAGCACGACGATGCAAGTGCTCTGGGAAGACCCGACCTTATTACAGCTCTTCAACAACGAAAACACGCCGAACTTCACGACATCAAGTGGGGTGATTGAGCTGCCGCGCGCACACGAGTGGGTGTACCTCATGATCAACACGAGTTTCCCTGTGACGCACCCTATTCATTTACACGGCCATGATTTCTTTGTTTTGGCGCAGGGGTCGAATCCGTGGGATGGGAGTGTTTCGACTACTAATCCGCCAAGGAGGGATACGGCGATGTTGAATGGGAATGGGTTTTTGCTTCTTGCGTTTGAGACGGATAATCCCGGGGCGTGGCTTATGCATTGTCATATTGGGTGGCATACGGATGAGGGGTTTGCGTTACAGTTTTTGGAGAGGGAGAGTGAGATTGAGCCGTTGATTGATCGGCAGGCGCTTGATAATAACTGTGCTTCTTGGAATGCTTATGATGCGGCTTTTGATATTGATCAGGAGGATTCGGGGGTTTAGGGGATATGGGTATGTGGTTCTAGATGGGTTTGATCATTATATAGGTGGGCTTCGTGTGTTAAGGATGATTGAAATGATGTGATACTGGCTACAGTACATAGTTACCAAGGGAATAATAGCACTATGGATATTCTATTCACGAGCCTTCCAAGGCTAACATACACAGAATCGATATATCGTTAAATCTTTCATCAAACCCGCCGAACCATTGATGGCATAACCCACAATTTCAAAAAGATATACTCCAATCCCTCGGTAAGGGTTTGTTTTGTCATGGGTCAGATGATAATGATAGTCACCATCACCACTACAAGACCAGTCCCACTCAAAGCAGGGTCTTCATGTCATCCATGTTGCGGACACCAACGAGGTTACCAGCCTTGACACGCTTAAGTGTCAGGGCAGCAATCAGGGCAGCACCAACACCGGAACCATCCTCGGCAGCCATGATGGAGACCTTGTCCTTCTCGGTAGGGGCCCAGTCGAGGATCTCGCGGAGGGCCTGGGCGCCGCGCTCCTTGAAGTGGGGGTACTTGGTGAAGACGGATCCATCAGCACCGACGTGGCAGGAGTCGATGTTCTTCTTGGTGCAGATGGCGGCGACTCCGCAGGAGGACAGACGAGCGGCACGGGTACCGATCAGCTCGGCGAGACGGCGGATGAGCTCCAGCTCCGGTTGGGTAGGGCGGATGCTCAGCGTGCTTTCGAAGAGATCCAAGGTCTCTGTCAGGTTCTCGTAGGGGTCCTCTTCGATGCGGGCGAGGAAGGAGGCATCGAGCAGGTAGGGCTTGCGTAGCTTGGAGACGTCCTGGCCGTTGAAGATCAGACCGGCGCAGTTGTCGATCAGGTCAATTAGTGCGAGACGGAAGATCTCGCCGAGGTACAGACCAGCGGTCATCTTCTCGAAGGCTTGCTGGCCGGGGCGGGGAGAGTCGCGATCGATGATGTCATCGTATTTGGTGAGGGGGAGGACGACGTGCTCATTGTCGAAGGCGCCGTATTCGCAGTTGATGGCGACGGGCATGTCGGCGGGCAGGTTCATGTGCGCGAGCTTGGGTATGGACCCTGCGTTCTCCATGTATGCGGCGTTAACGCCGGTACCGAAGATGCAGCCAATCTTCATGGCGGAGTCAGTGTAAGAGGAAGCAATGAGGGTACCGGTGGTGTCGTTAATAAGTGCTGCGACTTTAATGGGAAGACCCTGTAGTTTCGTAAGCCTTTTTGAACCCGCCATGGGGAGGGTAGCATCATCTCAAGCATAGACATACCCGCTTCTTCAGGATCTCCTCCAGAGGAGGAACAACATCCTTACCCTCGACACCGTCAATGTCGAAGCCCTTGGTCCAGCGCTGCAGAATACCGTGATCGATGTACTCCTGAGTGGCGGGGTAGGAGAAAGTGAAGCCAAGAGGCAGCTTCGCGAGGTTTCCTTCCGCGTGGTGGGTCTCGACGAACTGCTGCAAGCAGTCGGCGATGTACTCCCACAATTCCTCGGCGGTTCCAGTCCGCAGCTCCTCAGGCATCTTATACTTGGATTGTGTGATATCGAAAGCGCCCTTCTCCTCGGTCAAGGTAATTTCGCAAACACGTAGGTTGGTGCCGCCCATATCGAGGGCCAGGTAGGTGCCCCGCTCATTTCCATCGGGGAAGTCCAGGACCCAGGTGACGTTCATGGGCTATTTACTAGGGTTAGTCCATGTTGAGACCGGGGGGATTATGTCGTTCTCACAATGTTGCCGCCCTCAACGGTCAAGCCTATTTTTGTTAGCGACTGATGTGTAGAATGGGAGAGCTGTGGATAAGTAGTCTCACCTTTCTCGAGCTCCTTCACGAAGTGGTTCACAATCTGCTTCAGCTTGGAGCGATCGACGGTGAAAGCCTTCTCGAAGTCCTGAATGGGTCCCAACAAGTTCTGGGGCAGTTCGTGCATGGACCCTGTACGACATAGTTAGTATGTTAATAATACAGGGGTAGCTTGAAGAGCCTCACCCTTCCGGGACTGCGGGTGCTTTGGGCCAATTCCAACCATGATGAATGTGTAGTTATGGAGGAAAATATGAGAAAAGGAAGAAAAGAAAGAAAAAAAGTTGGGAGGGGAAGAATGACGATATGGAAAACAACGTGGGGCAACTGTAGATGTCTTGTTTTGGACTGTCGGAGAGAAACGAGAAAGTCAATTGGGGCCAAAGGGGGGGAACTAAGGGGGATCTTGTCATTTAATAGCACATGGACATTCGGACTATAAATATTCTAACGTTATAAATAGTCTGAGACTAACCTTGGATAATTCCCAGTTATTTACGCAATAAACCAGGTATGTCTTGACGACTGCAAACGTTATGATCGGCGAGATCATCTCTTGGCACGGTTGACTATCCACGTTATACTTACTTACTATGAGTAACTAACTAGCTATATCTACAACACCTTGTACATTAGTAAAAAAAAAAGAATATCTCTTCTATTTCTGCCTATTAAAGACATTTCATGAAAATCATAATCTCAATGTGACAGCTTACGCGCCAAATGGGGGAAAACATGGTCTAGCCCCCCGGACTGGCGGTGTGCCTTCTCCTGTGCCTTCTCGTGTGACTCCAGCTTTTCGCGTACTTTATTCTGATACGCATCTGTCAAACCCAGAGTTCGATCGATCTCCTCCGTTAGTCGGTCCACTTCGTCCTGTAGCCGTTCGTCGCGGGTCTGTAGCGGGGCATTCTCCTCCGCCCTCTTCTGCGGGTCTGGATTGGTTTCCTCCCACAGCGCTTCCAATTCCTCTCCCCATCCCATAGCCTTTGCAAGCTTGCGCACTCCAGCATCACAGTCCCCAATCACCAACACATCATCACTCCGCGATCCAAGGCCACCGACACGCTCCATGTTGATGAGCACGCGAGGCACGCCCGGACTAACCATCGAAGGCAGACTGGCAAATGGCTGGACAGACAGACTAGTTCCCATGACAATGCAGAGATCGGCCTCTTCTGGCAGAGAGCGGCTTTCAAAGAAGTCGGATGGTAGAGATTCGCCGAAGAACACAATGTCCGGCTTGACTAGGTTGTTGCACTTGTGGCAGTGGGGTACTTCGCCCTTGGATACCATCTGGTGCATCTCCTCGTCTGGGAAGGTCTCCTTGCATTCAATGCAGCGCTGTGATGCAAAACTGCCATGGGCCTCGACGATCTTCTCGCCTGGCACGCCTGCCTGGCGCTCGAGGCAGTCAATGTTTTGAGTAAAATGCTTCAAGAGCATCCCTTTGTCGTAGAGGAGTTTGATGAATGAGTGCGCGATGGTCGGGCGATAGCGTCCGGGGTACAGCTCGTGCGCCAGCGCATAGAAAGGTTTTGGGTTATGCCGGAAAAAGCCAATATCAAAGACTGCCTCAGGCTCTGGTAGATCTAGATTTGCCAGGTTGGCGTAGATTCCCGTGTCAGGTGAGCGAAAATCCGGGATGCCTGCTGAAGTGCTGATACCCGCTCCCACCTGCATGCTTGGTTAGCTTTAACGCACTGCTTCATGGAGATTGACACTGCATACCATGACCACAACTTTCTTCACATTGTGCTGTTTAACATATTTGGCCACCGCCTCGATGCTGCGTGCCTCAAGCACCAAGGGGCGTGTGAACTCATCCACCTCGGTCGACGATTCGTTGCCCATGGTGCGCCGGTTTGGACGTCTGGGTTTGCGACGTCCGATGATGGCGGTGGACTTGACAGATAAAGAGACAAGTTTTGAGACTTGTAGATAAAAGCGGTTAAGAGATCAACAGAGAAAGTAACTAAAAAAAAAAGAAGGAACTGAAAAAGAGCAACTGATATGGAATCGTGAGCGTGGGGGAAAATGACGTCGGGCTGATTCACAACCACATTAAGACGCGCCAGATAAAATGACAAACAAAGTACCAAAAAAAGGTCAAAGGCACGTAAGGCAAGTCTATTTGTTTTAACAATCTGGAGTCTCAAACCCCCGTTGGTCTTAACGTAGCACAGTAATTTGAAGCTTGAAGCTGTAAAACCCACTCTCACCGCCCACGACCCCCCTACAACTGGCGTGGCATCAACAAACCAACTTGCGACAACCAATGGCGCCCAGAATGGCTGCAACCGCCAATGGACATAATGCCATACCCCAAAGCTCTCCAAATACCAATGCCTCACCAACAGAAACATCCCCTCCCCCACAGCCCGACATCTTCAACGCCAGCTCCGTCGCCGAGATCAAAGCCACGTTGTCCCACCTACACACCCAAGAAGCGTCTGTGACCGCCCGCCTTGATGCCCTGGTCACATCCCAGAAAGACCTCTCCCGTGAGCTGGGCCGGCTGGACCTGATGCGCGCCAACATCGGAACGCACGCCAGCACGACCCGGTCCATCAGCCATGGAATGCTCTCCGAAGCCGCCGGCACCGCCGACCGGATCTCCAGCGCGGTCCGCCGGCTGGATCTCGAGCAGGCACGAGTGAAAGCCACCCTTGAGGTTGTCGAGCAGGTTGCCGAGCTCAAGGCGTGTGCGCTGGGCGTGGCGGGATCGATGGGTGCGCCCCAGGACTGGGAGAAAGCCGCCAGCTACCTACACCGTGCAGCTCAGATTCCGGCGACGGTCGTCAATGGCGCGTTTGCTGCGGAGATGGTCCCTACGGCTGAAGTGCCGGACCCGCCAAGTGTGACGCTGGATAACGCGGCGGAGTCGCTGTGCGGGCTGTTCCTGCGTGAGTTTGAGAAGGCGGTTAAGGAGAATGATGGGGCCAAGATTACGCGCTTCTTCAAGCTTTTCCCGCTTATTGGTCGCTCGGAGGTTGGACTTGATGTTTATGGTCGTTATGTGTGCCAGGGTGTTGCGGCCAAGGCTCGGGCTAACCTTAACGGGGCTACCGGCGGTGCTCAGACTAAGGATGGTTTCTTCTATGCCAATGCGCTTACCAAACTATTTGAACATATTGCGCAGATTATTGATGGCCATGGCGGGCTCGTTGAGCACCACTATGGCCCCCGCAAGATGGGACGGGTCATTGAACGGCTGCAGGTCGAGGCTGATGTACAGGGCGGTATCATTCTTGATACTTGGAGCGATGAGCGACATGTGGATCGCAAATTGATGGATATCAAATCATATGCTTTCACTTTCTTGGTGCAGAGCTTCCTGCCTGCGCAGCGACCAGGGCCGCCTCGCTCACAGTCCCCTGCCATGGGGGCGAGCACTGCCACCGACGAGGAGGGAGTCGATATGAAAGAGATCGATGGTGTCTTAAATGAAATGGCTATCATGTTAGGCCGGTGGTCACTGTACTGTCGGTTCCTGGCTGATACATGTAATGTTAGTTGCAACCTCCGCCTCCTCTTTAATACCAGCACTAACAACTTCTCTAGTCTTCTGGCGAGGATGGCGCAGACGACGATAAGCGTTTCGAGCTTCCGAGCTTCTTGCGAGAGTCACCTCTGGCCCAAAAGATCAACGATCGCCTGGTGGCCCCCTTCAACGCAATGACAACCTTCTTCTTCCGCCGCTCCGTCGAAAAAGCTTTCCAATTAGACGAGTCCCCATCAGGCCTCACGTTGAATCCTCAGCGTCCACTGAAAGCCGACCCACCACACATCACCTCAGCTGTCGACGACATAATGTACATCGTCAACAAGGTCATCCAACAGTCACTCGCAACCTCGCAAGAAGGAGTCGTGACGAACGTAGTCCCGACCCTCTCACGCGTCCTAGGTTCCGATTTCATCGGCATGACGCAGCGCAAGATGCGCGACGAGTGCTACCCACGCTCCATCCAAGGCGGCCCACCGGCAGAACAAACCACAATCTCCTTCCTAGTTCAAATCAACAACCTCGACCTAGGAGTAGATTACATCCGACGAATCGTGCAAAACAACACAGGCTCTAAACCAGACACCACCACCACCACCACACAAGCAACCTCCCACCTCCTCTCAATCTTCTCAAACCCAACAGCCGCACAAAAAGTCTACCAAACCCTCCAAACCCTCTCCACAACCTTCGAAAGCAAAGTAACCGACCTCCTAACGGACGGAATCCAAGTAATCTTCAACAACGCCATAAAACCCCGTCTCCGGCCGATTCTCGCAGACACCTTCCGGGACATCGAATACGCACCAAACCCCAACGCCCTTGAACCCGACAATCCAAACTCAACCTTCGACAACAAAGAACTCGTCAAGCCACGCTTCACCTCCCTATGGAACGACTTATTGACACCATTCGCGCGGATTCTCACGCCCTCGGCCTTCGACCGCGTCCTCGGCGTGACGATCGCGTATCTAGCCCGTCTACTGGAGAAAAGACTTTGGTCTTACGGGGCGCGGATTAACGCGCTGGGCGCGGCGCGGCTTGAGAGGGATGTTGGGGGTCTTGTTGGGGCTGCTGTTGATGTTGGGTATGTTGCTGGTGCGCCGGGGAGATATAAGTATCGGGAGTGCTTTGCGCGGTGTGTGCAGATGACGCTTGTTATGGGGATGGATGAGGATGAGTGGGATGAGGTTCGGAGGGGTGGGGTTGCGGCGGAGGTTGTTGAGAAGCTTGGGAGGGAGGATTTGATTAGGGTTCGGGGGATGGTTAGGAGGTAGGTGGAGAATCTTTTCAAGGTTGTTTTAGGGTTTGATTGTTTGGGGGAGATTTTGTATAAATTGTTTTGTTCGTTTGACTTGTTCTTTTGTTTTTGTTGTTTTCTTTTTCTGATTTTGTTATATCGAATTCTAGACCAGTGCATGTAAACTAACAGGCAAGGTACTTTCATATTTCTATTTACATATCTACCATCTACAATTGTACAAGTTCACGTTGAGAATCTTGGAATAAGAAAGGTCTTAGATAATAGATAAATTTGTAAATCAGGCTGTCTCGCTCTATACTGCAGACGCAAAACCAGAAAACATAGACAGAAAGCAAGGTATTTCCCTTGCAATTCAATGAAGAATTTGTATACACGTACAAAACCCAGTTTAATATCCCCGTTAGCCATCCAGGCCATAAAAAACATAGAACAATGGAGCGCCAGGCCAAATTAGACCATAATTCAAGTTGCTTTTCCCGAGGGAGGTGTAGTGATGAGGTATGTTCGGTAGCGCGAGGGTGAGGAAAAGATGAATAACGGAGGATGAGATGGTGGATGGTATGTGAAGTCGGTAGTATAGTGGTGATTTGAGGTATCGAGGAAAATCGGAGGGTAGGTTGGAGGTATAGTAAAAGCCCCAGGCTTTTGTTGCAAGAAAGAAGCACGCTCAAGGGATATCGAGATAAAGAAGCGAAAACGAAGAAAATCAAAGCTTGCTGGACGGAATGGAGGATGCGAAATTTATACCATGCAAATGAGATGGAGAGAAAATGCTTGAAAAAGGCGAGGGAGAGGAGGAGAATGTAGTGGAACTAATTAGTTCTCCGTCTTCTCTTGGACCGGCCTTAGCACAACGGGTTCAGCACCCTGTGTATCGGGAGGATGTTGCTCAGCGACCTGGCGAGGAGCAGGCGCGATCTTGATTTCGTGCATAGCAATGTCACCTTCACTGCCGCCGCGGCTGCTCTGGCTGATTTCGCCGTTGGGCGAGTGGCCCTCGAGCATCGCCTCGCGGGGTGAGCTACCGAGCATCATCTCGCTATGTTCGCCGATTCCGTAGCGCTGCGCGGCGGGGACCTGGTGGCCGTCCGCGAGCTGGTCGTGGTTCTGTGGTGTCCAGGCGAGGTAGTCACGACGGACCTCGACGTAATCGTAGGCGAACTCGCCCAGTTGATCGTCATCCATGCCGAGCAGCTCTGCTTCCTCGGAAGCGCGCAGGTTCAAGCCCGGGATGGCGTTGATTGCGTAGGCGATAATGGCGGACATGACGAAGGCGTAAGAGGCGGTAGCGACGATATAGGCGATCTGAATGTACAGCTGCTTGTAGTTGTGAATGACCCATCCGCCGACACCGGTGCCGGTGTTGACACCGTCGAGGCCAACAATGGCATCGTCGCCGAACAAGGCGTTGAAAAGCAGGCCGACGATTCCAGCAATACCGTGCTCTGCCAACACATCCATAGAGTCGTCGATACGGATCCAGTACTTAATCTTGGTCGAGTAATTGCAAACGATACCGGTCACAATTCCGAGGATGACGCTAGCCCAGGGAGAGATAAATCCGGAGGCGGGTGTCGCAGCTACCAGTCCCGAGATGGTACCGGAACACCAGCCGACCATCGACCACTTGCGAGCCAGACGCCAATCGAGCAGAACCCAAGTGATGGCGGCGAAGGCAGCAGTCAGGTTGGTGTTCCAGGAGGCCATGGTTGCGCGCAGGTTAGCTCCGAATGAGGAACCACCGTTGAAACCGAGCCAGCCGAACCAGAGGAAGACCGTGCCGAGGAGGATGAGAGAGACGTTGTGTGGGCGGAAGTTGAGCATCATGCGTTCCTGTCGGCGACCGAGGACCATCGAGTAGGCCAGAGCTGTGAAACCGGATCCAATTTCGACGGGACCACCACCGGCGTAATCCATCACGCCGTACTTGAATGCCCAGCCATTGACGTTCCAGACCCAGCAGGCTAGCGGACAGTAGACGATAGTAGCCCAGATGAAAACGAAGACCATGGCAGGAAGAAGCCGACCGCGTTCAGCGACAGCTCCCATAACAATAGCTGCAGTGACACCACAGAATTGCATCTAGAGATTGACAATCAGCATTGGCCTGAGAACCAACAAGAAACTAAATCAACGATTCGCAATGTTCGATCTTACCTGATAGAATGCATAGAGCAAGTTAGGAACCAGTGGAGAACCGGGACTGGGATCAGCCAATGTATTCATTAAACCGAAGTTGCGCAAGTTGCCGATATAACCGTTGGTCGCAGTCGGGGAGAAAGCCAGTGAGTAACCCCAGAAATACCACTGGAAGGTCACGACGGACAAAGAAGCCATACAAGCCCAGATCATACTAAGGGCAGACTTTCTCCGGGCCAATCCTGAGTACAGAAAGCCGAGACCGGGGATCATGATCATGACCATGGCCGAGGCCACGATGATGTAGGCCTGGTCGCCAGATTGAAACCATTTGTTGACATTTTCGGTGCCTATATTGGGAATCCTCGTTAGACATCCCCTTTAACACCGAGACAGGAAAGACTCATACGGGAATCGCCGCCCAAGTCTGTGTTGGTCGAGAGCTCGTAGTTGGAAGGAGCTCCGATCCAGTTGTAGGAGGCATAGTCCGGGGCGTACGGGGCTTTCCCGTTGAACGCCATTGTGTGAGAAGCTCGAAGCTTTGAAGTTGAATATGTGGGGTATAGCAAAAGTGTTCAAGTGTTGAAGTTGGAGAAAGTGAAAAAAATTGGATGTTCCAGAAGTTAAGGAAGAGAGAAGAAATTCGCCACGGATATAAAAATAAGGAAACCCGAACTCGAACCAAAAATCCAGAGATAAGTCGGATCGACACTGGTGGGTCCTCGAAATAAAATGGTAAGCAAAAGCAATTGACAATTCAAAAGTGATTTCCCTAAGATAAAAGCACCGAGGAGATGTAGAAAAGTTAAAAGAGAGCATGAAACAGTATCTCCGTAGAAATTTTGGTAGGAAGGCGCGGTTAGGAGAAGAAAATCGGAAGATAGTTGAAAAAAATGTTGTTAAAGTGGTTTGGTCAGAGATTGTGACAATAGCAATGGGATAATCCCCGATAATACCATCCCCAGTTCTCTCTCCATGTTTTCCATATCTCCAGGTTCAGGTCTTTGGATATATAAAAATTTCCATTTGATTTCTGTATAGATAATTAACATATTCACACATTGCAATTCAACCTCGTCATCCCCGGCGTAGACGGCCGCAACATAGGGTGGCAAGGGATGATAAGTATGGATCTTCCCATGCCAATAGTCCAAGCCTTGGCCTTGCTTTGAGGGATATACCTGGAGATTACATGTAGATTATGATCCCATGTACCATTCGGCAGTGACTCGCGACTCCGGGGAATAGTTCCTGGGGTTGCAGGGAGCTAGATTCCACTCTGCGGATATGGGTCTACTTCTTATATACATATGTATCTTTCAAGAGAACTCTTCATCTAAATAAGATAGCTAGATAGCTTATCATACATATCCTGCAGCTAATCCCCTCCTTCTTGTATAGAATCGGGTCGTGGAGGTCGAAATTCTGGAGACTTCCGGGAGAAGAATGAAGAGCTTATCTTGTCTCGGATATCAGAGCTTCCCAAAGGTCAAAATTCCATCAAATTCCTATCCGCCACCAGTAATTGGACGACTGACGCTGTATTCTCGTGGATGTGATTGGCTACAGATAAAGTCCAACTTGCCACTCGCGCTAAGTGGGGCTAGGCCGTAAGCTAAGCCTTTCCCTTTTTGTATTAGCGTATCGAAGTGGGAATGAGCCAACGATTGGCGACAGATAAGGTCTTCCCGTTTCGCCTCTTTGGTTTCTCTTGGCTTTCCGTTTTTTCCCGATCCCGGGTTCGGGGATCTTGACTTTAATTTTTTTGGCCGATGCCGGAGTCTTGACCCTATCTACATATTGATGTGCACAGAATACGTGCAATCCAGATATTCAAATAAACTGGAAAGGGGATGAAGATTGTCATATTTACGTGTTTCTGTCGATTTTCTATGTTGTATCTGCATGTAGGATGATTCTAACCTATTTCCCTTATCAGTTATTCTGCAGGTCAGCTAGGCGATCCACTCCCGTGGGACGGGGTCTTCAGCCTCTGGGCCGAGAACAATTTTACTTTTTCAGGGTATTTATAGTATATAGTAGTTTGGAAAATTCATCTGCCTTGGGGTATAGAGGGACCCTCCAGGGCAAGGTTTATAGCTTGAATATATATATACTGGTTGTACAGCTTATTGTACTGGCTTCTGCCAAGAATATCCAAAGTATGTAGAACATATAACTGTATTGTTTCAAAGCTATGATACGCACAAAATCCCTGTAAACTAAACTCTACACTAAAGCAAAAACTAAACCCAAGGTACCATTACTATTAAAATGATACTAAATAACGAATAGTAAATTTGGATTGACGATTACAAGAATAGTCGGCCGCCTATGTGGCCTTATTATGTCTTTTTGATAGTCCTTTTATATATCTAAAAATATATTCCCCCGTCTCAAATTATTTCTTCTTCTCTTCCACTCCCTAAAGCTTCAATTGCATCAGCTATACCGCGGTACAAGTCTTAAAATGTGTGACCTTTCAATATATACCTGGGTACCTGTAGGTAACCTTGGATGAATGCATCAATGAGACGCATCGAGGCTACCTGGGTGGGTCCGTCGTTTGCCTTCGCTTATAGCGCACATTTGGGCAAACTCAACTAAGAATTAGTATGGCCGGCTGGCCCAATGGCAAGGCGCTTGACTACGAATCAAGAGATTGCAGGTTCGATCCCTGCGTCGGTCACTAAATTTTTGCTCCCACAGTATATATATACATTAAAGAATATTTGTTTTTGCTCCGTGGGCAAGGGAATCACACTTAGGGAGTCCAATTGTTTCTGTATTACAGTTCATAGTAATAGCTATGTTCTGCGGAGTTAAATAGTTTCACCTATTTTAATCCATGAGTTATGCAGAAGTGGAATCGGAGAATGATCAAAGCAAGAGTTTCTCCCAGGACTCGGAGGTAAATTGTAATGGACATCAGCCGCAGCACGATGACAAAAACTGAGTATCTTTCCGTGAAACAGACATTCTCAATAGGAAAAACGATGAAATGGCGCAAGAGCCTTTGACAGTCAAAATCCCGCTCCTTCAGACTCACTCGAAATACATCGTCCGCGTCTCTTCATATTTCCCTAGCTTATGATCTCTGCCCTATAATTGCCAAAAAAAAAAAAAAAAGGGTCAGCCGTAAACTTGAGATCAGACTGCGACTGGCAAAATTACCAGCGCTTCCACAAAGTCATCCATCAATGCTCTTTCCCGGTTAAAAAATCTGGGCTGCTCTGGGTGCTTTGGGTCAAATATCTGGGCAAGTTCATAGTCGATCAAGAGTACCCGATCAGAATCACCCTGAATCAACATGTTTCGAGGATAGAGATCAAGGTGTACAATCCCAGCCTCGTGAATTTCAATTAGGAGCTGGTGGAGTTTGCGAGCTCTTTGCTCTGTATAGTTAGAGATATCAAACATGTTCACATCATGGATATATTCCATCAGGACACCATTTGGGCGAGCCTTGGGATCAAGACCCCGAGGAAAAGTTTTGTCATAGAATTCCTTGAGCCGTGGTTGCCAGCCTTTCGCCTCAGGGTCAAGATTCTCAACGACCCCATAGAAATCAGGCACAGCTTCCCGTTCACAGAAGCCTCGGGCCTTCAATCGACTATATGCGCGGCTCTCATTTTTGAAAAGATCCATAGAACGGGATTTTGGGTGGCACCTGTCCCATTTATAAGGAGGGAACTACCAGATCTATTAGAGATCGCAGACAAGCTGTGTAACTTACTTCCTTACCACTTTGAGCACGCAGTCTTTGTCTTGCCAGCGGGCTCGGCACAGAAATCCATTTTCGGTCTCTTTAATGACCCCAACAAATTTCACATTGTCGATGTCAATATCGGGTGCATCATAGTCTGAAGACATGTTGGCCTCAGGGCGATGGGGATTTGAGCGTAAGTGGGAGAGCGGGGGGAAACTAGAAAAGAGCCCTGGAATGCCCAACGTCTTTGTGATCAGTCACCTTTATTCCTATTGAGGATCGTTGCAGCCGTTTTCTAAACAATATCAGGCACTCTCAAAATCAGTTACAGATGTGATATGTACATAGTGGGGGGTACTTCGTTGTTTCTGGCGCTGGCGCCTATTATATCACCACTTTCCTATTTTGAACTACGCAGTTGTACTTCAGGACGTAGGACTTCAGAAATCTGATCTATTGAGCTCAAGATAACATTAGAGACGTTATATTTAATATTATAGTATGACATCTTTTCTGATTGTCTTTCTAGGTATCTTTCTCCCTCCTAAGTGCTGTAGCTAGAAAGATGAAAGTATTTATGCTTGGAATGCAGAGGTACGTATCGAATGAGAAAAATCATAGATTACCGATTATATACATGGTAGAAGTTCCAGCATGATGAACGATTGAGGCTAATTCTGAATGGAGAGTAGAATTGGTGAGTGGAAGATAGACAGCCCTGACTTAATGATTTATACTGCATGAGTATATGTATCACTATTCGAGTATATGGACATGCTTTTTGGCGAGGAAAACATGTTTTATAGAGCTTTTATATACACCTTTAGGGCTGGCATTGAAGCGAGTTAGCTTATGCTTCACGAGACGTTATGGACAAAGACACGGAAGGAGAAGTAACGGTCGACGGATTACCAGACAGAGGTCAAGCGCGACCAAGCATGGCGATCGTGTCTAATCGGGTGAAGAGGAAGGTTGTGTGTCTTGCCATCACCGGGTTGAGCAGTCAACATGTTGTATATAAAAAGTCGCTTTGCACATTTTACACCTTACCACACACATACTATATTTTGGGGCTCATTGTTTCCGTCAATCTATCTACAGCACTAACAAAGCGGAAAATATCAAAAAAAGACATACAAAAAGACATCCAAAAAGATACGATACGGTAGAAGAATCTCAAAGATTTGAAACGTCCCATACATTATCTAAACCAAATGGATCAGACCATTGAACTAGGTCGTCAAGAGCAGAGACTGCATAAGCGGGCGACTATTACCGGCTTGAACAGTATCTCATATCTACAAAACTGTACTGATCTGCACATCACTTACGGAAAACACAACATGTATGCCGACAACCGAACATTCTATTATGTATATGGGGGATATCAATCCAAATATGATAAACTACACACGCCGATGGCATGGACACCTCTAAAATCGTAACAGGCAATTCGAACCGTACACTCGTCGCACCGGCAGATCAGACATTGACGCTATAACCGGAACCAACCCCACGCCGACGGCGGATCGCATGCAGATACTTGCGGCCTTCATCCACCCAGAATACCGAGCTGGCAATGAAGACTAGCTTGACCAAGGACCCGAAGCCGAGAGCCTCGGTCTGGAAGACGCGCTGCAGGAACGGCAGGTAGATCACGCAGGCCTGTCCGGCCAAGGAGCCGAGAACAGCGTAATTGAACATCTTGTTTCCAAACAGCGGCATTTCACCGCGCAGGACGGACTTGCCCTCGCTGCGGCAGGTCAATGCGTTGAACATGTCGAATAGAACGAAGCAGGTGAATGTCATGGTAGTGTCGTGCGCGGTGACGACGCGGGAGCGCTTCTCGACTGGGCTGCCGTCGGTGGCATCGCCCATTTCGTGAATGTAGATTGACAATGTGCCAATCATGATTATCATGGCTGAGGTGAGGACGCGCTGGATCAGAGGTTTTGTCAGAACACGGGCTGTCTTGGGTCGTGGTGGGCGGTTCATGATGGTAGGGTCGACGGGCTCGACGCCTAGGGACTGGGCGGGCGGGCCATCCATGAGAATATCTGTAATGATTGTTAGAAAAATACAGCGGATGAAATCAGACGCAGGAGTACTAACTGATCCACAAGATCTGCATAGCATTCAGCGGATTCTTGAAGCCAAGAGTGGTGCTCAGCAGTACAAGACTGAGTGCAGCCACACTGGTACTAAGCTGGAACGTAATGAAGTTCTGGATGTTATAGAAGATGCCCTTGCCCTGTTCGATTGCTCGCAAGATAGTCGAGAAATCGTCGTCCGTCAGAATCATGTCCGCCGCCTCCTTGGCAACGTCGGTGCCGAGCTTGCCCATGGAAATACCTATGTCAGCTTTCTTCAGAGCGGGCGCATCGTTGACACCATCACCGGTCATGGCAACCACATCGCCGCGGGCTTGCAGTGCTGTCACAATCTTCATCTTGTGGTCTGGGCTCGTACGGGCAAAGATCGAGACCGTTGAGATCGCCTGGGCAAGTTCGGCGGCAGTCATGCGGTCGAGTTCATCACCTCCGATGACCGAACGTGCATGCGGGGAATCATTGACTGGCATCCCAAGCTTCTTCGCAATGGCCACAGCTGTTGTCTCGGCGTCGCCAGTAATCATGATGATTCTGACACCACCAGACATCAAGCGTCGAATGGATTTGTGCACATCTTTACGCGGCGGGTCGTTCATACCCACCAGTCCAGCAAAGACCAAGCCGTTGTACCGCTCGTCATCATCACCATGGACGAGTTTCGGGGACGACCGACTGCCAAAGCCTCTGCCACCTCTAGAGGTATCACGAACAACTCCACTGGAAAAAGCGAGGACTCTAAGACCCTCTGATGCCATATTCTCTGCTGCTTCCCGAACGATTTTGCGACGGGGCTCGTCTAGAATTACTTCCCGACCATCCTTGGTGAGATAGGTATCCGATCGCGCCAGGACCTGTTCGAGAGCACCCTTGATATAGGCAACATGGGGACCTCCATTTAAACCATCAGAATTGCCGATAACAACACCCATCCATTTCCGCTCGGAGCTGAATGGGGTCTCATGGATGCGAGGGCTGATACGATCCCGCACATCATCTTCTCCCAGGGCATCCATTAGATCCAAGATTGCCACATCGGTGGGCTGACCCACCCATCGACTTTTAGCAGCAGCCGAATCACTGTTGATGGTCGAAGAAAGTACTGCCGCAGAAGATGCGCTAGCTGGCGAGTTTGCGTGCATCCGGGACAAACGAGAGTTGTTTGCAATATTACCAACGCGAAGGATTGTCTGCGCTGCAGGACCAGGAGCAATCACCGAGGTCATTTCTCTTTGCACCTCGAATGGTTCTGCGCAGTCGAAATGCCACATTTTGGTAACTGTCATGTGGTTGAGAGTGAGAGTTCCAGTCTTGTCCGAGCAGACGACATTGACAGAACCAAGAGTTTCAACGCTGGGGAGTCTTCGCATGATCGCCCCCCTCTTAGCCATGCGCAGGACGCCGAGAGCGAGCGTGACAGTGACAATGATAGGCAAGCCTTCTGGGATCGCTGCGACGGCCAGCGAAACACCGATTGTGAACATTTCGAGAATCTTACGACCTTGAATAAGACCGATAACCACGATCAATCCAATGACACCGAAAGAGATATAACTCAGCTCTTGGCCCAAACGATCCATGGACAGTTGTAAGGGTGTTCGAGGGCTTTCGATTTCTTGTAGCGAAGCTGATATACTGCCGAACTCCGTCTTTGCGCCGGTCGATATAACGATGCCCTGACCGTAGCCTGAGCGGACTAGTGTACCCATGAACGCAACGTTGTGCTGCTCGTTCAACCGAATGTCAGCACCAACAGCACCTGTTGCCGGTGCATCATAGAATGGCGATCGAGGGGGTTCTATTCCTTTTGGCGCTGGAGTGGTCCTGCCAGATGCGGTGCGCAGAGCTTCCGCATATTTCGCTACAGGCTCGTTCTCTCCAGTCAAGTTTGACTCGTCAATGCTGAGATGTGTTGCAGCGGTGATTCGAATATCGGCGGGAATACGGTCTCCGGTGGTGAAAAGAACCAAATCTCCGGGCACAAGTTCGTTCGCAGGAACGGTTGAAGAAGCCTTGACCGCGGCAGACGCGGAGCCTGGGCTTTTGCTCCGAATTTCATCCATTTCCACGGATGATCCTAAGGGCGATGTACTACCATTCTCAGTTGCCGTGGAGGAAGCTGTTGGAAGATCACGGATCAAATGCGCATAATGGGGTACAAGTCGGCTCAATGCTTCCAGCGACTTCTCCGACCGATACTCTTGAACAAAGCCAACAGTCACAACAATTGTTACCGCAAGAGTAATGCTGATGGCATCGTCGTAGTTGCCCATCACAAAAGAGATTCCAGCAGAACCAAGGAGGAGGAGAATCAGCGTCTCCTTGAATTGTTTAAGAAACCGCAGCCAGAGGGGTTCCGGCTCATCGTGGGGAAGCTCGTTCGGTCCATCTCTGGCCAAGCGTATCTCTGCTTCGGCGGGTGTCAGGCCGTGTAAAAGGGAGGTTCGTAGTCGCTCGGCAGTTTCATGAGGCTCGAGCCACGAATATGTTGAGGTGGATGTCTGCAAAAAAAAAAAAAAAGACCGTGTTAGAGAAACTCCATTGTCTAGCGGCGTTGAGAAGTAGAGAAATAAGATAGCACAAGCAATGCGTGAATCGAGCAAGTATACTTACGGACGGTGGAGCATTTGGCCGTCCGGTCATAGGTGTTGCGGAGGGAGGCCCAAGAAAGTCGGCGGCGTTTGATGCATTATGCAAAGGCAATGAAGGTGTTGCGGACCTTGACATTGTTCATGCTTTGGAGGATGGATTATTAAAGGCGATAAAATAAGACGTTAGATATGTCGAGAAGTGATTTTCATCCCGTCTCGATGAGAATTGACTAGGTTTCGACAATCCACGTTAGATGCGATCTGGCAGCAGCTTCAAACGGGGGCGGCTAGACTAACCGCTGGATTTGCGGAGTTGGCGCAAGTCGGTCGACGACGAACAAGCGACTGACAGATGACTTGAGACCAAAAATCCAATTCAAAAGAGCCTTTTGCTATAATCCAAACCACAAAATAATCCCATTCAGAGCATCGAGTCCACTTGGAAGAGGCTAAGTCCCATGATGATGCTTTACCCGTTGTGGCCTAGTGATTTCGGGTATGGTGTTTATCCGGGTTCTGCATTTAGACTAGCGCATGATGTCACGTGTAGAGAAGAGTATACGATGTACTCCACAAGAACAATGATTTTATACAAGAGTTTCTATGGCTTTTTGAGAAATCATTTCAAAAGTTCCACTGGTAGCTTCTTCTCTCTTTAGCTTGATCCTAAACTAGTTTTTTTTTGCCAGCAACATTCATTGTTATGATGCTTCGTACTCCGTACTAGGCTCTGGGATTCCTTTGTGTACCCTACACGTGACTCAACATTCCCAGCCCCCTCAATTACATCAGCAAAAATCCCGCCCAGGCCACGGCTGCCGCCTGATATTCCCACCGACGCGCATCTTCCGTTCCTCCTTGGTTTCTTAGACAACTCCAAGATATCCCTCGCGCGCACATCCCCTCCCTATCTTCATCGTCTTCGATGTCTTGAATTCACGCGATTGAGTGATAAAACTTCTATCATTTTAGTCACATATCTACCTTTTCATACAATTATCGAGTGCGAGTCATCGCACAAGCCATTGTTTTCCCGGCTTCAGCGCGTCGCCCTTCTACACCTCACCCCCGCGCCGGGCGGGTCCTGTCGCCTCCTGATTTGGTGAAAGACATTTCGCCGTTGTAAAGTATTTCGTTGCGATAAACACACCATGTTCTATTCCGAGACCCTCCTGTCGAAAACCGGGCCGTTGGCTCGCGTTTGGTTGTCGGCTAATATCGAACGCAAACTTTCGAAGTCGCATATCCTGCAGTCGGATATCGAGAGCAGTGTCAATGCTATTGTTGATCAGGGTCAAGCCCCTATGGCTTTGCGATTGAGTGGCCAATTGCTGCTGGGAGTGGTTCGAATTTACAGCCGCAAGGCTCGCTACCTTCTCGATGATTGCAATGAAGCTCTCATGAAAATTAAAATGGTACGCACTTTTTTTTAAATCAATATGGATTTGGTTCAGTCTAATCATATATCAGGCTTTCCGTCTCACAAACAACAATGACTTGACTTCGACTGTCGTCGCTCCAGGTGGCATTACTCTTCCCGATGTGCTCACTGAATCTGATCTTTTCACCAACCTTGATACATCTCTGCTCTTCCCTCAAACTCTCGACCTGGAGCCTGCCACCAAGCGCCCTGGTGGCATGGATTTTGGAAGCCAATACCTCCCAGACAGCAGCTTCCGCCGCTCTGTTTCTCAGGAACCGGCACGCCTTGAAGACCCTTCCCTTGTTGATCTTGACTTGGGTGAGGAATTGCCCCTTGGAAATGACCCGACTATGGAAATTGGTCGAGACGCTCCCGCGCCCCGTGCCGTGGAGGACGATCTTTTCAATGACGCTGGAAAATTCAACGACGACGACGATCTGGGACTGGACCTTGGAGATGATGATGCTCTCGACAAGATGGACCTTGGCGATGATGTCCACGACAATCTGAATGACCTACTCCCAGATGCTCCCATGGACTTCAACAACGATGACGACTTTGGTGGTGGCGAGACGCCCCGTGCTGCCGACAACCGATTCGAACGTGACTCCGAAAGCCCCCTTTCTGATGCTGGATCCGATCAGATGAATCAGCTGGAAGAGGAATTCAACCGAGATGTATCTGCAACCCCTGATGCCGTTAGCGTCCAGCATGGTCAGCGCACCAAGCGCCAGAAGCTTATGGGACTCGACGAGGAGGTCGCAATCTCCAGCTCCAAGATCAAGGACCAGCAAAATGACCGTTCTTCAATTTTGAAGCCCGCATCATTCTTGCCTCGCGACCCCGTCCTGCTCACCCTCATGACCAGACAGCAGAATGGCAACTTTGTGTCTAGTGTGTTTGGCGAGGACCGTGGACGCGGGTGGGCGCCCGAGCTGCGCGGCATGCTCTCTTTGGATTCTGTGAAGAAGGCCGGTGAGCTGAAACGCAAGCGCGACAGTGGCATTTCCGATATGGATGTGGCTGCCGTCGACATTCCTGCCCTGGAGCTTGGTGATGAGGAAGCCATCGTCCCGATTGACGAGGGCATCGCTCTCGATACGACTATGAACCAGCGCTCTGAGATTGAATTCCCTGGAGATGAGGAAGACCACGTCTTGCATTTGAGTGAGGACGAAGGCAACAACCAGCCCATGGACGAGCTGGATGATACTATGGCGCACCCCGTGGATACCGAGCCGGTCTCAATGGGCACCAAGCACGCTGTGCACATTCTCCGCGAGAAGCTTGGTAGCTCAGCCACCCAGCAGAAGAAGAGCGTGTTGTTCCAGGATCTCCTTCCCGAGCAGCGGTCCAGCAAGGCTGACGCTACCAAGATGTTCTTCGAAGTCTTGGTGCTGGCCACGAAAGATGCTGTCAAGGTTGACCAGGGCGCTAAGTCTATTGGTGGTCCCCTCAAGATCGCTGGCAAGCAGGCACTCTGGGGCTCTTGGGCCGAGGAGAATGCTTCTGGTGCCATGAGCCAGCTCAGCCAGGCTCTGTAGAGGATGTGTCCTCTTGACCAAAATTTCTGGGATCTATTGGCGCATCTTTCTCTTTCTTGTACAGCTCAACTTTGGGATGGTTCCGTGGAATATCTCGATTTGAGATCCGGTGTTATTGTTTGGCGATAGCGTTCTATTGAATGACTATCAGGAGTTTAGGGCTGGCTTGGAGACATAGGACCTTGGTTACTACTTTTTTGTTAGGGGTTGTTTGGGCATCTGGTCCCTTGGGAGCGTTGATGAATTGATTCTGTTGCGTAGTGTTAGCTCTAGCTTAATTGAACATATCTCTATCTCAAACTTTTGTTTTTGTCTAGACCGTTTCGGACTCGGAGAATTATATAGCTCTGTGCCACATGGTATATCAACGATCCCACGTGTTTACCCCTTGGCGTCCGATAACCACAAATTCTTTTTTTTTTAACCTATGCCCCAGTTAAAAGACAATGGACATGTATATTGTAGAATCTAGCTAGAATTATCTATGTTATAATTACACTTAACTAGCAATGTCCAAGGCTAGTATTAATTGGCGATACGGGACCTCGGGATCACTCCCGAGGTCGGCTTCGAGATGGCGGAATTAGGCCCCCGTAAACTGTTTATCCCCGGGATCGCCTTGATTGATCAGCTCGGACTTTTGACCTGCAATTTAGACGCTACTTTGAAATAATAATTTCTTCAATTTCCCTTGCAAGATAGTGACTCACATATCTACCAGTCAGTACATGTACCTAGATAGTCCCAGAATCGTTCTTCTTGTTTTATATGACTTCATCGCTAACACAAAAACAAACCAGATGAGCTAGCCTGACGCTTGTCCATTGAACATGTCTCTGCGGTCAAGTACAGACGTGTCGCACCCAGACCTCAGCGACGAAAAAGCCCACATAGGCCCTGAAAGACACTCTAGCGATAAGAGCGACGACGAATTTGACCGCACCAAATCCGAGGATGTAACTTATGCTCCGATCACCTCCCCGGGTACCCACAACGAAGGCAGCGCACCACTCCAGAAACAGCGTTCGAATGCGTCTAAATCACTCACATCCAGGTCCCTGGAACGCAGCTGGTCATTGAACGATGGCGTCAGTATTGGCGGCCATGAAGTCGACGAGGCTGCGGTGGCGAACGAGGATGAAGCGTATACTGTGGGCTGGGAGGAGAACGATCCTATGAATCCGCGCAATATGAGCAAAGCCCGACGGTGGTTGATTGTCATTATTGTCTCGATGGGTTCGCTTTGCGTGTGAGTATACAGCTGGTTTAGTTTTGGTTTTTCTGTGTCGCATAGAAGCTGATTTACTGTATCTAGGACTTGTGCATCTTCGATGTATACTACGACATATGCCCAATTGATGAGTGAATTTGGATGTTCGCAAGAAGTTGCGACTCTTGGATTGTCTTTTTTTATTTGGGGTCTTGGTTCGTGCTGTTCTTGTCGTTTTTCGCGAGCTGGACTATGTGTTGACGCTCTCTAGGAATTGGTCCGCTCTTTCTGAGTCCGTTATCTGAGGTTCGTTTGAGACTTTTGCTGCTGGATATTTGAATTACTGATTTGATTTTGCTTAGTTTTATGGCCGAAGAAACATTTACGTATCTTCTCTCACGTTGTTTCTTGTTTGGCTGATTCCATGCGCATTGGCCAAAAATACAGAGACGATGATTATCGCTCGGTTCTTTAGTGGACTGTCAGGCAGTGCCTTTTTGAGTGTTGCTGGAGGTACTGTCGGTGACCTGTTTGACCGCCATGAACTTGCCTTTCCCATGATGCTCTATACTGCGAGCCCATTTGTTGGCCCCGAAGTTGGTCCTCTGTATGTCGCTTTTTTTGTCCTACTCCTTGATCTCAATACTAACAATAAACCACTAGGGTTGGTGGTTTCATAAATGCATTTAGCACATGGTATGCTTTTATATCGAACTTCTAGTAACGATCCAAGCTTATATCACTCGCAGGCGTTGGACGTTTTATGTGCTCCTGATTTGGACGGGAGTGATGCTCGCCTCGATTATATTCTTGGTTCCGGAGACCTATCACCCAGTGTATGTATTTCCAGATCCTGGAATACTTTCGTCGCTAAGGATGTTCTAGACTTTTGAGGCGCAAGGCGCAGAAGATGCGCCAGGACACCGGAGACGAACGATGGAAAGCTCCAATCGAAAAGC